TGGGTTACGAAACATCTCTATAAAAGGCCCAAATCTTGGAGAAGCTAGCAATCATTAAAACACAAGCCCTCTCAAATACCCACAGTCTAATTCAATAAACTTGGAATAATGAAGAACACTTCAAACTTTCTTGCCTCATCATTTCTACTTCGTTATCGTCCGTTGGCTGTCTAGGAAACCCCAGTTTGTTACTGATGCAATCTGAATGGCTAATTTTTTGATATAGATACAACGTGTGCCAAGAACTCACCAAACTAACTACAAACATTGGTGTGAATTCTCTGAGATCCAGACAGTAGAAGCACTAAAGCAGATTCTCGAAGGCATCGCACTTATAATGGTCCATGTTATTAAAAGAACAGAGCAACAGAAAACGCTACAAGTCCATCAAGCAGGAGCTTCCAAAGGACCCAAGACTTAGAAAAGAATTGGAGTTCTTGTGTTGAAAACTATGAAAATGTTTGGAATTTAAGTGCAGATATTGCCAGTAAGCCATTGAAGCTTTAGAGAAGGTGACCCAAAATTTGCAAGAAACTGCTGCGAAGACGAGATGCTGCGGATGAGGCGAGTTTGTGGGTAAGAGAAGTTTCAAATGGCCATTCTCTCCACACTCAACCAACATATACAAAGTTGTCCATGAAACAGGTGCTCGTTTGGCTTCTGTGCAGCTATTATCCGGCGTTTGCTGTGATATAATTTCTCTTGTTCGTGATACTCTGCTACCTCTTCTAAGATAGCACCACAACATATCATACCATATACATAAATACTATAAAGGCCTATAAGTTTTTATGGTTTTCTGCTTGTAATTTTAGTAAATAAGACTCAGATCTTTTTCTTCTGTACGGGAATCTTTGAATGTAAAAATGAAAATGAACTTGTGATATGTTGGTTATATTTAAAGAAGAAGAACTTTAAAGCCTTTAACGATAAAGATTCAAATAACCAAAGCATACTTGCTTCTTGATCCTTACAGAGCAATAGTTGAGAATTTTGAATGCAAAAATCATTAGTTCAGAAAAGATTATTATACATTTTCTAAGTCTGAAAAACTATTATATATATATATATATTATAATAATATATATATATATATATCATATATAATATATATACGGCGGAAAATAGGGCAAAGAAACTTAGATTGCCAAGAACACCATAACTAAATTCCCAAAGATGGACAAAATATCTTTAAAGTTTTTTATTTATTTTTTATTGAAAAAATTAAAACCTAACTTTCCATTGGTTATATGTATTTTTTTCTATATTAAATACAAATTCCTAATTGAATTACTTTTCCGTTTAAATTTAAGATTCTATTTCACTATATTAAATTTTATATTTAAATTGAATATTTATTCTGCACACACACTATTACATGTATAACAAGATTTAAATAACTTCTATTTATAAATTATGTAGAATATATACTAAACTACCCGAATTTAAGTTGTACCCTAGTAAAAATAATTTGAATAAATAATATTAGATAAAGTTGTAAATAATGGGGAATATTGAGTAACAAAAAACTGCGTTACTCACAATTTAAGGATTTTTAAATTGATTGGCGAAAAAATAGAGGTAATTAAATTTTTTTCCTGTTTTAAATCAAAATTATATTGGATAAAATAATAATTATATTATCTTATCAAATAACGTAATATACAATTTTGATGCATACTATTCAGATTTACTTTTATTATAACTCGAACCAGCCATTTTTTTAAGCCAAAATTTTATAATTATAAATATTAATAAGATATGGTAATGTAATTATTTAAATAAAAGAATTGTTTCGGAATTATTCAGAAAGAATTTTTTTATAGAAGAAGAACAATTCTGTATGGATGATATATCTGCGTAATTTATAATAGTAATGCATAATTATATGGTAAATATTATTTGGATGCTAATATATACACATTATATATATTATATGGTAATGTAATAAAATATAGGTAAACTATTTGATAGATACTAAACAAGGTATATAGTAAATATAAGTATGGCAATAATATATTATATATTTATTGGTTAAAAAATAAAAATAATTTTAATTTTGATTGTTATATTGTATATTATATAAGGTACATATTAAATATGGTAAGCATATAATATATTTAATTATTATTTTTTAATAAATTATTTATTTTGATTTGGTTATAATTATTTCCTACACGTAACTTATTCTATAAAAAATAAATGTAATTTATTATTAATTATTTTGTTAAGCGAATATTCGCAAAGCATAAAATAATTTGAAATATTTTTTTTTTCAATAAAAGCAACTATGAAATTAGTTATATATGCTTATATAATTTATAAAAAGAAAAAAAGAAAGATATTAAAATTATAATTAATGCTTTAAAATAATGATCTAATTATTAACTATTATAATAAGCCAAAAATTGATTTTTCATATTTTTAACGTAATATTTAAAACCATTTATGCCTATTATCATTATAATAAAACTAAGTTAAATTAAATTTAAATTTGTTTATAAGAAATTTAAATTACTTGATAAGTAATTTTTTTCTTTTGGTGAAAATTTGGTTCTCAGTTTATAATAATTATTTTATAATGCATGTTAGGAAAAATTAAATAAGGAAATATCGCAACTGCTTCTTGCCAACAACCAATAAGAAAATAGACATCCATAATATATTGGCCAAAATTAATTTTTAGGTACAATAACAATGGTTTTTTCTGTTACAAAAAATTAAAAGTAGAAACACCTAACTCTCTGTTTATAAAGGCGCTGCGGCTTAAGAAACTAGCCCGCATTACAACACAATCCTCTCAAATAGCATAGTCCTAATTCCAAATCCAGTTGAATGAATGAAGAACAATTCAACCTTTCTTCTTCTTTGTTTCATCATTTTCTTGTTATCTCCATTGTTTTTGCCTAGGAACTATTTTAGTAATTGGTTGCAGTCTGATGCTAATTTGATAGAACAAACTTGCAAGAGAACACACCAGGAAGCTATAACGCTGGTGAACTTCTCCTGAATCAGCAGTAGAAGCTCTACAGCAGATTACTAGATTGGGTTAGCACCTTATGAATGGTCGAAATGGTTTTAAAAGAACAGAGAACAGAAACGCACAAGTCATAACCAACCAGGCTGCTTTCAAAGTAAACAGGACTTAAAAGATATGAATTTTTGTGCTGGGAAAATATGAATAGCTGGTATTTTAGTGCAGTATCCAGTAGCATTGAAAAGCTTTTAGGCAAGGTGACCCAAAAATCACTAGAAAGCAAGCATCACACATGGATGCGCGACTGACTGACAGACGGACTAGCTTATGATCGACTAGAGAGGACAATCAAGTACTAATCAAGCTATAACAGATCATTCCACTACCAACCATAACACACTTCGCCCCGTTCATGATTACTGTGCCGTTTGCTTAGCAGCCATTATCGGAATTTTGCCTCTGGCTATAATCCCTGTTCAGATGAGAAGCATCCGAGAATTAACCAGGCTAAGTAATCAGCAGTCTTCAAGACTGAGCCACTACTATATATATAACAAACACACCACACACTAGGCCTTCTAAAGTTTTTTTAATGCGCTTTCTATCGCTCAACATAAATTAAGATCAGTTCCTTCTTCTGGTATGTAAAAATGAAATGATTCGTGATATGGTGCTATAACTTAATAGTAAAGAGAAAGAACTTAAGCCTCTATCAAGGATAAAGATTCAAAAAAAACCAATCATCACTTTGCTTTTTTAATCTCTGTGGAGTACTGAATTTGAATGCAGAATCGGGATAAATTTAGATAGATTATTTTACATTCTGGTTTAAATTAAATATTCAATTGAAACTAATGATGTATTAAGGCGATGACAAATACTTTATTTTGACGATCAATGAGATTAGTTTGAGTGGAAAGCCTGTATATTTTATGCACGGGGTCGTGCAACAAAAAAAAAAAAAAAAAAACCAATAACTGTTACATAGCAGTAGGTCATGCATGAGTGGATGTCCTCAGTTTCTGCGAAAGCGTTACCTTACCTTCAAACCATTCGCTTAATTCTAGTCAGTACTACGTAACAGCTAATTAGTGCGATATTATTATATTCTTTTTTCTATTTCAGTCAGTCATTCGACGGTGATCGCGTCGATCGTGGATGATAAGGACATCACAGACAGGAGCAAGCCCTCAGACCACACGCTGTCTAGTCTTAAGTGCAAAAGCAATGTCGAAACCGGTGTTCCTTTCCTGTCTTTTTCTCCGAATGTGAGATACGGACAGAGGCATATAGTTTGGTTCTTAGAAGTTCACGAGGCAGAGTTTAGAAAATTATTTTTTTTTTTTTTTTTTTTTTTCTTTTCGACAAACTAAACTTAGACAAGCGCTAAAGACAACACCTCATTAAAAAAAGGAAGAAAAAGATTAACAATTCTGCACCACAAACTCAGACATGGTCAAGATTTAGATCTCCAATAAGGGTCCTTTTTTAACTTTGAAGATTGAACTCTCCCTAGTCCCTTCAAGGCTTCACCAACTATGAATAATTTCTTTTTAATAAAATAATATCACTCGAACTGCCTTCTTCTGTGCATTTGACACATACTCCTTTGTCCTTTTGGCTTTATTATTCCAAGTCCTCACATATAGTTGGCATCTTCTTGCTTCTTCGATCACAAGCCACATAGAATCCAATATAATAATTTCCCTTCTTACATTAATTTCATTTTAGAACCATATTCGTATAAAATCGGATAAAATTCACTTAAAAATACCATATTCGTAAAAATCTATTAAGAGTAATCTCATTTTACGGGTAAAATCTGTTTAAAAATATAATTTATTGGTCGGACAGTTAATTCAAATTTATTAAATTATTGACTTGAATAATATAATTTTTTTTAGTGTATTCGAGGAAACTAAGACATAAATCACCTGACAACAGTAACAAACATTGCAAACTACCAAAGGTTGGTAACAGAAAGTGCCCACAGTTTTTTAATGTACATTATTTGAGGCTGTCACTTTAAAAGGCAACGCACATATGACTTCATTTCCACATACATAACAATTTACAAAACCACCTTCAGTTAATAATTAATCTTCCCTTCTTCTTCTTCTTCTTCTTCTTCTTCTTCTTCTTCTCCTCTGTTTCTGGCAAAAAGAAAAAAATATGAAAAGCTCGTCAATTGCTTCACTGCCCATGATTCTTTTTTACATTCTTCTCTTCTCAACTTCTTTACCAGAAACTCAATGTTCTGATTTAATTAACCAAATATGCAAAAAGACACCTTTTTATGATCTTTGTGTTTCATCTTTAAACCCTCAAAGTCCTGTTTCAGATGTTAAAACAGTGGCCTCTACACTGGCTAATCTTATTCTATCCAATGCGACTGATACTTTAAGTTACATTCAAGGACTAATCAAGGAAGGAGCAGACCCTCAGTTGCAGAAGCCATTAGCTAATTGTGCTGAATTATATATTCCAGTTGTTAGGTATAATCTTCCTCAAGCCATTGATGCCTTGACGCGAGGTCGTTTTGGTTTCACCAGCTATTTATTATCTGATGCAGGCAAACAAGCCGATGATTGTGAAAAAAGTTTCTCTGGTTCAAATCAATCCCCTTTATCTTTCAGGAACAAGCTTGTTAGCAATCTTTGTGATGTTGCTGTGGCCATTCTTAAGTTATTGCAAAAGGGTTGAATTTTTGTATTTCGGTTTATTTTAGCTTAATAGTTAGCTTCTATTATAGGAGTAGATTAGCATAGTATATTATGGAGTAAAGGATATTCTGTTTTCTGTTGTGCTCTGTTTTTGTTCTGTTGTGGGGTGTAGATGCATTTTATTTTATTTTTCTAGTAATATTTAATGATTGTGTAATTTTTAGCTAAATTTTATTAAGCTATTAATTATTTTCTCAACATTGAAATTTGTATTAAGTGTGGCCAAAACTGAATATTCAATATCCCAATAATGAACATTTTTCTTTCATTTAAAAAAAAATGGTGAGAAAAAATTAATTAACTGTTAATCAAATAAATAAATGAAATTAAATTCATTTTTACCTTAAGTAGAGATATGTAAGAAAATTCCTTAGAATAGCATAGCATAAGCATGATTCAAGATTGGGAAGACCAATTAAGATCATTATCAGAAAGAGTAGTTTTATGTCTCTTTCATGTTTCTTGTTATTGCTATTCTGAAAAACCATCTTTTTGTTGTCATTCGATAAGCCAATCAATTCCTTAGCCATTTAATGACAATTTGATAGACAGAAGCATCAAATGTGCCATAAGATTCCCTTTCTCTCATCTTTTCTTTCTTCCATGTGATAAGATCACGTCTTCAATCAAGAGCCAGATCCTCTTTCAGGATCCGTTTTTTTCAACAACTGTCATTCCCTTGAACAAAATTCTATTTATAGAGTCTGTAAGTTGTCTTAACTCTTTCAGATATTCAAATCTGAAACAGTTATTAGTCTCTCAATTTTCTTTTTCCTAATCTGATTTCTTTCTTTCTAATCTGAAAATTTTTATCCAGCATACTGCGATCATCTTTAACACTAAATTAGAAGTTCATTGATCCTTCTATAATGAGAAATACTTTTCTTTTTCAATCTCTTTTTGTTATGTTTCTTCTATCAGTAATCAAATGCAACGATTTTATAGACAAAAGCTGCAAGAAACGCCTCATTTGATCTCTGTGTCTTGTCTCTGCAGAATTTCTGTGATGTAACTGTAGCTATCATCAAGACATTGCTCAAGGATTGAAACTTGATCCGGTTCTCAGTGGAAGGCCTCCTTATATATATATATATATATATATATATACAGTGTAGAGTCGAAGGATTTTTCACCTTCAAAGCTTGATGCAGATATGTTGTTCTTTCTCTCTTTGTAAACCAACAACCAATATGCTACTCCATGTGAAAACATGTCTCAAAGGAAGCAATTTAACATGCATATCAAGATTGCAAAGCTGGCTTGGTGGACCATACCCACCACAGTCCACACTGCTTTGTAGAAATAAGATAAAACCATAAATAAATTTTCCAAGACATCACATATTCACACTGCTCATCCACAACAACCCAGAAGTACAAGCAGAAGGTGAGTTTGGCAGACTGAAAAGGCATTGCAAAGCTGGCTTGGTGGACCATACCCGCCACAGTCCACACTGCTTTGTAGAAATAAGAAAAAACCATAAATAAATTTTCCAAGACATCACATATTCACACTGCTCATCCACAGCAATCCAGACGTACAAGCAAAAAGTGAGTTTGGCAGATTGAAAAGGCAGTAGACTTTAATTAAACATCGATTTCTGGTTCAGTCAATAATAAGCTGAACCAAAACACTATAACTGCACTACAAAATTAGTTTTTGCATGCACACACACAAATATACAGATCCACAGATAGCATTTTCAGATCCGTTATCCATAGGTACTCACCAATATCATGCCATGTAGCTCAGCAAACATACAAAACAACTATATATAGGCAGATTGCAGAATAGAATGTGCAAGGCAGTTATTTCACCAAAAAAATAGTTGGCAAACAACTAAATTCTGAATTTCATTTCCTGAGCAATCTTATATAACAAACTATTACATAGTTTGGCTGGATTTGTTGCTGAGGAGGCAACTCGGTACATGCAAAAGTGGCATGGCCTAAATACATGGCTCTACTTTCCTTCAGAAGCCACTTAAGAAACTAGTTTGGTAATTTAACTCACTTCCCATCCTAAAACAGTGTACAAAGAGGGAATAATTTAACCCACCAAACTTCAATTTCAGAGGACACTTGATGCGAGAAGTGCAAGTTATATTAAGCTTGCATGAGAACTACCAGGACTAGCAATATGCTTCCTCAAATGTAAGCTTGGACATAACGTCAAGATTTTCTCTGCTTTAACCCGTATCTCCTCTCAGATTTCAGGAGAATCATGACCAGCAATTGGCTTTATAGAACTGCAAATGCATACAAATCCCTAGGTTACTACTAAAGATGTAACAATAAGTAGGTAAAGATAAAACTGATGTGGTAAGTAGTTTCCCAGAAATTGGAATAATAACATACTTGGGAGACCCAGAACCAGGTTGATTACTTGCGGATGGATTCCCAAAGAACTGCACAGTAATTAAACCACTCTCCACTGTTTCTATTGATACAGGGGATCCAGGTAAATTTACAGACGCAACTCTTGATGACATTCCTGTAAAGGCAAATTCCAATGATATATGAAGCCAGGTAAAGAGAAAGAAAAACCATTCAAATAAAGAAGATCCAGTTGAGATTTCTAGCTAGGAAACAGAGAACTGTTGTGAATGCTTGTTTCAAAAATGATCAAATGCACTTTCACAAAAATGATTTGCAAACCAGAATGCAGGCAAAACAAAAAAAGAAAAAAGAAAAAGAAAAAAAGAATTGCTAAAAACAAAAAGACGAAAGAAAAGAGAAATTCTAGACAGTGATCCAACTTCTTTCAAATTCATTTCTACAATTTAGAACTCGCTATTTATAACCAACATTGAACATCATGATTAGGCAAATAAGCATATAATTATAAGATTAGTGCACAAGTTTAAATTTCCAAAAGAAGACCTGCACACTTATTTGAGTGCGAACCATTGTCTACTCGAGTAAGAGGGATTGATGAATTACCTTGAAATACAATTACAAGACAAAAGAGAACGGTGAACACCATAGCAATCGTATTGCTATTAGATGATGAGGCCTTTGCTGCTTTCATTTTCTTCAAGGCTTTCATTCGCTCGACCTTTGCACGCTTCAACATGGCCAGTTCAGTAAGCTCCTTGATGAGCTTCTGGTCAGCAGCATCCAACGTTGGACCTGTTGGTGGCCTAGGAGGCTTGGAAGCTTTTTTGTTGCTCATCTTTTTACGCTTCTCTTTTACCACTTTCTTCTCAGCATGATCAACAGTCTTCTCACCTTCCAACTTCACTTGTTCCACGGAAACTCCATTCGAACTTGGTGCATTATGACACAAATTCAATCCCTCCTCGTCATTTATTGTACCATCAACAAAGACTCCATAAATCTTACCAAGCAACTCCTTTGCTTGAATTTTTACAACAGAAATGTAGTCTTTGTGTGGGTCTTCAGCGTTAACTCTAAGCCCATTTTCTAGATCAACATCAAAATCTCCATCTTTATAATCCATTTCTAGCTACCAATATTACCTTCTCCTTTCTTTCCAGATGAACTTCAATCCTCAAAGTCAACCCACTTCAGGATTGTGAATTTACAAGACAAATTATGGTTATGGCGAGCAGCGCCAATAGAAAAGCAAACTTCATCAAGTAAGCAACACTTTCCAGTTTTAACTTGCAATGAAACCTATAGATCTTCAATAATTGCAAGGCAACTAGTCTTCAAAGCCTGTGCCTTTCCACCAATAAAGTAATAATCAACCAGAGATCAGCAAATAATGCCAATCTCCTACGAGAACCCCAATATTGAACAAAACCCTGCATATGATTAATACAAATAGAAAATCAATCACACACCAAATGTAGAGTGTGTAAGGCTGTTAATAAATAGGAAAAATAACAAAAGTGAAACCCAGAACGTGGCCTTAACATTGGAATCAAGAAAACCTTACGAATAAAGGAAGGAACAAAAGTCGAGGCGTATAAAAGCAACAGAAAAGAAATATATAATGGGCAGATATATAAACCCACCACAAAACGTAGATTTGAGCCAATCAGAACTACAATTACGAACAGAGCCACCATACCAAAACATTGCATTACAAGTAATCAATAAAAAAAAGCAAATTGACAGCGCCCAAAAGAAAAACTTTAACATAAAACAATAAAAAGTGGAAAAATACCTTGAAGAGAAAGCAAGAAAATACCCAGATCCAATGTGGGCAAGAGCAGAGACAGAGGCTACCGAGGAAAATGATAGCCTGAAAAAGAACTTAGTTTTGGATATACCATATATATACACATTTATAAAAGAGAGTTCCGGAGAGATAGAGCGAGAGATAAGGAATGGACACGAGCAGGGTTTCAGGTAGAGGAAGGAGGATAACCGGGAAAGTACAGAAATTTTGAGATTTTCGGAATTATTATTTATATATAAAATAATAAAAATAATAATTAAAAAGGAAAGAAAGCAAAAGTCTGGACCTTTCTCTGTCTTTCTCTATGCGTGTCCATATAATTGCAGCGTAACGGCCGATATTAAGCACGTGATGCTGTTCAGGAAAGAAACTTCACCGACACTTGATACTGTTCTCTCTTATTTTAATTTATTATTTAAAATATTATATTATCCGGTATTTAATATTTATTTGAATTAATCCATTAAATTTAATTAATTACAATTTTCAGACCTGAATTTTTTTTTTTTCTATACGTGATATTGTTGATTCAGTAATATTATTCAAGTGGATCCCAATTATCTTTGGCAGCAACATTTTAAAATATATACATCAATAAAACAACAATGATTTAACTCTCTTAAAAGAGTGTTTTTCAATCTCTTATTCCTTAATCAATCTATTATTAACAAATTCAAATCCAATTATAGTCAAATGCAGTTAACTGCCTGCATTCTCTTCTCTCCTATTATTTACATGGTCAATAACGTTTCACATCCTTTCATGCATTGCTAATCTGATGAATTAGAAAAAACCAGACCTCTTATTATGAAAAATAGTATCAACCAAATCCAAATTCACGGTAAGAGCATGTTCAGAACAAGCGTATATTCGGTAATATTAATTATTTTAGTAACTAGGATTCAAAAAGTGTTATGGAACACCTATGAAGGTAGTAGACTCAATCCCACCAACCCCACATGAGAGAAATATCCAAAACCCTGGACAATACATACATCCAAATTAAATTGAAAACGTTGGTTGTTTTGCAGGTGGGAAGCCTTTTTGGGACAATACAGAACCCCAACAACTATTTGAGTTTATAGCACAACACTGTTGTTATAATGTCCCACAAAGTAATAATGTTAGAAACTTTTTATATAGATAATATAAAAATTCTAGCCCTTGAAACGTAGCCACTTAGGCCTTTCTAGGTCTTCAACAATGATGGGGCAATTGGGTTCGAAGCAGAAGCACGTGCGCTTGGATTTTCTCAATCCACTGTGGCCCAATAAGATAATACATTGCATTTGCAATGTGGGTGTTGTCCCATCAGGCCACCTTGATTTTTTTTTTTTTTTTAAATATCCTCCTTGGAAGTTGGAACAGTTAATTTGGCTTCTCTGTTACTGAAAGTAACTTAAAACAAATGACTGGTAGGATGAATCAAATTTTATTCAGTTGGACTTAAATGATATGTTCTTGGCATAATATAAAACCACATTAACTGAGCAAATAAATGATAGATGCTAAAACTTGAAAATAGCAGCCCCACTTGATGGTTTTGAAGCGAATACATAAAGACCGAGATCATTTTTACCGATTATGCCCTTGTCAATCCTCGATTGGAAGAAATTTTCCTGTAACAACATATTAAATGTTAATCTCTAACCCAGAAAGGCAACGCCTTTTTTCTAAAAATTGAAAAAGAAAAGTTATTTCCCGTTAAAAGTTATGAGATTTACCTTTAAATTGAGGATGAACTGTGGAACAATGGCCTCTTTCACCAAAGCTACAGCACAGCCACCCCATCCCGCGCCTGTAAGCCTTGCGCCTAAGGCACCATGTTCCCGACAAATTTTTACAAGTTCTTCCAGTTCTGGACAGCTGTTACCGGCAGGGGAATACCAAAAGCAAACATAGTCAGCATTCTACAGAAGGCACAGAGCCAAACATACATATCCTTCTAATTTTTTGTGCTTTCAAGCATTTTAAAAGAGGCAGCTTACTAATGTGGCATATTTACGTCTACAGAGTCCAGATGACTTGATAAACATTCATGCACATTCTGGAAAGTGAAAGTAACAAATTGTAACAAATTTGTACCTGCACTCGTATAAAACACTACAGCTGTAGTGGCTCTCATTCATAAGGTCACCCAACTTCTTTAACTTGTCCTCTTCACTGCCAAAAAATTCTTCTGGAATAAATGCTTTGTATTCTTAAATATCATACATTTCCAAAAGTAAAAAAATTTCTAAGCTGTCCTAATGGCAGAATAAGACGAGCTGACAAATTAAAATATCATTAGGAAAAAATATGAAATTTGAAACATCCCCCTTAACCAATGTATTTTTACTATGTTCAACTTCATGAAAAATAGAATTGACTCGAGTGTGGTTTTAATGGCACACCTTAAATTTGAAGACACAGTGTCTTTGAAAGCATGCACCCGCTTAGCTTCAGAGTAAACATGGGCAGCCCTCTGGAAAAAGGAAGCAGTTCAAAATTTCAAAATTAAGGTCCTTGAACTATAATTTACAAACATTGGACCCAAAAAAAGCTAAGAATATGATAATGATTCGTATAGAAATATTGCCTGATGCAACTTAAAGTGCGTGGCAGCTTTTAGCACATCCAGTGAAGATGAGGAATTGCTAAAAATTGATGGCAGATCTTGCTCAGTGATTTTTTCAATCTCTTCAGCAGTATATGGTTCCTCTTTCAAAAGTTCCTGCAGAGAAAAGGCAAGAATGATACACTGATATTTTGGTAGAAGAAGAAATGCACAAGAAGTATGCATTAAGAAATCATCTCAAACATAACATATTATCTAACCTCAACCAAGATGAGAACATAATCATTTTATTAAATAGCTAAGTGAATAAAAAGTACATACCTTAACAGCAACAACTGGATCGGAAGAATTGTGACGGCCGGCAAATGATACACACAATCCTTCAACATCGGAAAGGGTTTTCACCTTTGATATTGCATCTTGTGGTTTCATTCCAAGCTTTATTCCGAGTACAATCTGAAGAAATATCCCAAAAGAGCAACATAAGTCTTAGATTATATCATAGATATAGGGCAAAATATAAGGAAATTTAGAAGAAGTGCAAGCATATAGATCTCTTTTCTTCTTTTCTTTTCTCTTCTTTCGAAGGATGAAAGGAAGAAGGAAAGCAAGGTAGCGTTCTTTTACAAAAAGAAGGTTCAAACTTTTGAGTTTTGACCAAAATTTCATAAATAATAATTTAAAACTGCAAATTCAAAGCCTAAGTACTACACTTTACTTGGATAAAAAGAAGATTTTCCTAAAAAAGGAATTCAAATGAAAAGAAGAAACAATTGCTAGAAGAAAACAGGAATATACACATGAAAATAATGCTTACAGCAGCTAGTCGACACTCAACAACCCTGTTATTGTAATTCGTAGCAGCAGTGACTGCCTTCTGAGATTCTGCTAAAGAATGTGCAATTACAAAAGTACCCCCAGCAGGAAGTTTCACATCAGTGGCACGAATAGGGTTGAAATCAATAAGCTCTGCAAACCCAGCCTGAGCCATGACAGAGATCGCCTGCCAAGTAAAGGATATTCTATGAGCAATAATACCAAACATTCCTTTGGCCTGTCAGAATCCCTGCTCTGTTTTGGATGCATCTCATTATAAACTAGCTTTTAGCCTGATTTATATTAAAATAATAGTGGATTGCATAAACAAAAACGTCACTTTTGTCCTTGAATCATAGCAGCATCCATCTCAACTAGAGCAATTTCAAATACCTTTTTTAGAAAAATAGGTTAAAATTGCTGCATCAACACAATTCAACAGAAATATATCCAGCTTCGAGAGTAAAAAAGTGTAACCTGGTCCATTCCTCCAGATTGTGTTCCAATGTGCCTTTCACACTCACATGTAAGTTGCGCAATTTCTTTCTGTTAAGGAAGGAACAAGGTCAAAATCATTTAAAAGAGGGGGAAAAGAGAGAGAAATGGAAAAGAAAGACAAGAAAGTGGATAGGTATATGAATAATCAAAATCCTCTTGGCACTTCTGTGTAAACAAAAATACATCCAAAAAAGAGATGTTAATGGAAGAAGTTGAGCATTTTGCAATTGTGAATAATACCAAAGAAAGACATCAGGCAACTTGCGTATGATCTAAAATAAAACCATCGAGTTTAATATTAAATTTTAGACTTAAGACATGTAAATGGACTCAATAGTGCTTATTATTTTGTTTTATACAACAATGGTGGAAGAGTGGCACACCTTCGGGAAGTTAACATTAAAAGCAGCCATGATAGCAATTGTCGCCGAACAAACAAATGCCGCAGAGCTTGATAGACCAGAACCTGGATCAATTAACCAGTTACTCTTGTGTGAGAAAAAAATCACCTCAAATTCATAGTATTGAAAAGGCTAATTAATTAGCTGAAAAGAAATACACCTGTTGGGACAGTTCCATCAATAACAACATCTAATCCAACAGGAACGCCAACATCCACTCCTTTTGATTTAGCGTATTCATAAAAACCTTTGTACCTGGAGACCACAGAAGCTAAAAATCAGCATACTAATCTATTTCAAAAGCAACGAAATAATCATTGTGGCAGTTAGAGGAACAGAAACAAAAGTGCAAATTTTGAATCTCACGCGCAGATGAAATAATGGCCCCATCTATGGTTTTTCAAGTCAATTTCCTGCACAGTGAAGATAAGGGAATAATTAGGTCATATTAACACAAAATTCCATGTTGTTACCAAAATCTAAAATCAGTATCATTAGCTAATCAAGCAGAGTAAAAATGAAAAGCACAAACAGCGATTAGTTAAGAGAAAAGACCTGGTTAGGATCAGCAGGATAAGTACAAAGGGTGTATTTTTCATTGACATTAGCAATTCGTAGAAACTTTTCACCCTCTCCGGCTTCGTGTTTACGTATGGCCACGATGGTGTCCTGCCGGATTGCCATCGGTAACACGGAGTAACCTTCATAATCAATGTGTTCTCCGATGAGGTTTACTCTCCCTGCGGCTCAGATATAAATATCGATCAAACACCAGCCAATCAATTCTCCAGTGATTATCCAATCCACCAACACGACAGTTTATCTTACCTCAAACATAAAACGACAAAGTGATAGAAAAAAGAACATATTTTTTCATTTACCATATTAAAATTCCATTTTTTTCATTCATTTGACTTTTTCCTGAATCAAAAAAATTCTTAACTGAGCTGGAAAACGGAATTTCATTGAAGCAATCCAGGAATTAAGTTCAATTTCTTTCCCTTAAGTTTTTTCTCAGCTACCAAACAAAAAATTGGAGAGAGAGAGAGAGAGAGAGAGAGAGAGAGAGAGATAGCGATATTTGACCTGGAGATCGAGCAAAGACGTCAGGGGAGTGTCCAAAGACTTCGAGAAACTTGGACTTAACTCTGTCAAATCTAAGCTGAGCTTCTTCGAGCATAGAACCCTCTCCATAAACAGGCTCCAAAGAAGAGTAAATCGGAATTGGAAGCTCTTCGTGTTTCGCCATTGATAATCTATCGACGAACGACTCTGCTACCTCACCGTTCACTCTTACGAGTCACGAAAACAAACGAAGAATAAAATTAACAATGCAACGTGAAAAGGACCGTATTGCTTTTATATTGCTTTTAAGCCGATAACGATTAAAAAAAAAAAAAAAAAAGGAAAAAAGGCAAAATTATGATTAAAAAATAATTTTAAATTTGAAAACATGAAAACAACACAGTAAATACTACTTAAATAAAATATAAAAATTATGGATAGTATTTTGGATTAAAAGATAAATCAAAGATTAGGATATGGATAAATTAATTCTTTAGGAAATCCAATCCTGCGTTTGACTCGGTAACTGCATACGGTAAGAGAGCAAATTCAATTAATTAAAAATTAATCATTCGAATAAGAATTTTTCAATTTATAAAACCACTTTCTCTAAGGGAATCCAACCGTCCAATTCCAATCCATTTATAAAGTATAGTTTAATGATTTCACTGTATGAAAACCATATGATATAAATTAATGATAATCCTAATCAATTTTCCATTAATTTTTTAGTAAAAATTTTTACAAGGTTCACGTGTCAATGAGAAAGAGACAGAAGATTCCTTGAGCACCATTTCCAAGAATCTATGCCACTCCAAAAAAACATTACACCTGTAATTCTTTGCTACATAAATTATCCCCAGCAAATTCATTATCTGAACAAATTCATATGATAGAATTGACATTCAGAAGTGAATTTTTCATTATTAAATTAATTAATAGCTCCTAATTAGGGATTTAATTAATTGAATTGCAAAAAAAAAAAAAAAAAAAAAAAAAAAAAAAAAAAAAGAAAAGATCAAATGAGAATATGTCACTGAATTTCCACTGTTTCCAGGGGCCCATTTAAATCTAAACACACCAGACATCCAAGTCGCTGAACCAGCCAAAAGACTCCCGCGCTTTCGGTTCGGTTCAAGGGATAAGATTCATTTATTGAGAATGGGTTTCAAAATGAGAGATTTTGAAAAAAAAAAAAAAAAAAAAAAAAAGAAGATCCAAATGAGAATATTGTCACTGATTTCCACTGTTCCAGGGGCCATTTAAATCATAACACCACCAGACAGTCACAGTCGCTGACAGCCAAAAAGCACTCCGCTTTCGGTTCGGTTCAGGGATAAGAATTTCATTTATTGAGAATGGGTTCAAATGAGAGATTTGAATGATTGAATCTTTCTATTATTGTTGGTTTAACCACAATCAACCAAGCTTGGGAAGTTCGTAAACAAATTTAAAATGTTGAAACTACTAATAACCCAACCAAGCTTGGGTTCACTGTTCCAGAGCAGTCAGGCCATAAAGAGCACTCCTATAGCATAAATCAAGCTTCACAATACCGTTCGATTATACTACTGAATAATTACAGCGGTCCAATTCAAACCACATGCACGTATATAAAGTTGAATAAAGGATATTCACATAGACAGGAACAAGCAGCAGGGAGGAAAAATACCCTGTCGGACGCTAAAGATCCTAGAGACTAAATGACATTAGCAACGCAATTCTAAAGAACCCATATGAACTCCAGTGGAGATTAATTAGGAAAAGAAAGTTGTATATGAAGTTTGTCTCAAGAAATTTATGCCTTAAAAAGAATTGCACTAAAAAGAGAAGCTGGCAATCTCTTCATCTTCATCCTCATCTATAACATCTTCATCTTCACTAAATGTCTCAATATCATCGTCTTCTTCTTCTTCCTCTTCCTTGTCCATCATACTGTCTCTACTGGCTCCTTTGTCCTTCAAACCGGTGCTCAAGACTACTGTTTCTCCTCTGGTTTTCTCCATATCTTTCCTCAACTTTTCCATGTTTTCTCTCCGGCGCTCTTCTTCCAAACGTTCCTTCTCTGCCCGTCTCTTATCAAGGTCAGCCCTGAACCGTCAAGGTTCACATGTTAAATAAAACCTAAGACAATATCAAGACAACAGCAGTTGCAATGAAAAAGGAACAAAATTAAATGAATTGAGGCAATACTTGTAGGTTTCCATGTATTCCTCAGCACTCCCCTCAACAGCCTTAAAGAAGGCATCCATTCCAGCTCCAGAAACAGCAGAGACCCCAACAGATTTTAAATTTTTATAGAATTCATCGAGCACAAGGGAAAGGCTTTGAGTTAAAGTGGATGAATATGAGTGATCTGAGCTCACTGCTGCTTGAAAGGCTTCAAAATCTTCCATCCACTGCACATGTCATATATGTCAGAACAAAGCACACAAAGCACACAAAACAAAATCTAAAATAGGCACACAGGTCCAAGAGCAATGTGGGCAAATATTTGAATATAGTGAAAACCTTCAATTGAACCCCTGAATGAATGCTTCTTCAAGAAATTTTCAACCCATAATCTTCCATAGTTAAAGAACAGCCCTCATATGCTAGGATTTTAAAAATGCCACTAAGAAAAGGAAAAAAAAAAAAAAGTTGAACTTTTCAAGTACTTGAATGAGATTTAAGGTTGTTTAAGAAGGTAGACACACAGCAATATGCCGAATAAAAAGCAAATAAATGTGAAAGGAGGATAATTGAGTGTGAGATAAAAGACTGCACAAATGAAACACAGATGAAGTTTATACCTCCAAAGCAAATTGGTGTTGAGCAACATCTGTCTTGTTGAATGCCAACACGAGAGGCAACCGTGTCTTGTAGAGAATGCTACAAGCATATAGCATATTGCTCATGAAAGTAGTTGGACTAGAAGAACGGGGTGTGTCAACTACATAAGCAATTACGGTTGGAAATGTTGAAGCAAAAGCTTCTGTAATGATAGCTCCGGAAGCAGACCAAGTGAATATCTCAATTTGACCAGGTGTATCCACAAGAACGTAATCAAGCTGATCAGCTCGCTTCTCAATGACTGAAATAACCTGAAATTGGAGAACATAAACTAAGGATACATTAGAAACATAAAGACAAACAAAAAATAATGTAGATTGAAAATCCAGTGCATAAACATAAACAACATTGTGAGGTTGTATAGTACAATTACCCAAAAAGTAACCACATGAGAACAGAAACATTTTCTCTAGCAAAATGAACATGTTCTTTAAGCAATACATTACCCACCAAAGCCAACCTAACAATTTTTCAATCTCTTTCTCTCTCTCTCTCTCTCACACACACACACACACGCACACACGCACACACGCACACACACACTTTTCACACAATGATGGCAAAGAAATGTATGCTTATCAGAGAAATACTTTCAAGGAGAAGATCAAAGATAAGTTTCACCTCATCAAACTTTGTAGCAAACAAGTTTAAGGATGTCAGGATTCCACCATTAGGTCCAAGATTGAACTGCTTCATGACTTCCTTGTACCGAACAGTGTCCCTTATATCAATGTTTGCACCAAATGGAAGAGTCATCACAGCAGGATCAAGGTTAAGTACATAACCACGGATATTTGTAGCTTGTGTATGGGAAACCAATCTGTGAAGAAAAGTTGTTTTACCACTTCCTGAAAAAGTACAAGTAATGATTCTCAAAACTCATCTTCTTTTAGTAATACACTTCATTTTCCAAGCATACCTGTTAAAAATGGGCAGGTAGCAGAAATTACTGAAATAAAAGAATCATAACATGGTTTCCAGAGGTTTAGAACTCCTTATCTCATAAATAACAGCAGTACCTGCCATCCCTACGACAATAATGACAACTGGTTTTCTTTTGAAGTTTGTTGAGGAAGAACCAGCTTGTCTGGACGAAGACTGATCAATATTCAATTTATCCATTGATTCAGAAAGCTCCTATTAAGGATCAAGGATTCAAGAAATCAATAAACAAAACTGATTTCTCTTGTTAAAAATGTCCATGACAGATTAAAGAACCAGAGAAAAAGTATACTATGAAATATTATGACTGAGAGCAGGAGAAGAAATAATATAGGAAATAATGACAAAACAAATTAGATATTCATTCCCAACATACCTCTGAATCTAACTGCATAGACGAACTTCCATCCATAGTGTTCTTTGATTTGTCAAAATCAGCATCCGCTGACTTAATATTCAATTTGTCAAAATCAGAATCAATATCCATTTTCAACAGTCACAAAACTCCTCAACTATCAACAAATTCAAATCTACAGCTGCAAGAAGACATAAAACATTAATACACACACCCAAAAAACTAACAATACTAGTATTTCACCCCTTTAATAATGCCCACAAAACAAAGCATACACACAAGCACTTGCCAGCAACAATCGTCAAACAAACTGAATAATATTCAGTGAATATTACAATCAAATGAACAAATACAACACAAGGATATCACTTAGCAGCCTTTTGGCCGAGAAACGGTTTTACTGGTGTTTCCTTCAGCCAACAAATGCGCAAAAAAGTTTAACTGCTGCGGGAACTCAAATCCCTAAGTTCCACTCTAGATTAAAATACCAACTCCACAAGTATATATTTTCAAAAGATTAAAAATTTCTTAAAAAAAAATAGTAACCCTCTTAACACACACAGTCTATATTATTGAAATCTCAAATGTATAAAAACTGTTAAACCTTAAACATAAAATAAAGTAATCGTTATCCAGCGAGACGATACTCGAAGTCGTTTATGAAGAATTTTCGCAAGCAAAAATGAGTGAATACGAGATAGAGAGCAGTAGATTGGGAGAGTACCCGGTGAGTCAACTTAAGGTCAAGGTTTTCTGGTCTCTGGTTATGAGAGAAGAGAAGCGGCCACTTTAGAGAAAGAAAGGAAACGGAGAACAGCCCGCGAATAGTTATAACGTGGCATATCAAGAGTTTGGTAAACAGAGTAGCATTTTATTTCATCGCACAAAACGCAAAGTGTTGGTGTCGTTTCAGCGTTTGACCACGCAAGCCCCAAGTTAGAGTATCATTTTATCACACTCCGGTCCGGATCTTCTTACAAAATAGTAATGGGCCAATTATTCAGTGTTGGCCCATTAACCTTAGCTCAGTAGAGGCCCATTAGCCTTAGCTCAGTAGAGGCCCATCCAAGTGATGAGTCTAGGCCTAGTCTGTAACAAACGTGGGCTCCGCCCAAGAGGCACAATCAATTTCATCATTTACTATATACGTATATACGTGTGACAAAAAAAGTCGACTCGAAGGTCAAGCGACCAGTCCAGAACTTTGTTCTCTTACAACGCTGCACCTTTTCCCCTCTTTATCAGCAGCAAAATACCGCACTTCACTGTCTTCCTCTCTCATTCCATCTCCTAAAACCCACAACTGCTAAATTAGGGCTCTCTAATCTTTAAGTTTACATGGATAGGCATAGGGGAGACCGATACGAGAGCGGAGGCGGAGGCGGCGGTAGCAGCAATAATATCAGCAGCAGCTACAATCAAGACTCCTACCATAATCGTCGACCCTCTCGCTTCTCAGATGGCCCATCTCGATTTTCTGATGGTCCCATGAACCGCTTTTCAAGCAATGGTAACAATACTGGTAGCAATTACGACCGCGGTAGCCCCAACTATCGTGGTGGTGGTGGTGGTCACCGCCCCTTTGACAGTCCTCCGCGTCATCCTCCACTTGCTGACGTTGGAGGTGTAGTAGGAGGATTTGGACCGGTAGGAGGCGGCGCTGTTGGTGGAGGATTTCGGCCAATGGGTGGCGGGAGTGGAGGGTTTGGGCCTAATTACCAGGCGCCTCCGCCGTTGCCGCCTCCGCAGCCTCTCTCGGGTCAGAAACGAGGGTTTCCATTTAGTGGCCGCGGGAGTTCTCCTGGTGAGCGTTAATTTGTTGATTAATGATTAGTGGTGTTTTAGTTATGTGTTGCTTTCGTATTTCTTTTGGGTATCAAGTGCATCAGTGATTTTTAAGAGTCTTAGTGAATTGGCTAGCATAGCATTAAATTTTAAAGTTAACTCTAAGACAATTAACTTTGGCCTTTGGCTTATGGTGCTCATGCTTTTTTTGCCAGATCGTCTTGATGGTGGTAATTTTGCCAAACTATTTGTGGGGTCTGTTCCAAGGACTGCTAGTGAAGAAGATGTAAGTCTGTTGATTGATGCATGAGCTTTCGACTTTGAGATTATAATGAACCATGTAATCAAATAAGAAAAGACAATATAAAATTCTTTTATGTGTGTGTGTATGAATGAAGGTGGTATTTTCATTTATGTTTCCCAACCCTCGTGGCTGGTCTGTAAGCTCATGCAGGATCAGAGTGTATGAACGATTAAGATTTCACTTGTTTTTCTTGTTTTCTCTGACATGTTTATCCTTAATCAATTTCTGGTGATTTAAATAGGCCATCTTGTTGTATTGACTTTGTTGCATCAGAAGCTGTAATATTAATTCCTTTTTGACATCTGAAATAATCACTTCTTGTGTTTACTTCATAAAACTTTTTTGAATGTTCTGATAATTATACTACTATGATTTATTTGGGTGTTATCTTTGTTCAAAATCACCTGTTAAAGATCGGTTATTTGATGCAGATTCGACCTTTGTTTGAACAACATGGAAATGTGATAGAGGTTGCTCTGATCAAAGATAAGAGAACGGGACAACAACAAGGTACGTATAAATTCAATTTTTAATGAAATAATTGTGATTCAAACCTATCTTATTTCAGGTCTCTAAGAGGCTGATGGGAGCAAAGTATGCTCATCTTTCGTCTCAGTTTGTTTTTGCAACAAGTTTCGGGCTTGTTGGTTTTGGTTGCAACCCCTTTTTTTTTGTCTACATCCTGTCAAAACAAGAAGGCAACACATGTAAACCTACTAAAACCAGTTTATGTATAGCAGTTTGGGACTTGAAGATGATTAGATCCTTCTGTCATATTGGCTGCAGCAGTGGGGGCATTACCCAACAAGTCAATTGTATTGGGAGTGTCTGTTGCCATACTGTAGCTTTTTTATGTCAGGATATTTATGGACAAATTTTGTACATGTAGTTACTTGGAAAAGAAAATACTTAAAATTATTGCTTTTTGGATGGTGTTAAACACAATGTAATTTGAAGGAATTTTGTGGTTTTTTCTGATGATCGTGATAGTGGGGGTGTTTAATTCTGAATGGCTTGGAATGTCTAAATATCAGCTTGTACGCTGCTATATGAGATGGATCTAGAATTGGATAGTTTGGCTTATATGATTGGTAACTGGATTAGATTTGCAATGTGGTTGTGGTTACATGTCCTGAAATTTACGTTGAGAATTATGAATGCGTTGTTGTGGGATGATGGATGGATGTTGTGCATGGTAATCATTTGATTATTTACTCTTTTAATATCCAAGGCAGTTGGTTTAGTTATGTATGATTCTTGGATGGAACGGAAAGCTTGTCTTCTGTTGTTAACTATAGGGAGGATGCTTGTAGTTCTGAGAAAAGGATTTGGGACTTCAGGTCCTTTTTGTTGAACATGTACGCGACAGTTTTTCACAATCATGTGTTGAGAAGTGTGGCTTGTTTTTGCTTTTCTTTTTCACAATCATGTACGCTATAGTTTTTCACAATCATGTGTTTTTGCTTTTCTTTTTTCTCTTTAAGATGGATGTCCAGTTTCATATGTGCTTGTTTCTCATATTTAGGGAGCAAGTTAGTTCTTTCACTTAGATATAGTGCAGAACATATCATTTTCATTGACACTCAGTGGCAGGATAAATGTAGCTGATGGTTTGGCATGTCAAACATGGATTTGGCCGTCGTGATTTGTGATGAGAAATTCGACATATTTTACAGATTTATGGCTTGCATGCTTGGCCTGTGTATTTTTGTGGTGCCTTCTGTTTATGGCTTAGAAAAACAAAGCATCCCTTTGATTTTCCTTATTCATTATAATTGAATGTTGGTGGTCTTTTCCTGTATATTGTAAGCAATTTGCACGACTTTGTGCCGGCGCACTTGCCTGATTCTTTAGTATGTCAAGCAGCTTATCGCTTTCATTTTTCTTTTTGGGAGGACTCTCTTTCTATAGGATGCTTGATAAATCTCAATTCGTCCTATATCCCTATGATGGCCTTTTATTTTTTTGCACGTTATCATGTGATGTACAGATAATGTTTTCTCCCAAATTCCCTATGATAATTTTTCTTGTTGCATGAGAAATGTGAATGGTGATCAAATTTTGTGTCTTTTGAACATTATATTGTGCCTCTGTGATGTATAGATTAAATGCTTATGGATGTCCTGTGTGTGTGCTTTTTGCTTAGAAGTCCAAATAAAGTTATATTTTAATATTTTGGTTACCTAGTACTAGCAGTTAAATGAGATGATGGTTCTCCCGTAGCCCTTATGGAGGAGGAAAGTTACAATGTCTAGTCGGTTTTTGTCTGCTTGGTTTTTTCGGGCACTGTGTCTCATTTTTAAATGCGTCTTTATTGAGACCTACAGGGGTTTGCATTTTGTTGAGACTTGGTTGGAAACATCGTAGTGATGACTTTGGTATGTGATTCTATCATTGTGTCACATGTGTTGCATTATCATTGGTGTTTGTGATGGCAACATCAATCTATATTTCCTCCCCCCCTCTCAATTAGTTGTGATGCAAGAGAGGTATGTTTGAATTCTTGTTTGCGCTTATTTGTAGGTAGAAGATAGAAGTAAGCTCCATTTAAACCAATTTTTCTAATCTGGATATTTAACTAACCTGGCGGACACTCTAATTAATGTGGCCATGTTTATATTCTGGGAGATACCAGTCTTGAGGGTAGCTGAAAGTGCTTGTATGACATTGTTGCTTTGTGATTTCGTTGTATCAACTATCAAGTGAGATCCCTCTTCTAGCAATGTTCATGAATCACCGTAATCAGATGATGGCCATTACTACATTCTAAATGATTGTTGCAACAGAAAACTTCAAGCATTTACTTCTCCGCAGAAATGGCTGTTTACACTATCCCAATTCTTGTTGTGCCCTGTACTCTTCCCTTCTTCCATTTATTTTTTTGGTGCTTTAGTTTTATTTGGTGTGTTATGGGTTTCCTAATCAACAGTGGGAGTACAGCCTGGAAATGTTTTATTAATAAAATGACATTTATTTTTATTCCTGCCTTATGGGATTTCATCTGTGCTAGACACTGCAAACTTGATGGTTTTGCTGGTCCTTCATTTACAATCCATTGGACACTGCAGTGAGATGATCTCATTCCGTCTAGATGATGTTCCTTGCTGCAGAATTGTAGACAAAACTGTTCTTTTTTTTTTTTCTGGGTTATTGGGCTACAGTCAGGAATTTTAACGTTTATGCATTTCATATGATAATGATTTCTTCATTGGCTTGCATCTTTGAAGCATATATAAGCTTATCATAAATGGCTTTACGTTCTGTTCTATGTTAGCTTTTTATCTACAAAGAAAGCAAGCAAGTAAAGGAAGAACATGGGTGATACTGTATATCAATACCTTTTCAGATGATAATGAAGCATGTATAATCTTATGACCCGTGCCTTTATGACTTATTCTCTTCTAAATTAGTTTTCCATCTACGAAAAAGGAATTAAAGGAAGAACATGGGTGATACTGCATATCAATGCTGAGTTGGTATGACATATGTTCCTCTGTGCTTGAGGGAGGACAATTATGTATTTCTGTTTATTGGAATGTGCTTTGGGCATTTTTCATACTTGTATTCATATACTTTCCAGCGGTTGTGTTCTTTGCTTGTGCGCAGGGGTTTTGGGAGGAGGCTTTTTGACTATTTGTATTGCATTGCTTATCCTAGACTATTAGTTAATTTCTCTTTCGAGTTTGAGCATTCCTTTCTATCATGTTACGAGGTTTTTAAATGGATGTGGAAACTTTTCTGTTTTTACTTTGGGCCATGTTCTCTTTATTTTGTTAAATAAAGTTTGATGGTAATTAAGATACCGTCGGGGCTTTAGTGTGTTGAGGGTGGGCCATTGAACTCAACTGGTTGCTTGCATAAGTTGTTTGTTAGTTATCTCCCTAGTTATCTTCAAGCAAATTACTGTTTTGAGTAAATGAATTTTGGTATTAAGTATTAGCCAGAATTTTTTCTGTCACAAGGTCGTGACAAAAGAAAATCTGTTGCATCTTCTGTACCGTTTCGACATGAACTTTTTTAGTCAAATATGCTATCAGGTTCTCTTTATTTTTATATCGAGATGCATTTGTACATATAGAATGCTTCAATTGCATTGATTTATCAAATTCTTGGAGCTTATATATATCTCCGTAAGTAGGGTCTTTCTGAATGTATCTGGTCCTTTCTCTGGATAACTGTCAATTGAATGCCCTTTACAACCTGATTATAACAATCAATGCATATAGTCTGCTCTGTTAATTGAAGCGTGTATCTAACCCGGGGGCAGCTGCAATATGTATTTGTATATATGCGTCATTGTTAGAAGTGTATCAATAAATCAGGTTGAAAAACTCTTGCTTTTGCAGGTTGTTGTTTTGTAAAATATGCAACCTCTGAAGAAGCAGATAGGGCCATCAGAGCTTTGCACAATCAACATACTTTACCTGGAGTGAGTTTAATCATTGTGCTCTTTTTTGGTTTTTGGGCCTGCATTGTTGTTTCAAATTTTAACGTTTCTTTTCCAGGGAGTGGGTCCAATCCAAGTAAGATACGCTGATGGAGAACGAGAGCGTCTTGGTAATAATCCTTGGCTTAATGGACTTCTCTGTTTCTTAATATTTGGTCTTTGGTTTCATGTAGAAAAATCATTGCTATATGGATTTTCCAGAACTGATCATTTAATTACATATCAATGTTGCATTATGACAAGGCCTGGGCCTGATAGACTCTCCAATATAGGTTTTGGCATGACAAAGCTTGCACTGTCTTTTTGCACTTAGGCGCAGAGCGTGCCATATTTTTTTTCATAAAAATGGAGGTTTTGTGCGTTAATGTTCCAGATCATGATATTGGAATAAAATATTTTCCAGTTGTAAATGCTAGCATGGGTGAAATTTTCATTTCTAAAGTGTAAGCTTTACTAGCAAAAGAGTTTATGCATTTGACTCATTTTATCTGAATGTTTTCATTTTTTTTTTCATGGTAGGTGCAGTTGAGTACAAATTGTTTGTGGGATCATTGAACAAACAAGCTACAGAAAAGGAAGTTGAGGAAGTATGTCATATGTCAAGCGGTTGAGTTTTTTCTTCTATCTAAAAATAAAAATGTGCAAGCAACATAAAATCCACGCCTCCCTAATTACAGTTGGCATGGAGGAAGCTTTTCTCCCCTCTACTAGTAGAGATGTAAAATTAGTGTTCTTTTTTTTTAGATTAATTGATCCTTGTTTTTGACATAAATAAGTCTTGTTAGTTTTGTAATTATTTCTTTGAAGCCATGAATAAAGTAAAACTAGTAACTAATGTTGCCTTTCTCAGATTTTTTCACCGTATGGTCATGTTGAAGATGTCTACCTAATGCGGGATGAAATGAAGCAAAGCCGTGGTGCGCTCTTTAAACCTTTTTTTAATTTTGAAAGAACACTAAGAATTTGGATTTTCAGCCTTGGTTATCTGCCATGCTATCCTCTTTATCCCTTAAGATATTTGTGGACTAATTCAAATATCTGATTCTAGAGTAATTACTTCTGATTTTCCTTAAACAGTTGCTAAATTAAGACGAGCTTCTTAATTTAGTGTTTACAAGGAATCAGATGGTTGATATGATTAATATACATCTATCAGCTTTACAAAACAATTGGCCACATTTCTTCTGCTGGTCTGGCATTTTACTTTTTAATGGTGTTTCTGTACATGAATCTAATGTCATTATATCTGTATTTTCCTGCTGCTGGTGCTTTTGTTAAATTCATTCTGAAGGATGTGGATTTGTTAAATACTCTCATAGAGAAATGGCCCTGGCAGCTATAAATGATCTTAATGGAATCTACAGAATGAGAGTAAGCTCTATTTTGTTTTCCTGGTGTTAATTTGACTGAATATTTTTTTTGTTGTGCATTTATTTATGTTTTTGTGCATCTTAGGGCTGTGATCAACCACTGACTGTTCGGTTTGCTGATCCTAAGAGGCCTAGGCCTGGAGATTCGAGGTTTTTTTGGCCTGCGTCTTTTTTCCTTTATGTTCAATTTCATTACATTTTCCCTCTTTATTCTTTAGCTCTTTTCAGAGGGGTTGTGGGAGGGAACAAGTGGAGCATAGGTCTTATATATTTTTATCTTGGAAATTGAACTTCAGATTATGGATAGATTTACACTTATATCATCTGTATGATTTCTCCTAGGGGTGGTCCTGCATTTGGGGGTCCAGGCTTTGGCCCTCGATTTCAAGCTCCAGGGCCCAGGTATTTTTCCATTCTCATTATGGTGAGGTTAGTGGTTCATTCAGCTTCTACTTTCTAACACCATGGTTTTCATGCTCATTCTTATTAGACCGACATCCAAATTTGGTGAACCTATGGGTGATCGAGGTACACCTAATGCTTGGCATCAAATGAGTCCGCAAAATATGGGGCCTTCTCCCAATGCTGGTGTCCGTGGTTTTGGGAGTCAGCTAATTCCTAGGTCTGGTGACCTATCAGTGCCTTCAAATCAGGTAAGGACTAATGGTGGTTATCTGATGCATTGATACTGTAGTATTGCTGCTGGTTTTGTGTGAACTGGAATGGAAACTCATTGTTTCTATTGGAAAAATGTCTTTTTATTTTATGGTGTACTGATTATCTGATCAAGTCCAGTTTTTACCTTGGTACACGTTTGTTGGAGCTATCATATTGTGGATCCTGACACAGCATATGCTGAAGTCCTGTTTGTTTTTGGCTTGCTGGGTTCTCTCGTTAGCTGCTTTTTTTTTTTTTTTTTTTTTTTTTTTTTAGTATTGCTGCTGGTTTTGTGTTGGAAACTGAATGGAAACTCATTGTTTCTAATTGGAAAATGGTCTTTTTTATTTTTATGGTGTACTGAATTTATCTGATCAAGGTCCAGTTTTTTACCTTGGTACACGTTTGTTGGAGCTATCCATATTGTGGATCTGACACAGCATATCTGAAGTCCTGTTTGGTTTTTGGCTTGCTGGGTTCCTCCTTTCGTTAGCTGCTTTTTTTTTTTTTTTTTTTTTTTTTTTTTTTTTTTTTTTTTTTTTTTTTTTTTTTTTTTAATTAACATTGAATTTGGTAGATGAACGGGCAATTTAGTTTCTTTTAGCTAAAAACCACGTATCATGATTTGTTGTTGAACTTTAGGGTGGTCCTTCTGATGGTGCTCCACAAGGACTCATGGGTTCTTCTACTGCCCAACCTGTATGTTTAACTTTTTTTTTTTTTTATTTTCCGATGCCAACATGTACTTCAATTGACCTTTGTTAAAAGATGGGAATGACAACATGTGTTTTATTTTTTGACAGGGTTTTAACCAACCTTTGCAGCAAGTCCCACCACCAGTCAGCCAGCAAATATCACCACTACAGAAACCCATTCAGTCTCCTCAGCGTTTTCCGCCTTCTCTTCAACTGCACCCTCAAGTGGCATCTTACTCACAGACACAAACTCCACTTAATGCTGGTCAAACACCTTTTACTCAGGCACCACCATTGCAGCAGTATCCTGGTATGAGCGGGCAGTTGTCTGCCTCTCAACCGCAGCTCCAGCAAGGAGCCTCATCTGTAACATCATTACAAGCACCTTTGAATGTCAACTTACATTCCCATTCTGTGTCTCCAATGACAAATCAACAGCAGAGGCCTGCTTCTGCTCAGCAGCCACTGCATCAGCCCCTTCAGCAGTCTCCTTCCCAATTAGCTCAGATGCTGTCACAACAGACACAGAATCTGCAAGCAACCTTTCAGTCATCTCAGCAGGCATTCTCGCAGCTGCAACAACAAGTCCAGATGATGCAACCATCAAATCAAGGTTTAACATTACAGCAGGCTTCCCAGCATGCTAAACAACAGGTAGGATTGGATTAGAGGGTAATAACTTTATTTAAAACTAAAAAGAGAGGGAGGGAGAGCTCAATGATGGCTTTGAACAATCGTGGAAAAGAACAAACGCATTAGTTAGGTGTGGTTCCTGGGTTCAATACTTGTCTTTTGTTGAACACAGGGAAAATAAGTAACATAGTTGAGATGGAAGGTTGATTCACAGAATTGTCTGGAGCAACTGCTTTAATATAGTTGTTAAGATGCAATGCAAAAATCATTTTGGTGTTTAAAATTCAGGCTGGGATGGTGATCATTTGCTCTCTATCATAAGATTAGGGCTATGTACATCATCTAATCTTTTTAACTAAAAAATTATCCCACCATAATTTGTCATTCTCCCACACCCTCCCTATTTTGTTTCAAACTCGTTATTTTGCTATACCTTTGTGTAAAATTTCTTTAACTTTGTGCTAAGAAGGTTGCATTTCCATCATTCTCAGTGGCCAGGGATTCCACCACAAACAGTTGCTAGTATGCCTCCCACTACGCTAGCTTCAGATATTCCTCCCTCTACTTCATCTGCTTCTGTTGCACCTGTAATACCCCAGCCAGCAGCTCCTGTAAAGGGCAATTGGACAGAGCATACCTCTCCTGAAGGGTTCAAGTACTATTATAACAGTGTGACTCGGGAAAGCCGGGTAAGAAATTAATTATTTGACTTGCTTTTACTACAAGCATTTTTTCGTCAAACTGACAAATGATGAGTTCTGTATGTGATGGGCAGTGGGAGAAACCAGAGGAGCTGACATTATATGAACAACAACCGCAGCAGCAGCAGCACCAGCAACAGCAACTGCTGCAACAAAAGCCTCCAGTTCAGCAGTCTCAAGCCCAGTCGAACACTCAAGTCCTGCCTGCTCATCAAGTTCCACAAGCACAACAGATGCCGCTTCAAACTCAGTTCCAACCACAGTTTCGCCACCAGCAACAGCTGCCTTCCTTTCCTTCACCGGTTAGTGTATATTCAAATATATAGCTTTTAAAATGTTAGTTTCCCATTGCTTACACTATTATTGGAAATACAGTTTGCTGCTTCTGGAGTTAGGGCACAACATGATTCTCAGGTAAATATAATCTACACAGAAAACAGTAGCATCTTGTAGAAAATTTTCTTCTGCAAAATTTAAGGCTAGTCAAAGAGGAAAACTTATTTATTTAGCCTTTTATATTACAGCTAATTTTCTAGCCCACGAGTTAATATTGCAGCTAAAGAAATATTGCTTCGACATGGTTCATCCTAGCATTGTTTCATGAGTTTTATCTTACTGTGGGGTTAATCTTCCTGGATCTTTCTGACTTTTCAGGAACTTGGTTATGCTCAATTACCTGCAGCCACTAGTTCAGTGAACGATCCAACACGCTTCCCGGTATCCACTGTTTGCTTTGTGTTCCTATACGTTTTCTATAATTTAATTTTCTACTTTGTTTATGAGGTCATTTCCTGCAGCAGGGACTTCAGGCTTCCCAGGAGTGGATGTGGAAACACAAGGCAGCTGGTTCTGGTAATTAAATCTGGCGCTAAATGTGCATTGTGATTTGGGATTTTCTTTCATATGGCTTTTCTCCCTAATGTTGTGTTGGTTTAACCTCCAGGATCATGAAGTGGAGAAGTGGATTCCCAGGCGGATGAGTGAAATATTGCTGCTGTTGAAATGCCTAGGAAGAGAACGGTGGTGCTCTCAGCGACAACGCAAAGAGAAGGCAGCAGCAGCAGCAATTGCTATGAGAGCTTAAAATTCTAAATGAGATGCAACTGTAATGGTTTTAACCAACCTTTAGTTTTGTTAGTTATTTTGGCGAATTTACTGTTGTATTAATTTAATTAGCAAATTAGCCTATGTACCATTAGTATTGGAGCAAGTTGTGTCCCAACTGTGTATTGTTGAAAGTAAAAAATTTATGTAACATGTTCACTAGTAATGAATATTATTACATGTAGCTTAAACCTCATATCGGAGACGTAAACGCAATCAATGATTGTGAAATAGAATGGCTACATTTGGTATTTTGTCGTCTCCTCCCTTTTCACTGTGTTTACTTGTTTGAAGCTGGGTTGAACTAGAAGATTTAGATGCTCTAGTAGTTATCGAGCTAATAATGTTGATGGGTTTCTCTATAAAGACGATAGATAATAAATAATACGGATTTTACTGGAACAAAGCATACAGTAATACGAGTATATTAGCATCTGTTGCTTTAGCTCTGAATTTCAATTAACTAGCCTACAGTTTCTGCGTATCTCCCCACCATTACCAGTCAGTGGCCCTAAGCTTCCCATTTTCAACATAGAATTCCTGAAATCGTCAAAGAAGAGCAATGGATCCTGTGCGTAGGATTCAACAATCTGGCGCGATTGATCATCGTCAGTCACCAGAGTCTGGTCAGAAGGAAGCAATCCCTCTCCTGAAAGTAGATTAAGGAAGTACTGGTTGTCGAATGTCGCCGGTGTAACCAAGTCGAGGTGTGCTAGTGTCGAGGAGCTGTCACAAAGCTGCTGGAGCGACTGAATGAAATCCAGGTTAACATCGGAATTGCCAGTGCCACCTTGTAGCCGAGAGCTGAAAGTCGAGCATCTTGCTTTACCTAAAGTGTGAGCACCTGAAACAAATTTACATAAACCAAAATGAACCATATTTCCTAAAACAGTAAACTCTAGTCATTAACATGTTAATTACTGATATAGCAATACCAGAGAGCGCAACCACATCATTTAGTGTGAGGCCAACATTTTGGAAATTAGCCACTAGTGTTGCAACTGTAGAATTTGGAGCTGGTAAAGCATTTGTGGCTGCAAATTTGCTAGCACTTAAGCTGTCCTTTCTACCCATCTGGACTTCCCAACTTGGTCCACCTGACTGCTAATACACTATTAATTTCTCACAAAAATAACCAAATAAAGATCAAAATCTCCATATATATATTTACCAGTACAACAGAATCTCTTGCAACAATTGCCAGGATATCAGCACAAGACACAGTTTGAGGACACACAGATTCCAATTCTGATTTAATAGAGTCTATCACTTCGAATCCTCTCAACGAATTCAAGTTGGGAGCTGCAGTTTTCTCACCCACGAAATTCTCGCTATCATCTAGCAACACTGAAGCGTCACATCCCTGCAAATTAATTAAATGGTTAATTATGACCATTCCCATATTTTATTACATACATATAATAATGTAAAGCACTTGCATTAACAAAGCAGTCGTGGAAGTGAAGACGAAGCAAAGAAGCCGCCATTCTTGGGTCTTGAGAGATTGCAGTTTCAACCCATGAGAAAATAATAGCTTCTGCTTCTGGACAGCTTTCTCGGTAAATGTTAAATTGCAGAACAAAACCAATATCATCTACACATGTTTCATTCAAGCTGGCTGAACAATGTGCAATTATCAAACACAATACTAATGATAAGTACTTAGACATTTTTGGGTCAAAAAACCAGTTGTATTTGAGTTACTGTGGTTAACAAGCTCTTCCATTATATAGAAGTTTGTGGTAGCGAGTTATGCTTGTCATATAGCAGAAAGTGGTTAGTAATTAGAAAAGGTCAAGTTCATAATTCACTGAAACCCTACACTACCTAATGCCATGTGACCTTTTGAACAAGTTCAGATTTTACTTGTAGCTTTTGAACTCTTCAATATCGATGAACTCATCCTTTTCATCCTCACATGGAAACAATAATTCAAGGATTAATCAAATCCATGCATATTTCGTAGGGTAAAGAAAAGAAATGGAGATCTCTTTTTTCTTTTGTTTTCTTGTTCATTTCTCCTTCTGATAAAAATTCACTAAATTAGCTTCAAGAAACTTTGCTCTCTAAACACAATCTTTTGCTTTCAGTTCTTTTACTTTTATATATATATGCATTAGATGAAAGATTAGACATGAACATAACACCACAAGCAAAATCTGTGAAAAAGCAGATTATTTTCCATCACCAATTTAATAATAATCCTCGTGACCATCAGTAGCCCATAATCTTTTCTTAAAACCATTTTTCCAATGGGGTTTTGGAAAGTAAAATTAGGCCATTCTTCTTGGGTCCTTTCTTAAAAAAAATTAATGGATTGATATTAATTTAATGAGAAACCAAGATTAATTACTGGTTCCATCCACAGATTCCTCCAAAGATAAGCGATGATTCTTTTTATATGAATCTATAAGATAATTATATGTTATTCATATATATATATATATATTTGGCAAATCAAGAGGAGCTAATGATTAAATATATAATAATTACAATAATTTTTATTATTTAATGTTTCAATCATGGTCACTTCTCTGATCACGAATCCCTCCGAGTAGTATTATTTAAGGACCAGATTCGGTTGAAAGATTATTTATTTATTTTAAAAAGAGTTGTTTGTTTAAGTGATGAAAAATAATATATATATAAAAAAAAAAGAAATATTTTCCTTCTCAGAATTAGCAAAGCATGTCACGTCAGCTTTAATTATAAAAGAATGGTTTCATAGTAGAGGAAAATTTCAATACTTAAAAGACAGAATTTAAAGTTATAGAGTACTTGATTCGAGTATATATATATACATATCTACCATAAACGCACCATACATGGTCTTAATTCTTTTACCATTATACTATAATAATCTCATTGGCAATACCACGAATCTGGCTTTCAATAATTTATGAACACATCGTATACATCCTAAAAATTAATTAAATAAATTCTTCAAAAAGTATTTTTCTTGAAATAAATAGAAGGGAAAAAAAAAATAATTCTTAATTAATTGGTTTCATTTATGCCATCTTTAACTTAATTAATTAATTATTTATAGAGATTCTATTCTATGCCCTTGTAAATTAACTTGCTAATAAGGTTATATTACCCTTAATTAAAACAAATTAAGGGGTAATTAATTAAATTAACATGCATGTATGTAGGAAGGAAGGATATGGTAAATGGTACGAAATCCCAACAGTAAATAAAAAGTTACCTAAAAGTTTTCTAACTCAAATGCACTTTTCTTTTCTGTAATCCAAATTAAAAACACAGGAGATGTGGAGGCTTTTAGGGTTGCAATATTTCCACTTTCCAATAAAGCGGTGCGTAAAGGCAAACAATCTTCCTCCCATCATTTAAAGAATATTCACTGCAAAACATAGCATGGCCATGGAGAGCTATCACATTGCAAGAATATATATCTTCTTTTTCTTCATTCTTTCTTCTAATTTTACCCTACCCTATTATGCATGTTCAAACATCTCTTCCTCTTCGTTTCCTCCCTTCTAAATTTACTAAATCCTATTCAATTTTTTTTATTATCAAGAGTGTCCTCTCATCTCACCTTTATTAATTTCGAATCGAGATACGATTATGTTAAAAGCCTTTTCAAAACATCGATTTCACAGCTGAATCCCATCTTTTTTTTTAAACTTCTATGGAGTTTCCATTCGATAATATTCCTCTCTTTCTCTACTATATGTATATACCTCGACTTCAAGTGTGAATGAATGCAAAAATTCCAGATGCTTAGAATTCATATATATATATATATATACATTTGAATGAATAATATTATTAATTATTTGAAAGGTTAATCTTCCATGGTTAAACAAACAGGAGTTGGAAAATTAGGGATGTTGATTAGACATTTCAGAAAAATAATCATTCTGCCACATCACCTTATCATTACTTTTGCAAGTTGTCATCATAAATCCTGCTCCACAATTTATCAACTCATACATATATACACATATACATACACATACACATACACATATACATACTTGTATGTAGTTAAATTGTATATTTTATCCACAAACAAAATCCTAATATATAGTACTTTGAATCATATTTTTGTACATGCATAAAATAATTTTTCACACTATAGATGCTTGTACATGTATTATATATGTATATGTATACATAAGTACATATATAGATGAATTCAGTACAAAACATATATTATAGCTAGGAATCCGGAAAAGATTGGAAAATTAAAGGGAAAGAGATAGTGCAGTGTTGGGCATTGAGGAGTGGGTGTCTCTCCAACTAGTCCCATAGATTAGACATAACAAGTGAGTAGCTACAAACCATGTATGGCTGTAAGTAGAAATTGAAGCAATTCATGAAAATCTTCAAGTAATTAAACGTGTATAAATCTGGGAACGACAATGCAATATGGACAAGGACTTAACAACTCTAGAAAGAACGACAATGCTTAATGCAAACCCATATCCCTACCAAAATCTTTCACCATCCTTAATTTCAATCACTCTCTCCATGTGTTTGCCTAAATGATCTTCACATCATCATTCAATGCCTCAATTTCCCCTCTGTATATATATATATATATATATATATATATAGCTTAAAGTGGAAGAAAGGGCCATCATTCATAAAAGCCTAGCATGTCTCGATCGATCCCATCTTTATTACACATTTTTCTGCATGTTAAAAGAGTGAGTTTAAAACCGGGTCTCCTAATTAGAGTCAGATTAGATGTGGAAACCCTAACCCTAAATTTGTATACATAGAACCAAGCAAAGAAAAGGAAGAAGAAGAACTGAAAGAAAGAACCCCAGAATAATTTAAAGAAATTGGTTAACTACTATATAGGGAAAATGATTATACAAAAACTCAATTAACTATCTCCATAATCGAATAATATGTATATTAGATATATATGTATCTCCGGGTACAAAGAATAAACACAAAAAGAACCAAAAAGAAAGAGAGAAGGAAATTAACTAGTCTCTGCATACGCCAATTAAAAACGCTAGTCATCATTTTCGAACCTCATATGTTGAGTGTCATAAATGTCGATCAAATGGGATATTTCTCCAGAGACAGAACCCTCCATCATAAGTCATCAGTTAGAGAATTACATACCAGTAACTAACATGCCATGCAAATAACCCTTTCCCTCTACTCCTCTGTAGCTTCCTTTCTCATCTGGGAAGGCACTATGTCCTGAAGTAGTCCATGGTCTCTAAACAAAGAAGCGGTTGAAGGACAAAACCGTCTTTCTTGATGAAAACTTGGAGAAAAGGAGGGACTATGAAAAGCAGGACTAGTAGTGCTGATGTTGAGAGAAGGCGTTGAGGTATACATATAGGCATGTTGGTGTTGCTGGTATTGATGAGGTTGAGGAACAATAAATGTAGAATTAGTAGCAAAAGCAGCTGAATCTTGCAAAATTGCAATACTTCCTCTTGGTGTTATTGGGCTTGGATGCGTGTGCTGCCCTTCATAAGTTGTAACAACAATGGTGGGATCTTCAGATGATCTCTCTACTCTTTTCTTCACACCACATCCTGCACTAGTGCAGCGATAATAGCTCCTGAAAAAATTATTAGCAAAAATTACGAAGGAACCTTTTTTTTAGAAAACACAAAGAAAAGAGAAATTAAGATTATTATCCTAAAACTTTTGTATATTCTTGCAACACAAGTAATAATGAGATTTAATTATTATATCAAAGAATACCTCGGATAAGGGCTATTTTTCACTGCTTTTTGGCCGTACTTCCTCCATCTATACCCATCATCTAAGTGATCAACTTCGCTCTTCGTCATGAAAGCAAATCTCGGCTCTCTTTGCCTTTTTTGGTTCTTCTTTTTGGGTTTCAACCTAAACACCCACAATAAATATTACACTTTCAGTATCATATATGCTTCAGCAGAAATTATAATTGCAGAGAATAGAATAAAACCCATCTCAAACACATATGATTTCTCTTCTCCCCTTTTTTTTTTTTAGTCGAAAACTAGCCACTATAGCCCGAAAATAGAAAAAAAGAAAAAAGGATAAAAAAGAACTCACTGTTTCTTGTTCTTGTCCTGATCTTGATCTTGGTCCTCTTCTTCTCCGGGTTTCTTATTAGCTGGTGCATCGTTATTAACTGCTTCATTAGAAGATGAAGAGATGGAAGAAGAGTTAGGAGTTGCCGGAGCATTCAAGACTTCCGATGATTCTGGAACAGTAGATGCCGGTGATGGTAATGGTTGGCTTGGAACAATCGGAGCTGGAAACCAATCGAATAAAGAAGGACCAAAATCTTGGTTCCTATCAAGCAAGTCCATGAAGCTTAAAGACTCTTTGTCACCTATATCACATGGCATGATGTCAAAGATACTGCTAGTTGTGGTTGATGATGTTATTGGTATTACGGTGGATGATAAAGCTAAACTGTTACTACTACTCGGCATCTCTTCACTCATCATCAATGTCGAATTTGCCATAGAAATAGAATTCCCAGACTTTATCATTTGCTCCCCTCTCTTCTCCATAGATATATATAATCAAATCTTGCATATATCAAAAGCACATATTCTGCTTCTTCATTTGAGTATAGCACTTGTTCTCCTTTTCTCTTTTCTCTCTCCTTTTCAGGTTTATTAAAATATATATATATATATTATTATTAAAATAAAGAGAAAGATAGAGAGAGAGATTGAAACAATGGAGACTGTTGTTTATTTATTTATTTTCTTTTAAGTGTGAATCGTTACTTTGGGTTGGGATTTTGGACAACAGCTTGGAGTAAGGAGGTTTCCCATTCGGAATGACCGGCATTTGCCAGTTCTTTTTGTACGAAGGTAGTGGATTTGGGCCGGTGTTGTGCATTAATTGCTACAATATAGCTTCTGGGTCCACATCTTCTTACGCGGATTTTTTGACTGCTTTTACCGGTTGCGGGTAAACCAGTCTTTTTAGCTCCACGTGGATTGCTTAAAAGGGTGTTTATCTAGCTCGTGTGCAGGTGATCGCTGCATTTCCACCGTTTTTTTGAGTTCCTCTCCCGGGCCGGGCGGCTGTCTTTTTCCTTTTTTAGCTTTTAACGGTAAAATTATTAGTCAAAAATTACTTAATTGACCCTATGTGCCTGATTTGATTTCCTAATGAAAATATTTAGCATGTTTTTTTTTTTTTAATCTAAAAAAACATTTTAACGATCATCCCTATTTTCCTTTTCGAGTTGAAAACTGTTCTGGTTTTTTTTTTTGCCTCTTTGTAAATACTTTTTCGTGGAGAGAGATTTTAATCATCCATTCTCGAAAGGTCCATCTTTTGCAAAATATATTATAAGTTGCATCTTGTTTTATGTAGAAATGTTAGTTGATGTCAAAGTATTTTTTATACAAAAAAGGGTTATTTCGTCATGTAATTTAATTAACGAAAAGAGAAAATTTTTTATCAATTCCAATAAATTTCTTAAAGTTCAACTTCACCCATTCTGAGAAAAGATTTTAAATTTATTCTCTTTTATACTGTTATAACTTTATCAAGTCCTTTGATAATTGGCCAACCCCAATAGGAATTAGAAGCTCAAAACTCCTTTTTCTTAGTTTGACATTTCGAAACATTCAATCTAAGATGAAGAAAAAAAAAAATATAAGGGCATTTCTGTAATATTACGACAACACTCTGTTCAGACAAATGCTTTCCATACACAGAAAAAGACTTTTTTTAAAAAAAATATGGAAAAGGATAATCAATAATAACAAGCTTGTTTCGAGCGTGCGAGAGAAGTTTCTGGCACGTATGGACATGAATTGCACATGCTGACACAATCTCCGCGTCACTAGACCTTCTTTAATCGTTTCTCGGTTCTTCCCCGACAAGCCAACACCGTCGTTTGACCACAGTGTAAACCGTTTTAATCAAAGGGGCTTGCAAATTTCGCTGTCTGATTAATTTGTAAAATTTTTATTTATTTTTGTAGCGGTCGTCGCACCTCTTCGTAACTTCTCTGCATAAACGTATTGACGAGAATAGGTCAATTTATGAAAATTCAGTCCAGAATTTATAATTTTTGTGATGCTTAATTTTCTATCATGAGAAAATATTAATCAATTAATTAATTTGATGATTAACTTGTAAATGGACCTCCTAAGATTGGAAAAGTGAGCCATTAGAAATGACAAAAACAGAAAATAAAGCACTCAATCATTTAATTATATATATATATATATATATATATCCCCACAAAAAAGAATATAAATATATGCATGATGGAGCCCCTCCCCTTCATGTGTCATACATAAAAAGCATAATGGTCATCTCAGGGCCAACCTGGATATTACGGAAATAAATTCTAAAAAAAAAAAAAAAAAAACATTTAATTGGAATACACTGGGTATAAATTTAACAAAATTAAATAAATAAAAGGGGGAAATTATTGTATCCTTTTCTTCAAATCATGAAGCACGTACTGTGGCCTTTTGGTCATAATCGCCAAGTAGCTTAATTAGGTCGATGTGTGGGACATTCAAAAAGCCAGAGACCTCAAAAATTATTCCACGTGTAAGCTTTCTGCTTCTTCTCCTGGGTGCATATATAATTATAAATGTGGGCATTTTAATTTTTATTTTATTTTCTTTCCTTTCTTTTCTTTTCGTAATAAATAATGGGACTTCTGTTTGTTTGTTTGAAAGCACATGCACTTTTACGCGGTTTTAGTATTATTCTTTTGTTAGGGTTTGCTTCCAATACACGCCCTTCTCTGTGGCTTTTCACTTATGCTTCTTTTTAGTTAAACTACATTTCTTCTCTCGCAATCAATTCATCAATGACCACTAACTGTCAGCTAATCTGGCCATAACCAGAAGCTTATAAAAAAGTTTTTGAAACTTTCTTATTAACTCATAATTCAAGATTGGAAACAAAGCTACAAGTATTCTTGTACAACGTACGTGTTACAGAGTTTTCTGTGTAATACTCGAAATTTAATTAGTCATTAAGAAATTCCAAATTCGTAATTGTTTAATTAAATTATTAAGTGGAATATATAATTAATATGAGGATTAAGAAGAAGAACAGGGTTACGATTCAAATAATTTTAAATTTTTAATCCTTCTGACTTTAATGAGTTAATTATTAATTAATTAATTAATTAATTAATTAATTAATAGAATAGGTAAATGCTATATATATACGGACAAGACAAGTTGGGGATGTTGCTTAGAGAGAAAGTATGGGATCCGAAAAAGAGACAAACACTAAACACAGTCAGTCGTTCGACAAATAATAAGGTGAGTGGCAGGAAGAAGGAGACTGATTTTCATTCCGTTTCACATGCTAGCGTTAGCGTTTGCGTTTGCGAGTGAAAAACACAGCATATAATAAAGCGTGGATGGGTCATAACTGATGATCGGACACCGACTCTGAAATTATTCTGGAGCTGGGTCCTACGTAAGATTAACCATTGTTTTAACTGTATCGACCGGTATGTTTTTGTTTGGGAATCTAAGAGTAATGGTCAAAACTCAAAAGCCTCTTTAGGTCAAACTCTTTGATCATTTGTATTTGTCAGTTCAACAACAAAATATACGTATTATTATACAGCCTTTGATATAGATGATTTAATTAGCATATATATGTTAAATCAATTAACAAAATTTTCAGGCTACATAAAAATAAAATAAATAAATAAATAAATGAAAGGTTAAGATTCCTCCATCTCTCTCTATATATATACACTAAAATTTCGAATTAAAAGGAAGAATCATTAGCCTTTAGGGAGGGTACCCTAACCCTTGCCCTTATCTTATCAATGGAATATATATAACCACCAACTGCGTCAGTTGAGCTTCTGTTACGAATCTTGATGTGCTTATTCTATCACCGACCATTTCATTTCTAAAAATAAATATATAATGGTCTTGTTTGTATGAGAATTTTTGAAGATGTATACATATATATATATATATATATATATATAGAGAGAGAGAGAGAGAGAATATATATATATATATAGAGAATGAAGAGAGGAGAGAGATGGCCAAATCAGATTCATTTTAACTTCCTAGAAATAGGAAAATATTAAATTGGGGATCAACTTATATAAGACTTGACAAGTTATAACAATTTTTATAGTACAGTGATTCTTCCTTTGTTTTTATTTATTCTGAAATAAAATTCAAGGGCATGTTATTTTGGTCCTCTGGCATAAGCTTGCCTTAATTAATCTCGTTGCCATTCTTAAAATGGTAATAAAAAAAAAATGATTTCTCTAAGCAAGTCAAAAACTGTTTTTCTTATTTGATATATATATAGAGAGAGAGAGAGAGAGATGCAAATCAGATTCATTTAACTTCCTAGATAGGAAAAATATTAAATTGGGGATCAACTATATTAAACTTGACAAGTATAACAATTTTATAGTACAGTTATTCTCTTTGTTTTATTTATTACTGAAATAAAATTCAAGGGCATGTTATTTTGGTCTCTGCATAGCTTGCTTAATTAATCTCTTGCCATTCTTAAAATGGTAATAAAAAAAAATGATTCTCTTAACAAGTCAAAACTGTTTTCTTAGTTTGATATATTTAATGGTAAGAAAAATTCGCATATAAAAACTGAATATTTCATTCGAAAGGTTTCAAGTTTCTCCATAAACACTGCATTTCTTAACATTTAACATATTGATTAAGATAATAAGCAATCTCAGTCTCTGTAACAGTGAGTTTACAAGTTTGAATTTCAAGAAATATATTTACCGAAAATTATTAATTAATTCAACAAAGACTCATCATTTGAAAAAAATAATATTATTAAAGAGAGGAATAATTATTTTATCTTTAAAGTATATTTCAAAACCATTTGTTTGATTATTAATATAGCAATATTATTATTTTTGCATTGATAATGATTCTTCTTCTAGATTAATGTTCACATCATCCACTAATGGTGGTTATAAACTAAACATTCAACTTTTAATTACGTATTATGAAAAGATGGAGTTAGACTGTATAGAGAACAAACCACTTATTCCTTCTATCTTATTAATTAATTTTTAATGCAGGAGCTGGATTCTACCTAGATTTTCCCCTTTCTTTATAGAATTAAGTATCAAATTGTTTATGTTTTCCACTATATGTAGCTTTTAGACCTCAACTTATCCTATACTCTCTATTTTAATTATTATCTTAATTATTATAATTAGCCTCTATTTCCTCTAGACTTTGGTCTTGATGGTCAACCCAATCACACTAATTAGTAATTAGACATAAGTACTAGTTAATTATGCTTTTGCAGCTTTAGACCCAGTCAATAACTTAGTATTAAGTTTGCAACATTTAGGTACCATGACTGTGATATGAACATTTGTATGCTTCAACTTCTCCTACTAATTAAATTTAAAAGATAAAGTTTAGTTGAAATATATAGCTTTCTTTCCCAAAACCAACAACTCCCTACTTTTTTCTTTGACACTTACAAGAACATTATAGCAATATTAGTTGTTTAATACTCTTCTTAATGACTTAATTAATTTACTAATCTATAATGTAGTGTCAAGCTTCCACTATCAGCTTAACCTTTTGTTTTTTCCGCATAATTAATTAATTAATTAATTAAAACTACTAAGTAAAAAGAATTATTTATTCATATAATTAACTTTGATATTAATTTTCTATGTCAAAGGCTACTTACAAAGTTAAATGTTCGAGACCTGATATTACTATTATTGGAAGACCTTTATTTTAATACTGTGTCAGAAAGATTTAGAAAATGAATATTCTCTCCCTCCATAAATATAAGTTGATTGCATTTTATTAATATAATTAAAAAGGAAGAAAATAAGTTCATTAAATAAAATGGTTGGGAGGCTAAACTCAAAGCCGTTGACTCATTAATTAAGTTGATAGAATTAAAGATGGATAAATGGAAACAAGGGAGCGATGATTGCGGCAATAGGAAGTTACTGTAATGTCCTTGAAACAATTATTTAAGAATATTTTTGAGACCCTAAATATTGGTTTTTTTAAATTGAATAACAATAGTATGGTTTAGGAGTGGGTTTATTGTTTGTTGATAGAGGCCGCACCCGCACAGCACATGGGAGAGTCAAAGTCAACAATTTATGATATTATTATATTGAAACGCTAAACGCGTAAATTACACAAAAGGACAAAACGACTTTAAAATCGCAACGCAGCGTGGAGGACAAATAATCGCCCTCGTTTTGCGTGCACGTCTCTATAAAACTGTGTGATTCTTTCTTTTTAATTTAAATTTTTTCCTCCAACCATGATTCGATACTTCTCAGGCCTACGTGTTCTCGCCTTTCTTTTCTGTATCGTGTCAAATTTTACTATTCGTTCGTCCAATAATAATAAACCCACCTTAGTTCTGTGTTATTTTTCATTAAATGATAAAATTCTTCAAAGACTTCTATTAATCTTGTGTCAAAAATTCTGAATTTATATATTAATTAATTATAGTCCATTTATTTAATTACATACAAAAATAATCTATAGTATTTAATTTGTTCAACTACATACAAAAATAATTAATAATAAAAAATATAATTATGTGAGCCGGTTTATTTAGTCAATCATCATCATTATATTTTTTTACTGGAAATTGAATAAAATATTATTTGAGCAAAATTGAAAGCTATAAAGAAATTATTGTATCTTTGGTACATAATATACATTTGATTGGTTTTTATAATCCGATAATATCTCTTTGTAGCTTCTAGAAGAGAAGACTGAACCCTTAAAGAGGAGAATATGAAGATCTTCTGTAACAAGTTGTTGAACTTACGTCTCTTGAAGTAAACAAGGTCATTATTACATTAATAAAACAAACTTATGCAACAGAGAATTACCATCCTCCTATGTTTATTTTGTCCGCGAGTGAACTCGAATTTATAATCTCGTGAATCTCTTTATCTCTTCAGACGCTCTGTCACGAAACTACTCTTTTGAATTTTCTTCAAGTGAAAATATTATCAAATTATTACGAGTTAGAATAATATAAAGCCGAGTGAGATTGTTACATAAGATTGCAATTAGAACGCACGAAGTAAAATGAAAATCCCACTTGTTAAAATTATTTATTTTTAAATTTACTCTAAAACACTACAAATTGTAAATTGAAATTCGTCTCTCGGAAAAAGCAAATCAAACCCGTGACAATAATGCAGATTTTCTGGCAGTGAAATCTGGAAATCAACTTAGTAAACTCAATAATTTAGAATAATTAGTATTCTAATATTGCAAAAGAGAAAAGTCCTAGAAAACAGAATGTCAGCACAAGAAGAGGGAAGAAAAGAAAGGGAGAGGTGTGACATTGTTGACTTTTTAAGAGTGTCAAACCACCAAAACCAAAGAACAAAACCCACATGACTAAGGGATTATGGGACCCACATTTTTATTTAACCCTTCTTGGTTCTTCTCTTCCCTTTCCTTCACAAAGGTCAACTGGGGGTGCGAAATCAGACATCTGTTCTTATTCTGTAATAAAAACATTTAGTCTTGACCGTCATTAAAAGGTATTTGTTCTTTTCTTGGGTCTCCCTTCCTTCAATCTCGAACCGTAAAAGAAAGAAGCTTTCATGGGGTCGCTACCGTTACTTCAATCCTGAAAATAACGGATGGCTTTATTTTTGGATGGTAATGGGATTGGAAGAGACATGCTTATGTGTGTAATAACTAATTACAGAAGGTTAGGTGATAGTTTGGAGCCACCTAAAATGCATTTCCGACATAAAAAACGACAGTTCTTGACAAAAGGATTTACCGACATTTAAACAAACAAGCCGACAATTAAATTCAAGACCCGCATCCATTTTCTTTTATGGGGCAACAAAGGAAAAATGGGCATTACCCGTTTCAAGTAGCCCATATAATTTCATAGCAGATAGAGATATATACATACCCTTTTTATGAGTTGCTTAAAGAATTCCAGATGGTGTAAATGGGAAAATGTAAACAGAAGAACATGGGTTAGGGTCCAAGTTTTCCAGATCAACTAGAATTGGCAAAAAAAAAAAAAATTATGAGGTTCCTGTGTGAAAACTCTAGCCGCTACAGGCAGCAAAGCTGCCAGACCTGCTAGCCCACATTAGAAGATTCAACTTCATGTGAAGCAATTAAAAATCGTACAATGCTTATCACAATGAAAAGCATAACAATAATAATAATAATCCCACCAAACTCCTTTTCATCAGCAGCTATTCAGAAAGAAGGGGAAAAAAAATCTGTGGAAAAGAAACTCTTGGATCAACACAATTGTGAACTGGGATTACTTCAACATAAAGAATCATTTCATTTCTTTTGACTTATCAAACACGAAGGTTTAAAATCATGTCACTTTTGACTGAAGTCTGCAATTTTATAATATAGAACATCCAGATCTACAATCCTTTTGAGGAAGGATAAGATGCTTACATAAGCAAAGACCCAGTGATCGCGACTCGCTGTTTTTTCCTTCCAGTAACTTTTGCCTACACATCTCTTTCACGTATGAATCTTCCTCAGGTCCCATTATTTCAACTACTGACCCAAATTTTCAATTTTTAAACCATAGCTTACCGCCAGTTGGTCTTGGTTGAAACAAAGCAAATCAACATATATGCACATGAAACTTAATCAGACATCTACAGCACATCAATAGCATACATAAAACGAAACATGCCAAGATTGGGGCAAATAAAGACAATTACTACTAAAGCTGAGAAGTCCAATTGGGTAATAATTTTACAAATATTGGTCCAAATAATATAATACGTCTTCCACAACAGGGTCCTATAGTGGATCAGAATTTCAAACAAGAGGTGCAGGAAAGCCATAAAGCAAAATTTTGCATCACCAAAAATACAATGACAGCCCATTTACCTAAATTAAACAATGAGAGTTTAGGACCATACTGTCAAGAAGATTATAAATGGTCACGTCTGAATCTGGGTAACAGAGACTTTTGTTTCACGAATCTGTAGAAGTACCAGCAGCTTGTCGCATTCTGCGCTGGTGAACATCCCAATTATACACTCGGGCGATAGTGACCTGACAAATAGTCAAAAAAAAAACTACTGAGGATTTGTTCCATGTAACTGAAATACATGTATCTAACTTTTGAAGCCTTGAAGGCTTCAAAATGCTGTTTATTTCAAATGCAAGTTCACATGGTTCTGTGTCCTAGGTCATGCTTATAGACTCTCATTCAAACTTAAGATTCACTCAATCATATCACTTGAAGAAGAAAAAAAGGACTTTATTAGCTTTAAAAATACCTGTGTTATTGTGACTTGATCCCTCAAGAATTGTAAATCAGCTACAAGAACTTCTAAACTAGCTTTGGCATTATCTAAGTTCTTTTGTAGAAGACTAGTGGCCTGCACCATAAACACAGTAAAGGTGATCACATCATTCAGGCAAAATAGAGGCTTTCCATCATCATTTAAAAGAAACTGCGCAAACCTCTTCACATGAATATTCCAACATGACATTTGCTCCCAGCCATAAACACACAGAGTCAGTATCCTCAATTGAGGCGCGCGAATATATGCCTTCAGAGACTTCAAAATCAGCAATAATTGCCTGTATCGAAAATACAGTCTCAACAAAAAACTAATATCACTAACTTAATAAAAGCAATATCCTAGAATGTGTGCATACACAGCTATTCAAGATCCAGCATGAGCATCTAACTAACTCGAGCTCCAATCATAAGATTAGTGAGCCAAAGGACATCATTCATAAGTTCCATAATTTCTATATGATTACAAGTTGACTGCACGTTGTCATTCTAAGTTTTTAATACTATATTTATATAAAAAACAAAGTAGTATCTGAAAGAACCAGCATATGTTGACATGGTTCTCGGTAGATTTACAAAATACTAAATAGCAGTAAGGAAGTTCCATTCCTTTTTATATTATATGGCGAACAACAAGCATTGCTTAGGTCTAAAGTATCTGAAAAATGTTGCTTGTACTATAGACAAGGAATTGATTAGCTAAAACAGCTAAGTTATGGTGATCAATGGACTCTCATAAGCTTCGGTGAGCAGATGTCTAGAACATAAAACTGGAACATTAATGCCATCAGAGTAACCTGATAATTGATCTTTATTGACCTAAGAAAAGCGAGGATATCCTCCAGGAAAGTGTTATACAATATAAGGACCCCCATGTACAAGAAAAAAGTGCCCATCAAGATAAGAATATAGGGTCAAAAGGGTAGTCCTCCCTCAACAGTTAACACGAAAAAGTTTTTCACGTGAAACCACTCACTTTCATGAATTAAAAAAATAATAATAACAGTAATTTAGGAGCAAGACAAGCAACCAAATCTTCAGCAACAACACAACATAAAAACCATGTTGATGAAATGCAGCTAATAACAAGATTATCATTACTACATCACAGCCTCCTTTGGACAACCATAGTTACCAAGATTATATTAAGAGTGCAACAATAAGCAGGGATGGCAAACCCGACCTCCCAATAGCAGAGGTAATAAATAATACAACATTTTAGGCATTCGAAGCATCTTTGGATTTATAAGGAAGATCAATTAAAAGAGACAAAAAGGGACATGTTAGGTTGTCCAATTACACTACTAAGAATCTGCCTCCTGAGTAAGAAAAGTGCCTTGTCTAAATGGGTATGCATCAACATAATATGACAAAATAATCCATCAATATATGACATGGAAACAAAAGGTTCAAAGGAACAGGTTAATGTGTGTATTTCAAAACCAAGTAACAAACAACGTAAAATGATTGATATACAAAAACGAACCTCACCAGTACCCTTCTTAGCTTGTAAAGTCGAAACCACATCTAAGCACTTCTCAATATCAGGGATCTTTGCCTGAAGCCAAAATAAACAAAAGTAATGTCAATCAAAATCATCAGGCATAAAATAAAATGCTATGAAAACAAAATTTCACTCGGCTCAATGACTCGGTTTAACTTGGTCAAGTTCTGTCACCAGGTTGTACATCAAATTCGTCCCAATAAAATAATGTAAAAAACAATTCATTCTTCAGAAATAAAATTAGTTAAAGATTTATATAATAATGCAAAAAACCAGAATCAGTTAGACCGTGAAATGATCATGTTCAACAATTGTTGGAAAGTTTACCAAATCTTGCAAAAGAAAGAATAGTTTTACGACTTTGTTTACAACAAGGGGTGTCATTCCAATATGACACCATAAAAATTGGATGATTTCAAGAGAGTTAGGGGAAAATTCTCAAATTTGACAATGTAGTTATTGTGTATCATCAGCCCAGCTTCACAAGAACGTAAAAAAAATTTGATCACGAAGAATTCTTGAGATGACAAAAAAAAATAAAAAAGCGAATGCCATTTTGGAAAAACATGTTTACCATTTAAACAAAAAATTGAACTACATTCCATAGTCTATTGGCATCTGATGTCTAGTAGAGCCAAGTATTAATGACTAGGATTGTTAGCCGTTTCTCTTAGTAAACGAGTCACTCAATAAACCAATTGGAACATTCCCACTAAATTTCAGCTCATTAAAACTCAAATTTCGTTTGAATCAATGACATTTTAGATCGCTTCTATAACAAACAAACTGCATGAGTAAATGACAACTATGCGAAGTACAATTGTACAAGGAATTAAGAAGTCAAGTACCTGAAGATCCCTCTGCTGGGCAAGAAGTTTCATCTCGACCAACTTATATTGCTGAAGCCTACAAGATATGGCACACAAGTTGCGTCACAATAACACAAGAATTGATTCGAATAGCAAAAGGAACAAACAAACTACTCTTTTCATGAAAAAAAAAATTACTGGTGAAATACGAATCATAGTAAAAGAAAAATAGTACCTTTCTTGGAGGAAGGAAAGAGCAGAGTTGACATCAAGACCAGATTGATTGAGATAGGTTTCCACATCTTCTACAAATTGAGCTCCAGGTATTCCTCTTCTTTCTGTCGATGATGATGAAGACGACGCCATTCTCTTCAAAATAAAAAATATAAACAAGCAGAGATCTTTTAGAGCTTAAAGTTTAGTACTTCCTCACTTGTATGTTCGTGAACTCAGAGAGACGAAGAAGACTTCCAGTGAATCGTTGGACGGAAGACGAGGGCGACAGTGTTCTCTCGTACACTCGTGGGTCAAGCACAACGACGTCGTGTTTCGGCTGTTATGTTTGAGTATTTAGATGGGCTGTAATGGGCTCTCTTGTACATTTATTTTATTAAACATTCTATAGAAAAGGCCCAATAATATCTCAAACCAATCCATATGCAAAAAAGCCCATATGATGGGTTCGTCTCCAACAATTAAATATCATTAGGTATTGTTGCTTTAGCTTAAGTTTAATTAGACATGCATGTTTCTCGGGCTCCAAGCACATGCTCTCACATGTAGTATTGTACAAATGAAGGAGGTGAAGAATTTGTATGTGTTTGTATCCTGCAATTCATGAATCAAAATGTAGGGAGCTGTCGTTTAGATTGGCAGAGGTATTGCAAGTACATTGTAACGAATCATGAGCCTGCGGTGCTTGGTTCACAGTTATCAGATTCTAGTCCTTCTCTCCATTTCATATTCTCTTTCACCTCCCCAATAACTCTGGTAAAAAAAAAGATTATTACAAGAAAAATGCATAAGGGTTACCTGAACATTTAAAGTGCTTTTTTGGATTTCGAATATGACAATGTTCTGATCTTTCATTTGTATGAATTGAATTTGATTATTGAAATTTCTAATATATAATATATTTATAAAAAAAAAAAAACAAAAACACTGTTAAAAGTACTATTGGGCTTTATTTGATGAAAAATTAGACTCAAACCAAGAAAGGTCCAAATCCAATATTTAAGAAATGAAAGACAAACGAGAAGAGATGAGAAGCAATGGAGGCTGCTGTAGATATGTATTTCTTAGAAACTCACTGTCTCAACACTTCCAAAGTGCAAATTCAATTCAATGCACCTCTCCATTAATACAGAATCTAAAGGGAAGGGCAATTATTCCTTTTATTTTACCCTATTATTGATTGTAAATTGTCGTATCTCGTACCACTCCGACTAATCCAAATATGTGCCGAGTAGGTCTACAAAAGGGACGAATCGCTCTCTCTCGAGGATTTAAAGAGATTTTATTAATAACATGACAAATTTCCAAAATCTTAAAGTTTCTTGAAGCTACAAAAGGTGTGTAAACCTCAAAAAGTGAGTAAATAATTGTAAGCAAAAGGTAAAATAAATTCTTTTTTAGTAAAAAAAAGAAACTAAAACGTGAAATGGTGGCTATTAAAATAATAGGCAGCTAAAAAGTAAGAAAGAACCATAATTAAGGACAAAAGGGACAAAACACATGCGTCCAATTAGTTGGTGGACAAAAGCAAAGCACAAATGCCTAATTCCACTCAATTAGGTAAGATAATGAGATTTAACCCACCATTGCGCCGTAAGGTTAATTATTCCGCAAGTTGCATTTTAGATTATCTAATCCTACCACTAGCCTTGTTACCTCTATAGCATGTGCCCATCCTACACATTTTAAATAAATAACTATACTTAATCTTAATTACTTTTCAACCCCACAAAATTTATTACATACTATTAAATAAATTTATTCCACAAAATTTTTGGAATAATTTCATTTTTAATAATGCTAAGCGGAGATTCTAAGCCTTAATGAGGATATATATAGACCTTTAGACTTGATAGAGATGGGTTATGGGCAGGTGGGTATTGATCCTACAATTACCTTAACAAAATTTAGTTAGATATTTTGGGTTGGTCCCCCAAATAAGTGTCATGAATTGGTAACTTTCTTTAAAATGAAAACGACATACCCTCTTCTAGGACAAGTAAATACATTGCACATTGACAAGGAGAGGAATAGTGACCTTGTAATTATAAATTATGCAAGGAAGAATTGGTTTGGTGTGGGGCTATAGATTGAATAAAAATGCCGAGTTAGAATGTTTCAGATTGGCAGTAATGCCAAATTAAAAAGGTCCCATTCCTAGCATTTGCCATTTGGTCCCCATGCCATTTAACATCTTTTTTTATATATATAAAGGTGACAACAGTTTGACATAATCTGTGTATGTGAATGTACCGATTTGGGAAAACGACGACTGTAGAGCCAATGAGATTTCACTTTCAAAAATGTTCTCATCTCTCTCTCTCTCTCTCTCAGTATATATACCGAGAGATATTCGACTAGGTCTAGACAAGTATTTTCCGTTGAAATGTACTCGGAACTTTTTTCTGTTGATGTTGCTGCCTGTATCGAAGGTGGTAAGTGGTAACTATTGGCATATATGTATTCTGTCTTCAGATTCATATATAGATACTGTGGTTCAAATGAAGCATAAAAATAATAATAATAAAAAAATTCAGTAAAATGTGAGTACCCAAAACCTAAAAATAAGGAGAAAAAGAAGACATAAACGACAATTGAGATCAAAATCATCACATCCCTACAATTATAAGTAGAACGAGTTTTCTGTGTTTCTGAAATATCAAACCCTAAAAAACAGTAGTCAAGTACTCTTTTCAATTTGTTGCCATGGAAGAAGACGAGGCCAAATGGGCCCTTTAGGATTATGAATATATAAAACTAATCTTATATCTAATATATATTACTTTTATTATGTTATATATACAGTAGTCAATTTGTACTACGCTTTCCATTTGTTGCCGCCATTTTGAAGACGAAGGCCAACTTTAAATGGGGCCCTTTAGGATGTACTAATATCATGAAAAACTAGAGTCTTATATCTAATAATGATACCTATTTACTATTATTATGTTAGATATATAATAGAATACTTTACCGGTATTTTATTATATATATTAGATTATAGCTCTTCTTTTTATTTTTTTTTGCGGTTTCTGTATTTTCTTGAGCTTGTACAATGGACACGGTCATGACCCTCCATGTGGTTTGACTACTTTAGGGAGAACTACTTTACAATTCTTAACAGTTATGACCCTTTTCGTTTCATTGGTTATGGTGTGTATTCCTGGTGCCATGATATATATATATATATTTTTTTTTTTTTGGGTTTTGATTTTCTTGGAGCTTAATGGACAGGTCTATGACCCCTCCATGTGGGTCTTGAATACTTTAGGTGAACTTTACAATTCTTTAACATTAATGCCCTTTTCTTTTCTTGGTTTTGGTTGTATTCACATGGTGCATGCATGCCTATTTTTTAAAAATAATAAACAACTAAATAAATAAATGTAGATAGAGAGAAGTTTTATTTATTTATTTATTTTGAAGGGGAAAATAGATAAGAGAGAGGAAGGTTTGATTGCTTACATGGGTTGAAAAGTTTGTTTTGGTGTTGGGATATGTCATGACATCCCACATGTGACTAATGATTTTTACTCATGTGTTTGTCATAATAATCCTTACATATATAGAAGAATTATTTTGCAAACTTTAGAGGTTTTTTTTCAAAAATTATAAGCATCAAATTAAAAATATTTTTTATTTTATTTCATAGAGCTAAAAAAACGAAATAAAAGGAATTGAAACTAGAAATTAAAATTCCGACGAATTTTACCTATAAAATTAAAATTTTAATATCGCTGTTATTAAAAAACTTTACTTAAACAAGATTTTATTTTCTTAAAAGGAGTAACCAAATTTCTTTCAAATCAAAGAGAGGTAAAGTAGTTAATTTCAGTTTTTGATGGGTTAACTCTTAATTATTAGAAACAGCATGAAAAAAAAAAAATAAAAAGAAGGTTGTTAATATATATATATATTTTCTTTTTTGGGTGTTGTTAATTAGAAAAGCTAGTATAAACAACTAGGTGGCGAATGCTACTCCTGAGCAGTAAAATGCAATAATAAAGCAGACGATGATGGTAAGTAGAAGCTGAAATCGTGTATGGCCACATGCAGGCAACTCAGCGCTAAAAAGATTCGAGATGCTAACCCAAACCGACACATATCTTTCAATTTTTATCATATTATATGCATTTCGTGGAGTTTGGGCCAACTAGATATTGACACTTTATTTAAAGTTTCAAGCTTATTTGTGTTTAATTATTCTTCTTTTTAATTAATTAATTAATTAGTATATTTTATTTGGTAATTTTACCATTTAGCTTGGTGGGATTATTGGCCCTTGTTCCTTTAGTTTTTGAGTTGACTCCAATTAATATATATATATATAATACAATACTAAGAAAAGAAAAGGTGATAATTCTCCAAAAAGAGAATAAGAGTGCGTCCTTAATATGAGATGGATGAATAAGTGAAACATGAATGTTCTAAGCACGCAAAAGCAAGGTCACAACACTTGGTGTGGCTGAGGCTGAGGCTGAGGCTGAGGAGGACAAAACAAAGAGAATAAAAAATTTTGATAATATATATAAATTTATAAGTTGCTGTTTCGAAAATTCTCTCCAATATGATTGCAACATGAGCGTTTGAAGGTGGTGACACGAGTGGCATTAAGCTTATGCGTTAGTGGCCAATCCTTGCTTTTAAAATCTGTTATCCTTTGAGTCAATTTGACACCCATTAACTAGTGGTGGATGTTGACACCTAAAAAGTGCTCCTCTTTGTTTTGTCTACTTCTCCTCTTAAAAATTGAAATTCTCTAACAAAATGGTAAGTAAATAGAGGCTAAAGGGTCTTCCCAGTCAAAACTGGTTGGTGTGCTTTTAACTAATAATATGGTTCAAAATTTCAATTGGGGGTAATGAGTTTAATTCAATCAGGCAGGGGACTGAAGAAAAAGTGAAAGAGAGAGAGAGAGAGAGAGAGAGAGAGGGGTTTCAATAAGGCACATGGGCGCATGTGTTCTCTGACTGTTTTTATGCCTGAACAAAATGAATACAAACCATGTGCTTTCAAAATGATCATCACTTTTAAGAAGCCTCTGGCTCTGGCTTTGCTGTGTAATATACTTGTAAAAAAGAGAGACGAGAGGAGAGGAGAGGAAAAAAACAGGTTTAGTGGTCCTTTTCGTTGGAATTCAATCATCAAAGTGTCTCCACTCACTTACTCACAAATCCAACCCAAACTGATAGTGATGAAACAAGAGCACTCGTGTGGCTCAATTAGGCCTGCCAACGAAAGGGAAAGGTGGCTCTCCTTCAATTACGACAGGGAACACATGCACCTCCCTCAGAGTGACCCTCTTCACTTGTTTGTCTCTCCTTCGTACATTCCTCCTCTTCCTCTACATAATAATAATAATAATAATAATAATAATAATAATACATGAAGAATTCAGAGAGTGCAATAGATAGAGAGAACCATTTGCAAACATTATTTACTTATCAAACTATCATTCTATAAGGTAGGGACAATTCGCCACATGATATGTCCCAGTTTTCTCATTAGTATTTCTGTGCTTTAGCGGACTTTAGGGGGATAGATAGTGGAGCGCATATTCACACCACTTTAGATCCCCAAAACAAGCCCTTTTTTTGTTTTTTTCTATTTCATCTAGATATGGCTCAAACTCAGCTAACCCCTTATCCTCAATCAGTTTATCTCAGATTAGTTAAGCATTAATCTCCTCAACCAAATATATATTGAGTTTCAGCTAATTAACCACCAACTCTAATATCATTCAAGTTCCAAAGCCACATCTGCCTCAAACTCAGACTCAGATATGACCAAACCAATTATAATGCCCCTAAATAATACGAATTGGGAGTCCTTTTCTCTCATTTTCCAGGTGTCCTATCTACTGTGTGTGAAAAGCCAGTAAAACACCGTGTCCTGTCCTATTGAAATATTCTTTCTATCCCCCATAAGAATCAGGAGCAAATTACAGAATAGCAACAAGAGAAAGACCAATAAGAAAAGAGTAACTCAAAAGTTGCATTATGAAACCAAATTAGCTTGTCAGGGCTTCAAAGATGAAGCCAAACAAAAACATAATATGATACAGTTTGAGATGATAATAATTGTAACCCATTTAATTAAAGCAAAACCTGTGCACCATATTACAAGTAAAACAACCTCTATAAAATAATATACACAAAGCAATTACAGATTGATGAAAGTTTTTTGCCTAAAAAGTTCAAACCAGTTGTATGAACAATATGGTCACAGATTGTGAGTGAAAGATATCACAGGTCAATTATTCATTCTCCTAAAGGACCCCAAAGAAATAACATAAAAATTCTAAAAAAGTAATGTGAGATAGAATTACTCAGGAAAAAAGAAAAAGAAAAGGAAAAAAAAAAAAGGGACAAATATTTAACATGTGATTACTGAAAAGAGAGAGCGAGCGAGGGGGAGACTATAAAAATTAAGAAAAATTATATTTAAAAAAAAAAAAAAAGGAAATGACAACTGGCTAACAGCTGTGAGTGCCATCAGCTCGTCGACCCGGCACTTGAACCGGCGACGCCAGAGCCAGAGCTAGAGCTTGAACCAGAGAGCAGTTCAGCAACAGCGTTCATGACTCGAACTTGCATCTCCAGAGCAGCTATATAATCAGTTGCTTCTTCTAGAATAACAGGCAACGGTTGTTTCCGGCAACCGGGAACCAACCTGCCTAGAACACGCACTTTCCTTTGCACAGCTGGTAAACTCTTCCCTTTCAACCTCAAAACACTGACTCTCGGCTTCTTCGATCGGCTACCCCCTGTACCAGTCGCCGAAACAGTAGTCTCTGCCACTCTCTGCCTCTTGTGTTGCTTCCTGAACTTGAGCTTGATTCGGCTAGTCAAAATAGCACGACTCCACCTTGTTCTCCCCTTAGCAGCTACAGCAAGGGCTCTATCAGCGGCTTCTCTAACGGCCCGACCTTGACGAGGAGCCGAAGGGGAAGAGGGACTCAGCCGGACTTGGCTCAAAGCTTGGAGGAGTTTATTGGAATAAAATTGTTGCTGAGCTTCTGTTTTCCATTTAGCATGGCCTTGATTTTGATTCTCCTTGGATTGTGCTTGCGATTTCTTCTTCTTTTTCCTTTTTGAGCGATCAGAGTTTGGGTTGGTTACGGGCTGATTCGAGATCAGAGTTGACGCCATCCCTGGAGATATCGATCGATTCTCTTTTGAATACGAATATAGTACTAACACCGATATTCAAATAAGATACAGGAAAAAAAAAATTCTCTCTGTTTTTGGTTCAAATTTCTAAGAATCGAAGCGCTCTCAAAATTCTCTTTCTTTCCTCTTGTCCTTTGTCTATGAAACTAGTACCTGAACAAAAAGGAGAAATTAGATTCACACAGAAAGCACATTCCAGGCCAGATTCAACCACAAAACACGAAATCTACGCATCAAAACGGATTTTTGCTTCTGCGATCAAAGATTTTCAGATTCAAAATTCAAAATCTAATAAATGATTGAAACGAAGAATTAAGATTCTAACAAGCAATTATAAAGATCAAAATCAAGGGATTAAAAACTAAAGCAGAGGATTTGTTAGTTGATAAATAAAATTGCGAAATGGCAAGGAAGGGGAAGATTAGTACCTTTCAGTAGGGCAAAAAAACAAATCTTTACATATAAACCACCACCTGAACGGGAGCTATCTATTTACGAAAGGACTGAAACTGAAGGAATTAAATATTTCGTTGGAGAGAAACGGAGCGGAGTTGGTGAGGTGTCGCTTCTCTCTCTAGTTGGAGTGGAGAGAGGGTGGGCTGAGAGAGGACGGGAAAGAAAAACGGTGGTGAAGCTTATAAAGGAATCAAAAGAGAGCACGCGTCATTTCCTTAAAACCACATTTATTACTTTCATTTTTCTGATTTTTTTTGTTTACTAGTGTGCTTCTTGTTTTTTGCCCTTTGTATCTCGCAGGTGGCACTTGGGCTTCGACTTTATAGAGCTTGTATGGACCCTTCGGTGCGCCTTTCGGTCGTATATGGTCCAGACCTCCCTGAAGCCTTTTTTGAAATACAAGTGACCCTAACGTAGTTCTTTCAAATCCTTCACTGGCAAGAAAAAACAAATTATATTATTCTTCTGCAATAAGAGTCGTCATTTGCCAAAATTTTTAAATATTAACCAACTTTTTATGGTATCCATTTCCAGCTAAATGTATGACAACAATAATTAAATCTTAATTCTAAACTAAATCAGCACTATGTGTACTGTTTCAAAGAAAAGTTAATTGACATGGGAACACAAAATTAATTTCTCTTTATGCATTGAGTATTTTAAAATTTAGAATTCATAACATGAAGTAAATACCCTTGATAAAATGAACCAACAATAGATGTTCATTTTACCGTTGGAACTCTGAATTTCGAGTAAATATTGAATTTTTCCTTCATTTTCAATTTTCACTCACCTTCCATGCAAGAATATGGTGATGATTAAATTAAAAATACTTTTAATTAAATTTGTATTAATACTTTTTTGAATATTTTCCCTTTACAATCATTATAATAAAAAAATATTTACGCCAATTATTCTCCCATTTTCATATTTATATAATATTATAAATTTAATAAATATCTCACGTTTTTTTTAAAAAAAAAAAAAAAAATCTGATTTCGAAGCTAAATATTCGAATTTTCCTCCTCATTTTCAAATTTTTCACTGCACCTTCCCATGCAAGACATATAGTGACTAATTAAATTAAAAAGTACTTTTTAAAAATTAAAACTTGTGTATTAATACTTTTTTGAGATATTTTTTCCCTTTCAATCATCTAATAATCAGAAAAAAATATCTTACGCCCATTATTCTCCCCCATTTCATATCTTTATATACATATTCTAATAAATTTAATAAATATCTCAACGTTTTTTATTAAAAAAAAAGAACAGAAAAAACTAACCAATAAAAGGAATACATTTTATGTTTTCATCATCAGCTGCCATGGCTAAGTTTCACTCGATGTGCCTGCGCCACACGTTACTCATAGTCTAAATGCTTGGTCAAATAATTTTGTTGTCTCCTAGGCCGAAAAGCAAGAGCAAAACTTTCTAATTTGTTTTTTTATTTGGTCCGTTGCAGTGACGTTGATATCATGTAAACCTTTACCTATTTCTTGGATGACAAAAACCGCTCCCATTAAAATCAAAACAATAGCAAAATCAGCGCAAAGAAACGAAATTAATGGTAATCCCGGACTTGTATGCTTCTGATATATGTAGAAACACCACAAAATTATTTTCTAATTCGTATTTAACCACTTATTTGGCTAGTAAGCTCTGCCATTTAACTTGCTTAATTCCACTCCCATTTCTTGTTCTCTCCTCTGGTGCCTTTTCTACAATCGTTTTTTTTAAAAAAAAAAAAAAAAACTAAAACAATAAAAGGAATACATTTTATGTTTTTTCATCATCAGCTGCCATGGCTAGTTCACCATGTGCCTGCCACAGTACTATATCTAAATGCTGCAAAAAATTTTGTTGTCTCCTAGGCCGAAAGGCAAAGCAAAACTTATCTAATTTGTTTTTATTTGGTCGTCGTGACGTTGATATCATGTAAACCTTTCATATTTCTTGGATGACAAAAACCGCTCCCATTAAAATCAAAACAAATAGCAAATCAGAAAAAGAAAAACAAAATTAAAATGGTAATCGACTTGTATGCTTCTGATATTTAGAAACACCCAAATTATTTCAATTCGTATTTTCCTTTTGGCTAGTAGCTACTGCCATTACTTGCTAAATCCACTCCCATTCTTGTTCTCTCCTCTGTGCCTTTCTACAATCTCGGAGAAAATCAAAGTAGGTTTTCAAAGTCACGAGCTTTCACATTAGGTTTTGCCTCTTTTAAAGATTTTTCCCTTTGCGGTACATAGCGTGGATATAAAATAAATATAAAAAAATAAAAATCTTCTTACACCTACAAAGCAGGAAGCAATAATACATATGCTATAAAAATAGAGGTATTAAGAAGCGAATTAAACTCGAATATATCAAGCTCGAAATTCCACAAGTTAAAAATTTTAAGTTTGAGCTCAAGTTGAAGTTAAAGTTTAATTAAAAAGATTTTCAACTAGAACTTAATTCGAAATTTAAAAAAATTTAAAATAAATATTATATATATATATATAAACTCGACTGGTTTGCTATTAGATTCAAATTAAATACTATTCTGGTTTGCTATATGAGCCGGCTCAAGCTTGAACTCAATTCCGAATTGAGTCAAATTTTTTTAAATATTTTCAAATCTACTTAACTCATTTATATTCTTATCTACAAACACAATTAAGTTTTATCTTTATAGATAAATTTATTTATAGCCAAACAAAATGTTAAAACTCTAACTGCACAGCCCCATAAACATTAGAAATGCGTATAAAATGACAATGCCAAACATACACCAACTGATATGAAAGCCTCCATTCCTCTAAAATAATTTAAAAACAAATAAACATATAAACCCGAACGGAACGAGTTGACTATTTCACAATTTCAACCCAAATATTAGCAATTGGGCAGAGTTTCAGAATGCAGACAACCATGCCGCGAAAACCAATAAAAAGACCGTGAATAAAAGATATGGGTCGATGACGTGTCAGAAAATGATTGGAAGAATATGTGGTGTTGGCTTCCACTAATAGACCAGGGGTATGGGTCCAGTATAATATTTTGTTATCATTCCGTGCAATGATTAATGAAGGTGATAATCCAGAAAAGAAATGATAAACAATAGAAAATGCATGTGCAGTGTAGGTTGTTCCTCTGGCACTTTCCTATCTTCAGCTATATTTTTGCATTTGTTGGAGAAGTTTTTGGAATTTTGCTAAACTTTTTGAGGTGTGGACATTTCCGCTCCACATCTCCAGCTATGGGTCCTTAGTTTGCCCTATCAACTGGTTCTCATTTCAAGCAAGACAGATAATGCTTGGTTTAGGAGTTATTTCCCCACTTTCATACTCTTTATGCATCTAAAGTTCTAATTGGGCAGATTAAACCTGATTTTACAGGTCGGTCAACAATAGAGTTATGAAAAAAAACAGAATAATGTGCAGCTAAATAATGGCTTATGGATGTCACTAACCTCTTTATCCCAAAAAGCAGCAGCCTGAAGAGCTTATCTTTGACCAAGTAATAATGAAAAGTTAATCAATAATCACCAATGCAGATAAAATTGATTTAATGAAATGCTGATAGTTCCACTGTAGATTTATCTGGTAATGACAAGAGAGGAGTTCGGTTAACCATTAGGTAGTCCTAGAAACAGTAAGTGAAAAACAAAATGCTAACCTGACTTTAAGGATAAACAACACACTGTCATTATGAGATGTTTGAGAGTGCCTTTAGTAATCATGAACCTAACCCTCAATTATCACCAAAATCGTGGTGCCAAGTGCCTGTCAATTTACTATTGGAAAATGAATTAAGAAACCTCAAAAGTGTGTTTTTGAAAATCTAAAACACTAAAAGGCATTATGACATGCCAGAGAGATTGCCTACCTTAAGCGAGACACAATAAAACAGAGGGCATAAACAGAGAGCAGGAGAAATAAAACAGCATCATAAAATGAGGAAATTATTGAAAGTGGATATCTAACAGCTATTAAAATTCAATTCTTAAATCTGAGCGACTCCACTACATGGCAGTCTTTAAGTAGGTGGTTAAAGGCCTCTGATTCAGGCTCTAGAGCACTGCAGAAATGTAAATGCTTGATAATAGATCCAAGAATGTCATAAGTTTTTAGTCTGGTAGAAGTCCTGAGTGGTGACAATTCTTCAAGTTAAACTAATAAAATTAGATCGGGCGTTAAAATGAAATTAGCAACGGTTAGCATAGAGGTTAAAGAACATAAATTGCTGCCAAACTTAATTCTGACTTGATTTATATTTGAATTTCAGGTGCATCAAGGGTCAAACAGAATCAAAGGTTTCATGTACATACAGGATCAAGAATGGATTGGAACGTCTTCTGCTGGTTTCAGTAACCCTATATCATCTCCGTTTTGTGGCATGCTCTTTTCGTTGTAAGACTTCTTGCATTTAACCCCTGTCAAGATTAATTGACCTGTGAGCTGGACTGTCCAAGGTTAAGTACATAATGTTCCTAGCAGAAGAAGTCCAACACTAGAAATGAACAAGAAATGTATTAGCAACTGGAGTCACACATGCTAAGATTATTAAACAAAAAATCCTCCAATAAGTGTGGAATAGGAGCAAATTATGTTTTTAATATGCTTGACAGTTTGCATTTTGCTGGCAAGGCCTGGTATGAATGATGCAATATCTCCTAGGATGTTAATGTGACAATTGTGCACGCGTCGCAGGAAGTTTATCCATAGTGAAAAGGACATAATAATCGATATTTTGCAATAACCACAAGATTAGCTTAAGATATATTGCAGTGATTTGAAGTATTAACAAGGAAAAACTATATTACTTCAGCACACCCTAAAAGTCACAAACCCACGCCTCTAAAACTTTCATTTATGCGTTTATGTCCGTATGAACAGAGACATGTATTCCTATGATATAAATGCAGGATCATTTGTGACAGTTAATACAAAAGTCCAAGGAAGTATCAATATGCACTTCAGAATGATTTTTTAATGTACATAATTGATATAGCATGATACTCCATCTATCATTTTACATACTGAATCATGGGCTCCGAATGCTATACAAACAGCACCAATCACCACATTTTTCAAAGACACCTAAAATGCCCTTGGTCCATAATTGAAAGAGGTACCAGCATAGGGCCAATTGATAGAAAGCACACATCAAATGATTGTCATAAAACCTCATTAATAACTTAAACTTTCTTTTTGGTTATAATAAACCATTGCTTTAAAGTACAGCTTGCTCCTTGCTTTCTCTCTCTTCCCCCTAAAGAAATTATTTTTATTCTTATTCAACAAGATTAAAAAATTATTGGTGGAATACACCAAATCTTTGCCTTTAAGTCCAGCTAGCCACAAAAGCTTCACTCTCATTTAAAACTTAAAATAATTTCACGGATTACACCGAATTATCCCTACAGCCTCATTCCAATTTCCACCCCATCAAAAAGAGAGTCACTCACACGCACCTAGTCTCACCACGCAAGTAGGAGGAAGAAAAGATTTACCCGAAGAGAAGGCACCATTACTTCTGAAAATCCACTAATGACTAGTGAGTTTCCGGCTTCTCTTATTGACCCATTATGATCTAACTGTCAAATTAGATGCTTTATTGTCTCTTTATGAAGACACTTTTCAAGGAAAGAGCCTAATGAATTTAGCCAATGTCTTTATCTTAGACTCATGTAAGCTTCAATTCCTTCCACCCAAAGAGCCTATCAGGCCTTTGTTGGTTTGTCCTTTTATCGTTATACACTTGAAAGACAAATTTAATGTTGTCTTAATCCAAGATTAAGCCTGCGCACCATAAATTTCACTAGCAAGTCTGAGTTTGGTTTTCTAATTTTAATTTTTCGACTCCTTGAATCTGACTGGTTTTACTCATCTTTTGTCCCATTTACCAGGAAAAATAAAGAACACTTTGACCTCCTAGGTCACTTGCTCTTTGGTCCTTTTTTTGAAGCTTAGATTGCGGATAAGTTGTTTGAAATGGTATCTCTTTTTGTCTTAAGCTCACTGGTGAAAACCCCTTCCCCTCCAATCTCTTCTTCAACCAGTCCTTAAATAGCATAGACAATATAGTTTGCCGCCAAACTAAACAATTTATATAACTGGATTCCTGGTGAAGCCCTTGGCATTTTCATTTAACATGATCCTTAGGTTCATTATACAGTGCAGGATGAGAAGGTTGAGCAAATAAGACCAAAAAATAACTAAAATAACAGCGTCGTTCTTTCTAAGTAACCAACTAGTTAAGCACAACATCAAGAACCCCTATCTTGGCCCTGAGTTGAAGCAGGACAGCAAATACAATAATAGTCAGAACATAATTATAGAGAACGATGAAAAAGAAAAGCAGGACATTGGCGTGCATATGCAGCAAACGAGAACTGAAATTATTTCAGAGATTTAATCTATGGTCTCCATCTTTTCCATCTCAATTCTTTTCAAGTCACCAAAATTCTATGTGGGAATTTCGTAATTAATCCTACATGATAAGTAAATAAGAATATTACCTGATCAACCTTAAGAACCACTAAATAATAATAAGAAATTACACTATTTAACAAAAGGGAATTCTAAATATCCAATAAAAGAAAAAAGAAATCCTAAAGTATAAGTTAACCAAAAAAGAAACCATAAATTGGCAAAATTAATAACTAGCCGATTTTAAAAAAATATTTATTCTTCCTTGTCACAGTCACATTAGCCTCTTATTCACTAGTTAGAGAAGAATCATCTCTCGACATGATTAATATATACATTTGGATAAACTGATTCTATGTTGAATATATTAGAATTAGGTAGTCTAGTTGGATAAGCTTCAATATTTAATGGATATAAATAATGGTTCTACTGTTTGGCATCTGGGGGAAAGGATGTTGCTGGACAATGAACAAAATGAATCATGAAAATTATTGAGAACTATACATGAGATCATTTAAGGACAAACAAAGTCAGTGGGCAGTAGTTTTTTCGGCAGGCTCCTCCCAAATTAGCACTGTACACTGAATAAAGAATTTTCTCCTGGCATGATTAAGCTTGCCTGGCTACAAACAGTGAGAAGCCAGGCCATGCCAAAGTGAAAACTAGACACACAGTAGTGTTTTTCACATGCGTGCATCCGTTACTAATGAATGAGCACTCCCCAGACTCCCTACTAACTACAGGAAGCTATGGACCCCCTATAAGGCCCCATCCAGTCAAAATAAAATGGTCATTAAAATCTTTCTTCAGGGCAAAAGAAATAAACCTTGGCATACAAGGAAAACAACAACCAATATCTATGATCTTGCTGAAAAGTGCAGATAGTTCAATAACAGCTACAGAAGAATGCAAGCATCACATATAGGGTGTTAGATACTAAATTCAGCTTAATCTGGGGATCTTAGAATGATATGCCAGCCTAAACCCAATGTTCATTGGCAATTAATGAATGAGTAGTTAAGAATACTTTATTCACTGAAACAACTATAAAGGATGCAATATATTGTAAATAACCATATCATGCAGACCAACGAGATAGCCAAATATATTTCTGATCAACAAAGGCCTCAATCCAATTCCAAATGGCCCTCCAAATTTACAATCCATGTCATATCAGACATACGCAACAATGAGTGGTTTTAGAATTTTTTTACATGTCACAGATTACTTTACGATCCTTTTTTCCATAATTGAAATGACAGCTTGGTCTAAACTTATCAGAGACATATTAAGTTTGGAACACAGCCGGAAAGATACAATCATTCCCATTTATGCAGACATTTTCAAACAATAAGCACTAAGACTAATTCTAGAAACGCAGGACAAAGGTTTAGGAAGCAGAACTAATATGGCGTCCAATATATAGTTAAGAGAATCAATCAAATATCTTGCAATGCAAACTCCATGACCAATTAGAATTAATCCGTAGATCCGATGAGGGAATAATAACATAGAGCTGAATAGCACACTCCATTATGAAATTCTTTGTTAGCTGATTCCATTCGAGAAGGAGTATCAAATTCAAAAAATAAAATAAAACAAAAAAATTCAGCAGCACAACAGAATATACAAATATCAGATCTACAGAGTTAAAACAACATACCTCTTCCTTGCAATATTTCAAGTTGGTAAAGGTCCAATGTAACCGTTGTCCAATCCCATAACAAAGAAGAATATCACAGACACCATAAAGCTCCAAAGCAAGAAACAAAGGAACGCGATGCGACCTTTGACCGAAAGAATTTCAGAGTACCAGTCTCTCTCTTCAGGCAGAGCATAGCACTCATCTAGCACTACCTTGACTAATGCATCTAGAAGCTTCTTGGACTGTTGATCTACATTGGCTGATTTCAAGACCTGAGTTCGCGCTTGTTTTAGATATTCTGCCACAATATCAAACTCCAGTGAACCGTCTGGTTTGTGGAATCCGCAACGCTCCACAGACACATTGTCTGGCTCATCTGAAGTTGTTGGAATCTTTGAAGCCGAAGCAACGTCAGAGAGAGGGAATGTTTCTGTTGCAGCTGAAAGAGCCGGACTGAGCGCCAAAACAGAGCTCTGAAACAGAATCAAAATGGATTTGGCAATTCGCATGCTTATGATAATTAAACTAGTTAACAAATACCATACCAATTTTTGTACGATTCTCAAACATGAAGGAGGGCCAAAACATAGAATTCAAATTTTAAAATAAGCACCATCGGAATAGCTTAGCAAGACATTAATCGCTTCTGAAAAACGAAATATGACATATTCCTAAATCATTTTGCAGAAAATCAACACACATTATGAGAAGTGAATAAAACGTCAAACAAGTGGAAAATTATAAATAAATAAAAAAGAAAAAGAAAAACAGATGAATGGCTAGAAAAAAAAATCTTCAGTAAAAGCCAAAAGCCAAATGAATTGAAGCAAACCATACTGGTGATATTTGACTGCTATAGTCAGCGTCAGAGAGCTCCGAAATCGAATAGAAATCACTCAAATCCTTGACGGTCTCAGGCGAGATTTCTTCAGAAACCAAGGGAAATACAGCGTTCAACCTTTTCTTAGGAATCTGCGGAACAAAACAATTAGCTTGTAAGAAAGAAGAAAGATATAGAGAGAAGGTCCAGAGATTGAAACCTTTTGAGGCTTCTTCAATGGAGAATCTCTGGACCTGCGATTCGCTAGATCTTCTTTCTGTGGAGTGTGATCTTTCATTTTCGCTCTTGGCGGGAGAATTTTCAGAGTTGAAAATTTTTCACCAAGTCTGTGAATTGTCAATTGTGAAATGGAATGAAGTAGGAAATTCCCTATCATGCGGAAAATTTTCTGACCCGGTCCATTTAAACCCAATTAACGTCCAGCCCAATAACTTGAAAGACTGCAAAGATCAAACAAAGTCTGGCCCAATAAGCAGATCAATTAATAACATTGCTTTCGCCAACCGAAAAAACAGAAAGGAAAACGAATAGTCTTCCTGCACCGTTTTTATTAGGTTCTATCAGGTTTGTTAAGTTTATTACTGATAGAGTTTTTGCTCTTCCATTGTTCATGGGAAATCAGGTAAACGTTTTAATTGGCGTACTCCAATATTCTCTTAGCTGGTTTCTTATTTTCATTCCTTTTTTTTCTTTTCTTTTCTTTTCTTCCAGCAAGCAATGGCGAGTTATGGATTTGATTAGATTTCAAGCTAGTATTTCAGCAAGCAAAGGTTGCATTTAGTATTTCACTTGTTTGAATTAGAATTTCTCTTTTCCAATATCCTTTTTTTTAACTTGTAGCTTTATAAAATTGGTACTGTGAAGGAGTATTTCTAAACCTAATTCTGGCATTGATTGATATATAGTGAGAACTGAGAATTAAAGATTTAATTAGATATATAATTAATTGATAATCTATTTGACATAAAATTGTTTTTGAATTTAGAAGATATGGAAGAGTCTGTCACAAAGGAGTTCAAACAATTTGCCATGGTCACTGACTACTCGGACCATCACTACAGTACACGTTCTATATCTTCAACAGGCAATAATCGTTCTTTCACCAGTACTAACAGTATAGCATGCAAGAAAATCATGCAAGAACGGAGTATTCTCGAAAACAACCTTCCTGAAACAATCTCAGTTCGAGGATATGAAGGAAGAATCGATTTGCTTCGAGCTGTGATTGTGGGTGCCAATGGAACTCCTTATCATGATAATATCGTCTTCTTTGATATAGCATTCCCTATTGATTACCCCAATCAACCTCTGGTAGTTTATTATCACTCAGGTGGGCTTAGGTTAAAGCCCAACCTATATCAAAATGGATATGTCTGTTTAAGCCTCTTGAATACTTGGGGTGGCAGTGGAAATGAAAGGTGGGTGCCTTCTCATTCTTCAATTCTTCAAGCCTTGGTTTCGCTCCAAGGGCTTGTGCTAAATGAGAAGCCTTACTACAATGAACCTGGAACTAAACCTTCTGATGATTGTAAGGATTGTAACAATGGTGTCTTTATTTTATCTTGCAAGACAATGCTATTTAGTTTCCAAAACCCTCCAAAGAACTTCGAAGGTTTTGTCTCTTTGTTTTTCCGCGAACGTGCAACTACAATACTAAAAGCTTGTAATGGTTACATGAACGGGGAAGCTAGTCTTAGTTATAACTCCACAACAGCATCAACGAATTCCAAGTTCAAAAAAGACTTGAATACAATCTACAAGAAGCTGGAGGAGGCATTCACAAAGAATGGAATGTCACAGCCAAAGGAATCTGATGTTGTGAAGGAAGATGAGGTAGTAGAATTGAAGAGTGCAAAGATTAAAAGGAAGAGGAAGACTCTAAAGAATGAGATTGAGCATGATCACTTCACTCGAAGCAAGGCATCCAAAGTGACTACAGCATAGCTAGGATCCAATAGGTTTGGGAGGGAAAGAGAAAGGGAAATCTTAGTTTGGAGTAAGCTTTCTTAAACAAAATATGAGATTTAGTTTCTGAAGTTTAATTGATTATATTTCCACCCATCCTTCTCTATCCATTTTCTATTAAAATTTTGGTTAAGGTACTTAGCTGGATGACATTCATAACATCTGTCTCAGCCTACTCAATAAACTATTTAGTGGGATATAAACTCATTATAAATATAATGTGTGCAAGGCTAGTAGATTTTTTTTTTTTTAGTATAATCAGGAGCGAAATTTCTTTCGTGCCCTAAAGTAGTGTAAAAATTTTTATTCGCTCAATTAAGTGCGTTTTCCAAATATTGAACTTGTATTCTCACCTCCTTTATATTGATTCGGCTTGTAATTTACAATTAGCTAACAGTTTTGTTTTATTTTCTATTAGGAGCAAATAGAATAGTAGAAACAGTGGAGAAACATGGTTATAAATATAATAATCCCCTAAACCATATTAAAACAAATGACGTGACTATTATCTAAACTAATCAAGCGCAATAAGTCGTTACCTTTTCTCTTTCCTCTCCTAAAATTAAATTATTTCAGGCAGCCCTAGGCCCCTAGCCAGGCAGGGACTTCTTTGTTATGACTTATAATTGAACATGAACAAAAGACATGCAGTGGAAAATATGGATATAAATATAGGATAATCCCCTAAACCATCTTAGAATAAATGACATGTCTAATCTATAATTAATAATTATTTTATATAATAAAAAATGACACTTTTTTCTCTAACATTATTAACTACTTTATCTTTATAATTTAAAAGATACATTGTTTTTATTCATTTAGTCTGAATCCGTCAAAATCATATTTTCGTCCATTATTTGAGATATAAGTATTAGAACTAACCTTTATACATATGAACTAAAAGGAGAAAATTACATTTTTATCCATGTGTTTTGATATAATTAACTTTTATACTTATGTTTTAAAAACTATATTATTATTTTTTTCTATAATTTGGATTCGATAACAACTTAACTCAAATAATAGATGGAAGAATATTTTTATTTAACGGAGTCTAACATAGTTATTAATTACGTAAAAAAAGGTAGGGATAAAATTATATTTTCTCTACAATAAACATAAACTAATGAAGCCCAATATAAGTTTTTACCTTCCTCGATTCCTTTATTTAAAGGCAGGCAGCCTAGCATTTTTTTTTTTTTTTTGTTATGAACATAACAGGCAGCCCTAGCTAGCTAGCTAGTCGGTTTCTTGTTCTTTGTATGAATGGGAGAAACAGATTAATTACATTATTGTGGTCCTTAATTACTTGTTGCCTATAATTAATAAACATCCAGTTTTTGGCTTTTTCTGCCTTTCCATATGAAGATGCATTGTGCGTGACACCCATATGATCATATTCAAAATCATTTCCTAAATATAAATATTAATATTTTTTTTTGAACATTAAATATAAATATTAATATATTAGTACAGTACAAAATTTTCTTAATAATCTAGACTTAAGGTGTCTCCAAAAACTTCTTATTTGAGTGTTTGCCTGTAATAAATTCAAAATTGAATTTCTTTTTCAAGAAATAAGAGGAAACAGAAACTAACTATTAAATAGCATAGAATTAAACATTTATTTGTTTTTATTATTTGTTGTTATTTTATATTTTCTTTGACATAATAATTTTATAACTTTTGAGTTGAATAAATTTATGAAATTTATTTAAAAATTTACCATTTTTGATAAAGTTTAATTTAGTTATATTAAAATTCATAAAATTAAATTATAGAATTTAACAGCTTCATTTTTTCATATTAAATATAAAAATTTAAATTTACAAATGAATGCGACAAGATTTTATGGAAAATTTTATTAAAAAAAGATTTAGCTTTTAATACTTAATGAACAATCATGCATCTAATAAGTAGAGCTAGAGTTTGTTTTTTCATATATTAGGAAAATAAGAAGCCAACCTTCTGCTATAATCTTTTAGTTAATTTGGCATTAGCACGTACGTATGAGAGAAGTGACAATCCAGAAGGCCTGAAGCGGTATTAATGCTCATGTACTTCGCCCCCATTCGATAATAAACAACATTCTTTTTTATCAAATACTTCAATCACCGTTGGATTCAGCTCTACCGAGATCATGTACCCCAGGGTCCACGTGGAGCCTTGATTTTATTTCATGGAGCCCAAGCTATATTCTCTCTTTTGGCGGTGCTGGAATCACCGTTCATCAAAACACTTTAAGGGGGACCCCACTAGCGACATTCTTATCAATTCAAAACGGTACAATTGTCTCTTCCTTTGACGACTCTTCTAATTACTAAAACTCCCCTAAAACTTGCTCAATAATCCTTCCTCTTTATGGCTCTCTCAGTAACCTCAAAACCTCTCCAACCCAGCAACACTGGCGAGATACAAGAAAGCGATGGTTTCCAGAAATTCGATGTCGTTTCTGACTCCTCAGACCACCGCTTTAACAGCTACAATACCAGCAAAAAGACTACTGGTGGAGATTGCTTCACCAATGTCTCTAGTAAGGCCCACAGAAGGATCATGCAAGAGTGGAAAATGCTCGAGAAAGACCTTCCCGATTCGATTTTTGTTCGGGCTTACGAGAACCGGATCGATTTATTACGAGCAGTAATCATCGGCGCTGCTGGTACACCATACCACGATGGACTCTACTTCTTCGACATTGCTTTTCCATCTGATTACCCGTCTCGACCGCCTGACGTTCATTATAGATCCTACGGGTTACGTATTAACCCGAACCTTTACGCGAATGGGCGGGTTTGTTTAAGCCTTATAAACACGTGGCCCGGCAAAAAAAACGAGAAGTGGAACCCCAAAGAGTCTACAGTGCTTCAGATTCTGGTCTCGATTCAGGCTCTGGTTTTGAATGAGAAACCCTATTTTAACGAACCGGGACACGGGATGTGGCCGGGTCGGGCCATATGGGAGAAGAGATCAAATTCTTATAACGAGGACGTGTTTGTGTTATCTTGCAAGACAATGTTGTTTCTACTGCGCAGGCCACCAAAGAATTTTGAGGGTCTTGTTATTGAACATTTTAGGGAGAGAGCGCACGCGATATTATCAGCTTGTAATGCTTATACAAGTGGCCGAGTTAGAGTTGGGTTTTATACGAGTGGTGGTGGGTCAACCTCGAGTTCTTCTTCTTCAACTGTTGAAGTATCGGATAAATTTGAGGGATCAATCTCACAGTTGTATCCTCAGCTGGTTGCCGGTTTCACAAGAAGTGGGGCTTCACTGGGGACTTTGACTGAGCAGTTGGTGGAGAGGAAAACGGTGTCGTATAAGAAAAACCAGGTCGTAGTTAAAAAGAATACCAAATCCAATAGTGGGGTTGCTAGAAGAGTTCTGGGGAAATTGAAGAAGGTTTTGGGATTGAGTAAAAAAAGTGGCAAAAGCAGCGTCAAAAAGACAACGATGTCTTCTTGAAGGATGTGAAAGAAAGGGTACATAGGGCCTGTTTGGGACCCAGTGGGAATTTTAATTACTTAGCTAGGGCCACTTTAGATTAAGTAAAGTCAAGATTACATCTTTATTTAGGTTTTTGAGTTTAGAGGATGATGATCATGATGATGATGATGATGAACTGAGAGTATACAATTTGACCCCTTTTACTGTTTTAAATTGCCACAGGAACCGTATACGATGCTTCGTTAAAAGAATTCAATTAGATGAGAAAATTTTGTGGTAGTCGCTAGTTTTGTTGCTTTTGTTCTTGTTCTTGGTTTCTGTCCGTAATAGTAGTACAACAGAATGTCTAGCGCTTCATGATATTGACATAAAACGTCGGGGAGAACGAAGTGCTAAAAAGTTTATCCCTTTTATTACTAATTGTAAAAATAAGAAACCAACAAGGTGTCGCGGAATTACATTTTCTAGTTATAAAAAAATAAAAAAGCAAGGCATAATCTAGCATATGCAGGGGCAAGCCATATTTGGGCCATGCCAATTGGGCTGGGGAATCGACCTACTTGTTCAAGCTTGACCCAGACGTATAAATATTTCTTGTAGTAAGTAGCAACGGCACCTTGGAAAGCAACTTATGGGTAAGCCTAGTTTGGGAATTAGGAACGCCCTACAGCGTCATAAATACCCAACTCTTGGGAGTTTTAAGCCTACAGTAGCAAGCGATCCAAGATTACAGTCCTCGGGCCTGAAGAGATTTTACTTGCTTGTTTTCACTGAATATTAGATCTTATATTCAATTCCATTTACTCGGCCCAATAGGGAAAAAAAAAAAAAAAAACAAAAAAAGGAAAACTATGCATGCGCTATGCATACTCGTAGAATCTAAGACCAGAGACCAACCAACAGCAAGATGAAATCCCTCGTGCCGTGGCCAAATATCCCATTCATTTCCTGCACCGCTTTGAAATTCTGTTTCTAACATTAGTACCATAGAGGCCCCATTTCATGCATGCCCATCTTCGAGTGTGCAAAGATCCAACTAGAATCCTTGGGGAAGAGCGCCATTTTTTATTCGATGTCCCCGAATTTGCTGCATATGGACAATTAGAGAGGAAATCTCACGACAATTTGCTATGCTTAATGTGACCAGAAGGACACGAATATTTGTTGCCCCATACTATAAACAAGAGACTATTTGCCGGGTCAATTTATGTCAACTTCTTGCTTGTATGGCAGGATGGCACTAGCTATGGAGTGTCAATTCAGTGTCAAGTTCTTGCCAAGAAGGACAAGCTAAGGTTGCAACTTGCCTCAAAAATTAGTATTAGTTCTGTTTAATTTCTAATTACCAATTGGTTCCAATATTAAAACTAGGATGATTTGTAAGTTTTAAGTGGATTTTCTTTGTCGAGTTGAGAATGGAAATGGAACTTTCACTATCAAGTTTCTGTCAGTGTGAGCTAAAATGTTGTTTAGAGGTGAAAAAAAAAAAAAAAAAAAAAAAGAGAGGAAAATCTCCTGCAACGACAATTTTGGCTATGCTTAATGTGACAGAAGGACAACGAATATATTTGTTGCCTTGCCCCATACTATATAACAAGAGACTATTTGCCGGGTCAATTTAGTCAAACTTCTTGCCTTGTAATGAGCAGGAATGGCACTAGCTATGGAGTGTCAATTCAGTGTCAAGTTCTTTGCCAAAGAAGACAAAGCTAAGGTTGCACTTGCCTCAAATTAGTATTAGTTCTGTTTTAATTTCTTAATACCAATTGGTTTTCCAATATTAAAACTAGGATGATTTGTAAGTTTTAAGTGGAATTTTCTTTTGTCGAGTTGAGAATGGAAATGGAACTTTCCACCTATCCAAGTTTCTGTCAGTGTGAGCTAAAAATGTTTGTTTAGAGGTGAAAAAAAAAAAAAAAAAACAAACAACGTGGGCAATGCCAACGAAGCCCTTAGCCCCCTTTCAGTCCTCTTTTCTTTTCGGGAAACAAAGCCAAAGGCGCCAAGGTGGATAAAAAAAAAAAAAAAAAAAAAACAAACAACGTGGCATGCAACGGAAGCCCTTAGCCCCTTTCAGTCTTCTTTTCTTTTCGGGAACAAAGCAAAGGCAGCCAAGTGGATGTCACGATCTTTGTATTTCACTTGTCTCGTCCATAGAAATTTTCAACAATGGAAATAGTTATTATAGTTTCTTTCTGAACTCTGAAAAGGGGTGGAGTGGTAGTTCTTAAAAAATTCACAAGGTTGATAATTGATGTTTAATAAAAAAGCATTGCCAAAGAGTTTAATTCTAATGGGCTCATCACAAAAGTCTTGGAAAAAGAAAAAGAAAACGTCAGGCCTATCTTTCTATAGACTAGCAATGGCCCAAATATCGCTAATTGTTCTTTGATCAAACATGAAATGGAAGTCTTCTTCTTCCATCTGTAACTTCTTTACCAAAAGTAGAAGTAGAAAGTAGAAAGTAGAAAACACAAAAATGAGTCATTCATGGCTGAGTCGCCTAAGCAGAACCAAAGGTTGAAACCTGTTCACTTTCACCTATTTTTTAAGTTAAAAGCAATTCCAAAATAAAAAAACAGATGAAAGAAAAGAAAGCTTTCATTTGCTTATCTGTACACAGATAATCATAATAAACAATGTTAAAAAAAAAAAAAAATTGATGGTTCATTGTTATACACACCACAGTACAAACAAAAGACATTGAAAACAACACCCAACAGAACTCTTCCCCACACCCATCTCCTCCTCTTCCTCTCCAACAAGGGAATGACCCTTTCTCTGTTCCTCTACCACCGGGCACAACCCTCTATCACCATTACCGCCTTCTCTCTATTCTTATCCTACGCACCCACTTTCTAATCTTGCGCTGCTTTAAAAGATAGAATTGGATCATTATTATATCAATGACCCAGATTGGGAGACTTTGGATGAGGATATTGAGGCTAGCATAATTGAGAGATGTGGGATGCTTCAGGCATTAATGAATCTGCTTTCTTTATGTTTTAGGCCGTTTGTGCATGATTCTAAGTCTGACTCTGTTGGTGTTGGTAGAGAAGGAAAAGAAGGATTACTTTGGTACAGAGATATTGGGAAATATGGGTCTGGAGATTTTTCAATGGCTGTTGCTCAAGCTAATCAAGTACTTGAAGACCAGTGCCAGATCGAGTCTGGACCATTTGGGACTTTTGTTGGTGTCTATGATGGTCATGGTGGTCCAGAAGCTTCTCGTTATGTCTGCGATCACTTATTCAGACACTTTAAAGGTCCGTTCTTGATGAACCCTTCTTTTGATCACTCGTGCGAATTCCTCCTAGCCTTTTTTTTCCTTTTGAGTCGAGATTCTTTTGTGGCTTTGAATCAGCCGCGTCTCAACGAACTTTCGTGTGTTCAAGGATTGGGAACTTTTAACAGTGATTCGAGATTCTGAAAGCTTCTGCTTTTGGTTGTGCTTTTATGAAATTAGGTGACATGTTGTGATATACAGTTAAATTGGATTTTAGAAAAGGGAAAAAAAAGCACCTTTCTTGTTTTACGATTTCTTTTTTGTTAGAATTCCAAAAGGTATACTATTATAATTTTTCATGGTCTGGAAACTGATAGCATTAGCTTTCTTGCTTTTAACTTCTGGCAAGGATATAGTTTTTGATCATGCCACATTTGTGATTATCTTCTTTATGCTTGTCAATTTTATAGATAACTGTTAATGATATTTCCATTTGAGTGTGTTTTTGTATAAAAGGTTACTGATTTTTATTGGGTTAAAGTAGAGTATCATGTACAGTTGAAATTTGGAAAGGGGTGGTTTACTGTAAATTGCTGTTCGGTTTGCATTGAAGATAAGTACAGTTGGCTTAATGTTTAACTACATTTTTTATGCCTGGATTCTGCAGTTTTAAAATTTTTAAGGAAATGCTTTTGCTTGAGGCATCAGTGGGAAATATAAAATGCATAGTCAATGCTCGATCTTTTATAGAGATTTCTTTTGTTTAACTTTAAATGGGAAGCTTATGTTGGCATTCTTAGGCTTTGTGGTTATGCAGCAATATCAGCTGAAACACAAGGCGTTGTGACCACCGAGACTATTCAAAGGGCTTTTCGTGCAACAGAGGAAGGGTTTACTACTCTGGTGTCCGAGCTATGGACTACTTATCCCCAAATTGCAATGGCAGGGTCTTGTTGTCTAGTTGGAATCATATGTCAGCAGACCCTCTTTGTGGCAAACCTGGGAGATTCTCGTGTTGTGTTGGGCAAGAAAGTTGGCAATACCGGAGCAGTTGCTGCTATTCAGTTATCAACTGAGCATAATGCAAACCTTGAGGCCATCAGGCAGGAACTTCAGGAATTACATCCTGATGATCCCCAGATTGTTGTCCTTAAGCATGGAGTTTGGAGAGTAAAGGGGATTATTCAGGTTATTTTCAATACTCAATTTGTCCATGAGGTTATGTCAATTTGAAGCAAATGCATGAGTACTCTTGCGTATCTTCTATTTAAAATATTAATTAGATGTTTTTACTTGTGCTGAGAAATTATGCAACTACTTTATTGGTTATCTTTAGGACTACTCTATGCATATATTCTATTTACATTCCTTTACGACTGGAGATCTTATGTCCTGAACTGCATCATTATTTTTAATGCAGGTTTCTAGATCCATAGGTGACGTATATATGAAACATACACAATTTAACAGGGAACCAATTAACGGAAAATTCAGACTCCCTGAACCAATGAACATGCCTATCTTGAGTGCCAATCCGACTATTATTTCTCATCGTCTCCAACCAAATGATTCCTTCCTTATATTTGCATCTGATGGTCTTTGGGAACACTTGAGTAACCAAAAATCTGTGGATATTGTCCAAAGTAATCCACGCACAGTAAGATCTTCTCTTCTATTTATACTTTTTATTCTTTTGCAATCACTCTGGTTTGCATGGATATTCATATTTTTATGTTTCTCTTAGGTGCTAAATGCTTATAATGTTTTAAGCTCAATATGCTATTTTCTTCAGAATTGATTTTCTGCTTGGTGTTCCAGCTGTTCTGCAGAAAACTTCCTTTGAGGTTTTTACCAGATATACCATAGTTCTTTAACTTGTCTGTACTCATGAAGTTTTTTTAATGCAGGGAAGTGCCAAGAGGCTTGTGAAGGCTGCCCTCCAAGAAGCAGCAAAAAAAAGGGAGATGCGATATTCAGATCTACGCAAGATTGACAAGAAGGTTCGACGCCACTTTCACGATGATATAACTGTGATTGTTTTATTCTTAAACCATGATCTTATATCCAGAGGCGCTGTGCAAGACCCTCCACTTTCCATGCGGAGTGCTTTGGAACACTGATTATTTCTATACATATTTCTGCTTCCTTTGGTAGCCAGCAGTGGATGTGAATGTACCACTGCCAAAATATACCTCATATGGATATAGAGCTGCACAAACAAAGCGGTTGTACTACCTGGATATTGACACTGAGAGGTCTAGAATTTGTAATATGTTGTTAAAAATTCACTTGATGGTTAGTTATTACAACGTCTATGTATGCTACGATATCTAATTGAAGTTTTATCTCCTCACAGTTTTGCAAGTTGTCTTTCCCTCGCATTATATATGTACTGAAAGTCGTTATCAAAATTATTTATGGAAACTGTAATTTAGGGGTTCATTATTCAGTGTAAACCACCAAATCAAACCGGACCAAATCTGATTAAGCAATTTAGTTCAGTTTGATTACTATGAAAAAAAAAAAAAGAAATTTGGTTTATAAATCTTTAAAAAAATGTTAAGTTTCAGTTTTTTATTTAAATAATCCAAACCAAACCCTAAGCTATATAATAATATATGATATAGTCAGCGAACATAATACCAAATGTAATTTACAAAACTATAAAATAGGTATCTTTAATGTTTATAAACCGTTTTGAAAATCAAATCAAATCGTATTATTTCAGTTTAAGTTGGTTTGATTTATAGCTCAATTTTCAATACAGTTTGATGTATAACTCAAAAAAATTTAGTTTCAGTTGGAAGATCAAACTTTACAAACCGTAATTATCCATTTTTTAAGTTTCAAAAAAAAAAAAAAAAAAAACACTCTTTCGCAAAACGGTTAGCTGAAAAAATTAAAACGAATAACTCCCCGTATGCATCTCCTGTGACAAACGACCTGTCGTTCATCTTCAAGTGTCGCGAAAAACTGAATGATACGACGTATCGCAGATAGTAAATTATTCGAAAATTGAGGGGCATTCAAGGAACTATATATTCATAACCAGTCCAATGGAGTTCTGATGCAGTGACCTAGCTGAGAATCCCACACCAGTGTCTTAACGACTCAGGAGAGATCGCTCATGATTCTTTCATGAATCATTTTCATTCTTCAAACTAATCCATCTTTAATTATGTCTACGAAATCAATTCAGAGCTTTTCATTTTTATATCATGTTTCAATTATCATACTGAGTCAACTCGTGATTTGCTCCGAGTCAGCTCCTCAGGCCTTCCGGAGAGACCCAGGACATCCTCAGTGGCACCATGGCGCATTTCACGATGTCAGAGACAGCGTCCGATCTGATGTTCGCCGCATGCTTCACACTCGCGCCGAGGTAATTCCTTCACAACAAGATCATATAAATGCTTACATATCTAGATTAACTCGCTCTAGCTATTAATTCAGTTGGAATTGTCTTCTGCAGGTTCCATTCCAGGTTCCACTGGAGGTCAATGTCGTGCTTATTGGATTTAATGGAGATGGAGGATATAGATACTCCTTAGACACACACAAATTGGAAGAGTTTTTGAGAACCAGCTTTCCTTCCCATAGACCTTCATGCCTAGAGACTGGAGAGCCTCTCGATATAGAGCATCACATTGTCTATAACGCATTTCCTGTAAGTGACTCTAGAAATTGGTAGTCTTCATCTTAAATAAGTCTAATTTTAGTTCTTATATTTTGTTATATGCTGTTGCAATAGGCTGGGCAGCCAGAATTAATTGCGCTTGAGAAGGCACTGAAGGAGGCTATGATTCCTGCTGGGACTGCAAGAGAGGTGAGTGGCATTTTGTGTTTCAGTTAATATGTATTATATGTTCTCAAGTGAGTTTCTAAATATCCTGTTTACAATATCTTGTAGACTGATTTTGGAAGGGAGGTGCCGTTGTTTGAGGTGGAGGCCACAATTGTCGAGCCTGTATTTCACAAATTGTATTCTTACATATTTGACATGGAAGGTATGGGTTACAAGGAGAATGATAGACCTGTTCCTAATGCAATCTTTGTTGTCAATTTTGATAAGGTATGTCTAACAGTCTACTTCACATGGTCTTTGAGAGACAGTGAAGCCCAATTTGTTGTGCTTTTCATCTGGAATTTAACGATTTCGGTGAGAAATAAATGCTAAATTGTTTTCCATCCGTTCCTATAATCTCCTTTGTAGGTAAGAATGGATCCTAGAAATAAGGAAATTGACCTTGATAGCTTAATGTATGGGAAAATCACCCAGTTAACCAATGAGGACAAGGTTAAACAAGAAGGCGACTACATTTATCGTTATAGATACAACGGGGGAGGGGCAACTCAAGTTTGGCTGAGCTCAGACAGGTATAAGTATGATTAATATATTACTAGATGTGTGTTTGCATTTGGTGGAGGGAGGAATGCTTAGTTGTTTACTGTTTACCCACTGACTTGTTTATGCCACCTGCTACCATGCATGACAACATTGCTTTCAAATATTGTGATCACATTAGTTTATGCAGTTATATACATATCTCTGCTACTCTTGAACTCCAATCACTCAGAAATAATATTAATTTCCGTGAAAGATTACTTGAGAATTACAGAGACAAAGTTTACATTGCCAAAAATTCCAAAATTTTGGTTAACTTGCGAATTCCTACTTTCAGTTAAGGTGGATATCACCATCAACTATAGATGGTAAGAAATCACAATGTGAATTTTCAGGTGAATTATGCTACAGCAGAAAATTTTTCATGAGTTTTCCTTCCAACTCTGGAGCAAACATCTGGTTAATATTTTGCATTAAATTCTCATATTTTTTATGATGAGTTTGATTCACTGCATGTTCTCTGTGGAAAAGTGATAAATTGGTTCTTGAAAACACAATGTTTCTCTCTTCTCCCTCCTGTTCTCCTTGTTCTGATGCTTTTCCCATGATTGTGCAGATTTGTTGTGATTGACCTGTCAGCAGGCCCTTGCACTTATGGGAAGATTGAAACTGAAGAGGGAAGTGTCAGTTCTAGAACATTGCCGCGGATACGGAACTTGATGGTCCCTAGAGGTGTTGGTGCAATTAGTGATCACACATCTCCTGATATTTTTGCTGGACAACTTTCTGCTCTAATAGCAACCACAGTTGAGCATCTTATAGCTCCAGATGTTAGGTACATCTATGAAGTCTTTTTATTTGATGAATGTCAAGCATATCGTGGATTTGAGAATCCTATTACTACCTTGTTTTTCAATATTTTGCATGATTTTCTGCTGATCATTTCTATTACTCTGCTGATTTAGGTTTGAGACAGTTGACCTGGCAACTAGGTTACTAATACCAATCATTGTGCTTCAAAACCATAATAGATATAATATCATGGATAAGGGCCATAATTACAGCTTACACATTGAAGAAATTGAATCAGAGGTCAGCTATTTTACATGGAAGCACCTTTTATGATTACGAGATATATTTTTTGTCTTTTCGAGCTGAGGAGAATATGTCTGACATTTTAATGGATGAAAAGGGAACAAATGGAACTCTGATATGACTCTATAGTACAGATCTTAAGGTTGCATGACAATGCAAGATTGACATCTCTCAAAATTCACAGGGTCCTTCATTGACCAGATGGGACTTACATTTTCTTGTCCTTTGTTTTTGTGTCATTTACAGGTGAGGAAAATGGTACACGATGGTCAAGAAGTTGTAATTGTAGGTGGTTCACATGCATTACATCGTCATGAGAAGTTGGCTATTGCTGTTTCAAAAGCAATGCGAGGGCATTCCTTGCAAGAAACTAAAAGTGATGGGCGCTTCCATGTTCATACCAAGACATATCTAGATGGCGCTATACTTAAAGAGGTTTAACCTTTTTAAAATGCTATCATTGTCTAGTTTTTGAATTACCATGTATCATGATGATGCAACTTTCTGTTGATGTAAAAATTGTCTGTTGCAATTAGTCTTTAACCATTGCATAAGTATGCTATAGAAATGAGGTACACTTGGTTTCCTCTTGGTATAAGTAATTCAATCCATGCTCCATGAACAACGCATGAGTAGTTGTTTATGTTGCTTTCAAAAGCAATGTGAGGGTATTCGTCTCAGGCTGACCTTGTATCTTCTAAAGTCGCTTTAGTTCTATCCTTGTTGAGCCATACTTTCTGTCTTGACTTGCTCACTTTTCCTTCTCTTCTTTTTGCTTGTATCTTGTTGGAAAGATTGAAAATATGCTTCGTTTTGTACACTTAAACTTCCCATGAATATTTGCATGCTCCATTGCCCCTGATTTGCTGGTAATAAATTGCTCATTATAGGAAATGGAGCAGTCTGCTGATGTGCTTGCTGCAGGTTTAGTTGAGTTGGCTGACCCATCTCTTTCAAGTAAATTTTTTCTCCGCCAGGTCTGTTTTAATCATTATGTTTATATGTTATTACTTTCGAATGGATGGCAATTTCTTAACTGGACTGTTGTCCTCTAATCACTGTCTTTTAGAAATGTGCTCTATATATGACCAGTTAGTGTTTTCTTTTTTATCCTATCATCTGTATTCTCTAAAACGAACTATGTTTCTCGCAGCACTGGATGGAAGAATCTGATGGTTCAGGTGATTCCATTCTTAAGCATAAACCATTATGGGCCAGTTATAATTCAAGAAGTGACAAGGAAAAGAAGAAGAATAAGAAGAAAGACCAGAAGAAACAAGGGGATCTCCACCACACTTATGGAACGAGAGTTATTCCAGTGTAAGCATGCACGGGCTCCTGAAATTGGTTTTTTATGCAAGTGGCATCATGTGGTCACCTAAAGAGCACAACTGCTTTTCCAACTAAATTCGCAGCTTACTTTGCAATTTTATTGATTTTATTTCTGTGTCTTTGTGTCCATACGAGCTTTTAACTAATATTTTCTAGCAGCATATTCTTTCATGCCATAACTAAGTGAATTAATCAAATAGTTGACTTATGATAATTATCGGTCTATTCACTAATATATTTTTCTTTCCTTTCCAATGTCTCAAAGTCAAATGTGAAGACAGTGGTGACCAAAATTATTGTAGAGCAATTGTTTGAGGTTAGATTAATTTTAAGGTGACAATGTGCTTTTTGGCCTTTTAATGCAGCTTTGTGCTATCCTTGGCTGATGTAGACCCAGACCTTATGATGGAGGATGATACCCTTGTTTGGACGAGCAATGATGTTGTCATTGTGCTTGAGCATCAACATGAAAAGATACCTTTGAGGTATGTGAGGCAATGCCTTCTACTTAGCCGTATTATTAGTCTTCTCTTCACATTGAATACCGTTTGCATCCACAACATAGATCCCTTTAATCAAATAAAGATCATTAATGAAATAAATGATGAACACTTGTATCACTTCTAACAAAAACATTATGCATGTGATGTATTTGTAACAGAAGGAAAACTGTTTCCCATCAGAGAGAATTCTTACAGCTAAATATCCTATTGATCTGAAATCTGTCACTTTGCTACTGAAGTTTAATTGTCCTTTTAGCCTTTTCCATAGAGAAACAGAAACTATCATGATCTTTTTTTCATTTTTCCACACAACATTTCAGTCTTAATTTTATTCATTTGTTTTTTTGAATGTTGGAACAGTTATGTTTCAGAAACAGAAAGAAGGCATGCCTTGCCATCGCTAGCACAGCGACATATATTGGCAGGGCTTGCTTCTGCTGTTGGTGGGTTGAGTGCACCGTATCAGAAAGCATCGCATGTACATGAAAGGCCAATTGTAAATTGGCTCTGGGCAGCTGGTTGTCATCCATTTGGGCCATTCTCTAACACTTCTAAAATCAGTAAATTGCTGCAGGATGTTGCCTTGGTAAGGCAAATTTCATAGTCAAAAAAATTCTTATGAAGTGAATATATGACATATTCTATTGCACTTAACAAGTCATATATTTACCTGTCATGCTTAATAAAGAACGTCCTTGTTCCTCATTTAACATATTTTATAATTATTTGTATTTACTTGGATTCCTCCTCATTTAACATATTTTATAATTATTTGTATTTACTTGGATTCCGTACATAAATTCTCTGAAATCATTTATATGTTTCATTGGCAGAGGAACACAATATATGCTCGTGTGGATTCTGCACTTCGTAGGATTCGTGATACATCTGGGGTCGGTTGGATTTAATTCATTATTAAGTATTCCAACAATAATTGGTTGTATGGTTTGATGCTTATGGATTTTCTTGTATTTGACAGGCTGTCCAAGCTTTTGCTTCGGAATACCTGAAAACCCCTGTTGGTGAACCTGTGAAAGGCAAGAAAAACAAAACAACTACAGAACTCTGGTTAGAAAAGTTCTACAGGAAAACCACCAACCTGCCTGAACCTTTTCCACATGAATTAGTTGAGAGATTGGAGAAATACCTTGATGTAAGTCATTATTGAATAGGTAACTGCTTTCCTTATTCAAACACTGAGAAAGATTTTAAGGCGTGGTTATCTGTTCAATTAAATGACAGGGTCTTGAGGAACAGCTTGTAGATCTTTCTTCTTTGTTGTATGATCACCGGTTACAAGATGCACATTTGAATAGTTCAGAAATTCTTCAGAGCTCAATGTTTACCCAGCAGTAAGTTCTTTTCCAACTAATTTTACCTGCTGAATTAGATGATCTTAGCGTGTAATAGAATTCAAATGGTTGATTTTAACTTAATGATGTGAAATGCAGGTACGTAGATCATGTTCTGGCAAACGAAAGAGATAAAATGAGATGCTGTGAAATTGAGTTCAAGTATCCTGTGCACTCGTCACAAACTTACGTCTATGGGGGGATCCTTCTAGCTGGGTTTATTGTTTATTTTATTGTCATTTTCTTTTCCAATCCTGTCCGTTGATGGTAAACTGTGCAATGAAAGATTTTTTACAGGCATAGATGCTCAACTTGAAATAGAAAATGCATGTAAATGAAAAGAAAATTTTGACTTCTTTGTAGCATTTTATATAATGTAATTTTAACACATTAGAATATTTACTAGGAAACCATGAAATAGATTGTATAAGTGGATGGGTTTATGAATTAAAATGGTTAATTTTTGGAAACCATCTTCTCGTGAATTTAAATATCATGTTTTCTGTAATTTGTGACTAAAAAGAAGATACAAAAAACTACGAAGGACATGTTTGGTAAGCACGGATTGAAAATGGAATTTCAATTCCCTATTAAGTAGAATTGTTTGGGAATTTGGTATGGAATAGGCATTCAGAACCACCTTACTCTGAATTCCTATTACTTCTACCTTTTTATAAAATATTTTAACTGTCCTGGGTTCTTTTATACATATTCTCATTTGAATGGAATTTTATAAATTATCATATATGCCCTTAAATTGAATGTTGTTTATTGTTTTTTTTTATATAAAACTTTATTTATACCCTTGAATTATAATGAATTTGCTTATTGATATTCCAAAATATTTCACTTATATGAATACTATCTTTTAAAAAGAACTTGTTAGGAACACAAATTATTATAGATTGAAAAATAATTCTTACTATTTTCAAATATATTAAAGCCAATTATACGATCATTTGAAAGAAAAAAATAATTAATGTGTATTGTAATCCTCCAATCATATGATACATATTAAATATAGAAATAGGAATTATAGTTTCTTTTTCTTTTCCGTTCAATACATACAATTTCACCATTACAGAAATTGATCATCAAATGTTCTTTTTGTTTTTTTTTTTGTCTTTTCATTTTTTTTCCCTTATAGATAGTTTTTGGCTTATAAATAGGAATAAATCTTATGGCTTGTTTTTCTCTTTTACATTTGGTCTAGTAAGTGAAATATATATGATTAAACTAAATAAAATCCAAACACGCACTATATCAGACATAGCTTTCTAGGCTGCAAATGTGCATCAAAAAGGCCAGCTGCGAACAGCTTGCTCAGAGCCCAGTGCATATTCATCATCTATGCCAAAAAAATTTGGCATTTTATTTTAAAGCAAATTAAATTTAAAAATACCCAATGTATAATACGTTTTTTTTAAAAAAAATTGAAAAATTACTAAAGGGATCCTCAGAAATTATGCTTGTAATTTTCATCAAATTACTATTAATCAGGTCTCAAAGATTCCATGCCATCATTGGAACCCCAGAAATTGCAAAACCAACAAAAAAACACAACAAAAAAAAGTTCACTTCAAAGTTAATATGTTGCAGGATATTATTCACTAAGCTTGTCGATTACTAAAGCCAAGTGACTCAACACCTGCGTAAAATCTCCGCCTCTTCCAAATTATAAAAACAAATCTTAAAGAAACCCTAAAAACATTGAAATAGGATCAGAGGGTCCCATGAAGAGGCATTTCCAAACCAAATAATAATTTTTCCCATGTGAAATCGAAGAAACAAAAGAAATCCAACGAAATTGGGAGAGAAAAACACAGACAGAAAGATTTCTATTTCTAAGTTCTAAGGAACGAGGATCAGCTATGGTGCGGGTGAGGATATTTATATACTGGGATTTAGATTTGTTAGGGTTTTACTCTCATACCATATCCAGCCAAATTACTAAAAACTCCTCATGCCCGGACGGGCCGATTGATTGGGCCAATAGCCCAAATTCTTGTTCAAACTTCAAACTATAGGTTTTTGAATGCATTTAGCCCAGATGAAAAAAAAAAGACGTAGAAAATGAAAACACGTGGATTTAAGAATCTTGTTAAAAAGATTGGGAATAAGTATCAAAGAATTTTGCATTTTGGGCCACTAGTAATTTCGTGGAATTTCCAATCAGGTTGACTGGCAAATGCCCATTCCACAAGTCCGACTCCCATTAACTTGGCTGGCAGTAGAAAAATACCCTTTAGTCCTCAACTCTTTTTCAACTCTCCGATATATTTGGATCCTCAACTTTTAAGGAGGCAACTGTGATTTCACCACAAACGAACAAACCAACCAGTCGTGCCAAACCAACCAGTCGTGCCAAACCAACCAGCCTGTGTTTGTAAATAATAATGAAATATACAGAAAAAAATATGCAGTAGTGAATTTTATATTTTTAGAAATATATATCCTTAAATTCGATGCATAATTCAAGGTTTTGGAGCTTAGCAAAAGAAAATTTCACAGCACAACCACATAAAATGTGATTATTATTATTTAAAAAATAAATTTTTATAAACTGCAAAAGACTAATTCTTTTCTAATAATTTAATTGGTATTTTATAAATTTTAAAAAATGGTGTTTTATTAATTTAACGAGCCAACCCTTGCCCTTGGCAATGGCCTCCCACAAATTAAAAAAGAAAAAAGAAAAAAAGAAAGGCCAGTTCCTAACGTCACCACACACGTAACAGAATATACGGAAACGCCGTGGCAATACCATAGACCTCAAAGCTTGTCAAACAAGTCACATGGCTCTATTTTAGTGGACTCACATTTCTCCTCCAAATATATAAGCAACAGACGCCTCATTTCTCTCCCAGAATTCATCTGCCTAACGGTACGACCCCCAAACACTCCTCTTAAGAAGAAGAAGAGAGAAAAAAAAAAAAAGAAAGAAGAATGTGTCCATCTGGTAGAAGTTTAGCTTCAAACGGCAAAACGACGTCGGCCAGGCTGGATTTCAGGACAGCATTTGACGTTCTCGACGCGGACCGCGATGGGAAAATTAGCCGAGACGATCTTAGGAGTTTTTACACGGGATTTTTAAGTGGCGGCGCCGACGATGATGTTATAGGGTCTATGATGTCTTTGGCGGACTTTAATAAAGATGGGTTCGTGGAGTACGAGGAATTCGAACGAGTTTTGAATGGTAATGGAAAGAGGAAGAAGACCTATAATGGAGTCATGGAGGATGTGTTTAAGGTTATGGACAAAGATGGAGATGGCAGATTGAGCCATGAAGATTTGAAAAGTTACATGCAGTGGGCCGGATTTGATCTAGCTGATGAAGATGTCAAAGCTATGATCAAATTGGGTGGTGGAGATGATAAAGACTCTGTATCTTTCGATGATTTGCTTAAGATTTTGTCTCTTGATATATGATTCCATATCACAATTATGTAAAAGTTGGATTTTTAATTAACATATGAACGATTTTTTTGCTTCATTTTCCATTCTGATACCAAGAAATCACAGTAGTTTTTCAATGTCATTTTCCTTGATTTGTCTGTGTTTGGTTGACTTGTCGTTTTGTGTCCTGGGTTCTGGAATATTCGATGATTTCGTGGTCTATAACCTTTCGTTTAATGCCAGGCTTTTAGTATGGCTACCTGGCAAAGGCTGAGCAACAGGGTTATGAATTTTCAACAAACTTTAGTCAATAATTGTGTGTGGAAACGGCCATCAGCAATTGCTGGAATTTTTACCCCAAAAAAATATTCTCAATAGTTTCCCCTTCCAAGTCAAAAATCAATAATCTATGACATTTTTCACTAGATTCATATAAAAAACAACTGACAACATCTTGGGCACAACCAATTTGCTACAAAATACTGAATTGCAGACATTTCTCCATATCATAACATTCTGCCATCAGTAACTTATTATCCTGTGATAAGCATTTCTAGTACTACTTGGCTGGATGCCTAGACCAAATCTATTTTCCCCTGCTCTAAAGGCTTCTTTATGAACTTGTAACATACAAAGGTAAGTAAATCTCGTTCCATCTCTGTAATTTCCGTACTGCCAGAACGGAAATCTTAATCAGTAATTAGACAGATAAATCGCTATGATTTTCCTAAAGATAAAACATTGAATGATAAAAACAAAAGATCTCTACCAAGCAACGGCCCCAAATTGGACCGCATCATATTACCTGTACTCAGGCTCAATGTCCATGCTGGAGAGATACTGCTTAGCTTTGCAGATAACAAACGTGTCCAGCCGTGGTGCAGGGACTGTGAATCATACAAATTAGAGGGATTATAAACATGTTATATGTTTTTTCTGTTGAAAACAAATTTATATAAGCCTGGAATTTAAAACCGCCCTATTATCTGAAAAACACACGAGTGTATGAAGAATAAACCAACAAAGAGGAAGACATAAAACCTTGTGACAGGCACCCTTTTCTACAAGCTAAGGTAACTGTCACATGTTGGATATGAGGAAAACAGTATAGACAAGATCACTAAAGCAAAACAAGAAAAGCAAAGATGCATAATCCAGCAGTGCTGGCTCTAACTACACAAAAAATGAACATAACACGGGATGTGCTGATTTGTAGAGTGAATTGGCAGCATTGGAATTCTTCAAGGAATTCATATCAACTTATACATCCAATTCCAAACTATTGAAAAATCCTCATAAATCCTCTTCTAATAATGTCCAAGTCTCTGAGAATTGCTCGCTGCCAACACCATTACTTTATTGGTACACTAAACCATAACTAATCACATCATCTTTGTTTTCAATTTGCAATTACATCTAATAGTAAACCAATTCTCATCATCATCATCACCACCACCACCATCACAATTCCAACTGGGTCCCTGTGATAAAACCAAGCACAATAATTCTCTCACCAGCTGAACTTGTGCGGTCCCGATTTCCAAAATTCCCTGATTCCAATTCTGTTTCATCTAGTGAATTCCAAGAATCTTGGTCAAGAATGCTTGTAGGAGAATTTTGAACTAGAATTAGATTCTTGGATTTAATTTGTTTTACATGGGAATTGAATTTCCCCAAAAATGGATGGGTAAGGAGCTCCTTACCTCTCCATCTTGCTTTTGGATCTCTCCTTGAACACTTATCCAAAAGAAAGACCCTTTCCAACAAGGAAATTCTGACACTGAAGGCTTCAATTGAATTTGTTGAAAAATAAATTCTTTGTACATGTATGACATTAGAAGCTAAATATTCCTAATTCTTTTCAATTCCAGATCCTTATCCAACTTACTGGTACAGCCAATAAAGCACAACGTTCCTGTAGTATTCAAATGCTTGATAACAAATGAAAATATGCGCATCTGTCACCTTAAATGTCCTACATACAGCCACCGACTTGAAGTTTTGCATAATAATAGAAAAAGTGCAACACCATAGGAATCATCTGACTGGATTCATCATCATCACGGATTAGCCTTATTTGGTGCAATTATCAAGTCTACATAGCAATAGGGGATTTGAAATTGAGTATTATGCTCAAAGTAGATCCCTGATTATAAAAATTGATGGCTATAAATGGAACAAGTTTGTTGTGAAATAATAGAGATGCTCTTAGTTAGGGTATTGAACATTTCACCAATTTCAAGACCAGATACGAATCCAAGGCAACAGCACAGTGTGCAAGGCACAGTGGCATACAACACGCAAGATAGATAAGAAAGAAAGAAGGGCAACTCTATACATGCCACAATATTTCTATGCACAATGCACAAATAAATTTGGAGATGCCCATTCTGGAATAAACACCATAAACTATTAATGTTTAGTTACCTTGCATACATCTATATAATTTCAAAAGACTGAATATATTTAGTTTAGGTTCAATATACACTGACTTCACATCATACTAAATAGCATTAGAACGACACAAACTGAATGAAAATAGAGTGTGAATATTACCCATATCGTCCTCTTCACTTGTTATGGATTGTTTAAGTATGGATTGGTAATTATCAGGCAATTTTGACAGAACAGTCTGGTCAAGATGCTTTCCCAGATCATCAGTGCACCTGCAATCAAACAATTAACACCAAAATTGGTAAGATGAATAAACCATAAACACATGCCACTAGCATGAAAATATGAGGTAGCTGATGCCTTCACCTCCGAGCAAACATTTGTTCTTGCTTGGAAAGCCGGTTAAGAGAGTCATCGGTTTTTAAAATGTGGAACAAGTACTCCTCGATCTGCACTGAAAATTGCTTGATAAATAAATAGCTAAATGAAATGTGACTGACGTATCAGTCTTTGTAAAACGTGAACTTTTCTTGGAATAATGAAAATAGCCACCGGCCCTCCCCACTAATTGTTCAGAATTTTGTGTCTTGCAGCTTTGAGCTCTTGTATGCGGAAGAGCTAAATTGTAGAGGAAGGACCCATGTTTTTAATTGCAATAAAGAACAAAATCAACAGATTCAGTCACCATAATCCAATACACACCCTAATAGAATATTAAATATATATTCACCTTCTGGAGGCGAACCCGGAGATATGATCTCAACAGAAACTGAGTCCTATCCAGGTCCATCTGGTAAAGTGACACGGTTAGAGGATCTACACCATCTGCTTCAAATATCTCCACATTTTGTTCCTGCAAAGATACAATAAATTGGCATTAAAATTTAGCACAAACAAAGCAGTAAAAACTTTGCATTGCAAATTGCCCGGAATTCTCATGACTACACAACTCAAGTCACAAGAAGTTTTCATAATTGATATTTTCCATGCACTTGCATTCTAATTTCTAAATCTCGACCATGAATAGGCATATTAAAAGTACACAAAAACGAAGTTCGCAACGTAATCACAATGAGAACTTGTATCACAGATAAAAAAACAACACCAACCCGCCAAATGTACAACAAATTGAATAGCTAATTTCACATTCCGACTCTAAACTCCAATAATTAATTTCTCAGAAAAATCGAATACTAAACACTGGAGAAATTAAAATCAAATTCTGCATTGAAACCCATTAATCGGCCAATAAATTTCTCGAGAAAAGAAAGAGATGGCTAGGGTTACGAGAGAAGCTATACCGCCAATTCGATCTGCTCTTTGATTCTCTGGACCAAAGAAGCTTCATAATGAAGAATCTCCGGTGCAGCCTTCTCATTACGCCACGCCCTCTTCAACAACTCCACATCGGTGGTAGATATCAACGTCTCGTAATCATCCACAAACGCACTCGTCGATTCCTCTACTGATCCTGTAGCCATCTCATCTGATTTCTCCACTGAATCTATCAGAACTTTACTTTTCACAGACTATAGTTTAGAGGCTGAAATTTGAGAGGGAAAATCCTAAAATTATAATTAGAAGTGGCGCCAACGCCAAAAACGGGCGTTTTAGATAAGACAGATTTCGAGTTTATGCGTGAATCTAACACCATTGGATGGGCCGTAAAAATGAACGGCCAAGATGGGGTTCGATTCACGCACAAACTAGAGATATGTCCCACCTCCATCTCTCCACAAACTCAGCGTTTGTTACTCGTTTGGTAGATTTGTTGTCGGCTTTTATAGGGAAAGAGAAGATGGGCTGCAACAAGAATCCAATACCAACACCGACGCCGCATAGGAGACTGGCCCGTCCACCACGAGATATGCGTGGAAAGTCGCATAGAGACAGAGTGGGATCCAAGTTTATTTATGTTAAACATTACCATATGCTTTACTCATAGCTAATCCCTTGAGCTGTACGTGCTTGTTTTCTTAGTGGCCATTGATTAAAATGAAGATTTTTTAAAGCTTGATATTTTATTTCCAGGCAGCACAGATACAAGTCAGTTGGAATGGAAGTTCTCTGCATATTAATTCCAGGCCCAGCTCTTCGCCTAAAAATAGCCCAATTTCAAGAAATAAAGACCTAAAAGGCCTATTTAGGCCCATCTTCGTTGGGCATCAAGAACCCTTTAAAGTAATATTTTTGGTAATACTGTATTATAATTGACAAAAAGTCAACAGACTCCACCGAATGCAGTCGAGTCTTAAAATCTATAATTAATACAAAAAGTGTTTATTAATTAATTAAAAAAAAAATCGATCTAATCTCAATTTATTTTTTCACTTTTCCCTTTCTCTCATGTAAGATTAATTACTAGAAAATTCTATCCACTTTCTGAAGTGGCAACATCATCAATTAAAGCATTCATGAAAGTTTGCCAGATATAGTAGTTTTGCTATATCATTCTCTAGATTCTGTGCACATAATTAATTACTCTTAATTTGACTGGATCTGTAAATTCAAATCGATTAGCTTCTTAAGCATTTACCCTCAGAAATATTCCGGTAGACTTATATATATATATATATATCAGAACCGTAATTCTAACCATAGTTAAATTTGTTGAGTGTGAGCAGTAGTATAATCTAGCTGGTACAATTGTCAAACTGCTATTCCATTTTGTTAGTTGCCAGTACATGTATTAGCTTGTGAACAAGAAAGCTAACGTTCCGTTGTGGAAGAACCAACCTCTGTGGCATTGAAACGTGTAAGCTGAGCAGAGTTGCACCCTTCCAGTAGATATTGGTAGAAGCTGCTAATACATTCTTAAGTTACCCACTAATGGAAATGCTTCAAAATATTTTGCATGTATTTGAATCGCTCGGACAGGGAGTTCTGATCAATTATATACACGGAAAAACAGAGTGCATGCCCTAGCTGGTTATATATAGGTTGCCCTAGCTTGGGTTTTACTGTTCAAGTCACTGGTAATTCCCTCTCCTCCACAGATATTTATGTGCTCATACATACAAGTAGTTAAGAAATACAGTTAAAGAAATGGATTTAGACAATTTGAATTAAGGAAATTAAAGAAATGGAGTTAGGGTTTATAATTTCTATTGATGAAATAACCTCAGTTTCAGTCATCAAAAAGCTTGTCTCTATTCGTGAAATCACTAAAGTGATTAATTAATTACTAAGCACGACAATACAGATTAATGTTGTCTTTGACGTCTACGAACTAGCCAATGATTAATTGTCTATATGAGGGATATAATTAATTAACCACAGTGCAAAAGCATGCACATCAGCTGCTAGGCATGAAACGGTACAATATATATATAATATTATTAGTTCTTAGTTCTTTGCAAAGCCTATAGTACATTAAAACCAGACTTGCCTGAGTACAGTACATTTGATCAGGATGAGTAGTTTCCAGTTTATTACAAGCTAGACACACTCTTTGTATATTCACATACATAATAAGCTTAATTAATTAACAAGCCTTAATTTTTTGGGCTGGGTCTATAATTATTATTTTCCGACGGAAAATAGCGGTGGGTCTCTGGACCGTTTTGAGGTTTACGGCCATGGGCCTGGTTCTCTTCATTGTTTCCGTCTGTTTCAGTTTCACCCTCGTTGCTTGTTTCTTCTTTGTTTAAAATGGAGTCCTTGTCTTTGTCAGTTACACCAGCGTTTCCCTTTCGCCCAAGAGATGTCGTTTCACTCAAGAGATGGCGATTATTGCTCGTCACAGCCACCTGGTCTCCGAGAACTTTTGCATCAGATTGCAGCGTTGCCAACATCAACATGAAAACAGCAATAATAACAACTGATAGGATCTTCATGGCGATTCAATATTACTTTGGACAATTAGAACCTGAAAACAAGTAATTAATGAACCTGAGTCATTAAGATTAAGATAATGATATAAAAGGCAACTGAAACTAATTATTGAGACTCCCATATACCTGGAACTTAACTGCTACTATGCGATAATGAAAATGGGTTGCTAGGGTTTAATATATAGGCAAATTTCTAAACTGTTTGAAGATGATGAGTTGGAGGCTATTGAGCTAGAGTACTAGTAATAGATGAAATTATACATGAGCACTAAAAAAAACGAAGTGGTGGTGTGGCACTAATCGTACCACCATTGGAAAGGACAGTGGCCACCAACGAAGATAATTATGATTAAAATTGATAATTAATCCCATTTGCATTCTAGATTTTTAATCTTGTAATAATTTCTAACCTGCAATAATTGTTGGATCATAATCTTTCTTTCACCATATCGAGTTGACCACTAAACAAGATTACATGGGTTAATAGTTAAAGTTAAAAATAATATTAACAATGGCGGCCACGGTATGTACGTTATCGGTAGCGGTATTGCATGGTGAAAGATTATAACGTGATCGTTTTAAAGACTCATTATATCAGTTTTCTAGTGCCACTAATAGTATTGCGTTGAAGTGGTTGAAACTACCCATCTAGAACAGCAGCGGCACCTGCAAATATATTATTTCCATTCTTCTTTTCTTCTGTTTTATTTTTTCTTCCACATTTTTGAATGAAATATAAAAATAAAAAGTACAGAAACATAATTACACATATGAATAAGGAGTCCACTTTCATTATAAATTCTGTTGGATATCAATTCATGAAGCCTATTGTTCTTGGATTTGTTTAATAATAATATAATTAATCTTTCTCTGCTTTAACCTATAATAAGGAGAACTCTAGATTTCTATGCCACTTTGTTTAGTTCTTTTGCTTATTTATGATTTTTTATAACTCTAATTCTTAATTGGCTTCAGTCGGTTTGCTCTGAAATTCCAGTATCTTGTTTTCCTTTATCACATCATCAGGTTGCCTCAACTTTCCAATTCTATTCCTGTCGAATGCCTCCTCCAGCTTCTTGTAGATCATGTTCAATTTCTCTTTGAAAATGGACTTCTCTAATTCTGTGATTTTGAAGGCATTATCTTCCAAAATATAACCAACATCAGCTTTATCGTTCATATAATCACAACAAGCCTTTAGTATTGTACTTGCCCTATCACGAAAAAACAAGTAGACAAAACCGTCAAATGCCTTTGGAGGAATCTGAAGATTAAATAGCATTGTCTTGCAAGATAAAATAAACACATAATTGTTATACAGCTTCCAATTATGAGCTGGTGGTGTCTCAGGTTCATTATAGTAAGGCTTTTCGTTTAGCACAAGTCCCTGTAGCGAAACCAGGACTTGGAAGAATTGAAGAATCAGAAGGTACCCACCTTTCAGTTCCCTGGCCATCCCACGTACCCAAGAGTCTCAAACAATCATATCCATTGTCATATAGGTTGGTATTTAACCCAAGTCCATATCCATTGTCATATGGGCTTAAATTTTTAGGGGCCTTAGATTTTTATTGGCTTCTGGCCTTTTTGCACCCGCTCCATCTGCGCGACGGGTCGGATTCCACATCCTTGACGTCTCCTTTAAACACGTCCTCCGCTGCAGTCAGATCGATGCCAGAGCAGAAAGTCCGACCAGATCCGGTTAGAATGATGACCCGCACCGAGTCGTCAATACCCAGATCCTAGATTTCATGCTTTTCCGGTGCTTTACTGGAGGTCCTTAAACAACTTTAATAAGATAAGCACAAACCAGTATAGATTGTTCCAATAGAATATAATTATTTTATTCCACAAAAATTTATATTATTTAAGAACCCTTACACTATTAAGTATATACTGTTCTGCCAGCAATTTAGGATAAGTAAAAATTCTGATAAATTTCCTTCGATTTCTCGATTAATTGGATCAAATTATAGAGAGTCGACGAATGTTGATTGGTGAAATGTCATTCAAGTCACCATCCATTAGGCGTTTTGCTATTATAGCATTAGCAGCTTCAGAAGGATGGTATGGATCCCAAAATACATATTTAGATCTGTCTGCGCAAACTTTAGAGATCGGACCACAAGGTATCAAACCGCCGAATAGCCCAGCAAGATGGCAACACGACGCATTAGCATTCTCAAAACCTACAGGACATGAAAATGCTTCTCTGCGTCAGAATCCACCGCAAATGCAAAAACATTATCAGAAATCAGAACCAACAATATTTTTAGTTGTTTCTGGGCTACATAAATTTGATCCCGAACATTGACGGATTCTCCCTGTGGCTTATTGTACTAAACTATAAAAATGCAGGATCATGATTGGTCCTGGCAAAAGAGCCACAGGGATAATCGCGAAAAATACAGGATCAAATTTATGCATTAGCTGTTGTTTCTAACCGTAAGACATGTAATTTTGTAATATGTCTTGTACAATGCTATAAACATCTGCATAAACAAAAAATGATCCGTCTAGGCTTGCACAAAGCTCAGCAACCAAGCTTTTTAACTCCGTGTTATATTGCTGGGCTAACTGATTTGGAAAAGTAACACAGTCTTCTCCTACTGATGGATTTGTATCTCGCTCATATGGTATGCATCCGATAGGTCCCACATTCGCTACAATGATCTTTCTAGCACCCAAATTGTAGAGTCTCTGCAAATAGTATATAAATTTGGAATTGGACTAATTAAGATAAGAGGGAATGAGGGTCAGTCTCAGAAAATATTATACTGTAAGTTGTAGCCTGAATCTTGCAATCATGCTTCTCAGAAACACTTCCGGCGGTATCGACTTTTGCTCGGGGACTGAAAGGAGTGGTGTTAAGTAGTTGTTAATGAAATCATTGGAGCCAATTGCAACTGAGAATATAGCCCTTTGGAGGAGATTTAGAGCTGCAGGAGCCCCAATTCTTGTGATTATGTCTTGTCTTGTGTTGGCAAAGTTATCAATTTGTGCGTCCAAGTTTATTCGACCACCCTGTGCATAAAAAATGTCAAGCTTTGCAGTCTTATTAAGCTTACAAAAATATAAGACTTTTAAAACTCACAAAAACCCAGCCAGAGCGATTAAGAATTCCGCCTGCACCGGAAGCGTAATTCACACCCCTCAAAACCACAGATCCTACTGTTGTAGGAGCCAAGTAAGGAGGAGTGAAATCTCCGAAACCCAATTCCTGACCTGTAAGATTCATTCGAATAGACGTTCAGGTTATCAGGTTTTAAAAAGAAATGCATAAACAAAACAACTGTCATTAATTTGCCTATAATGTCAACTATTGTTCTTCCATTGGTGAATCGTCCCGTTGGTCTTCCAAAATCGATCCCATTAGGGGTATAATTAGCTTTTGAAAGTGATACTATATAGTTGTTGTTTCCAACATCAACCAATGAATCGCCAAAAACAAAATTGGCAGGAACATCGATTGCAATGCATATCTCCCACAAAAGCAAGAACATCGATGCTTGCGCTTGACATGCAATTCCAATGGCTTTTTTTCTATTTGATAGAATATCCATTAAAGAACAACGAAAAATATATGTTGGCTGCTAGACAGTCTTGAGGATTGTTCCTTTTTTAATATAATCAAGAATTGAAGTTTCAACAGAAAGAAGCTGACCATGAAAAAGTAAAAACTATTCAAGAACTACCAGATTCTTTAACTGATCATATTTTTATAGATTTCTTGGCACTTCAAAGTGGAGTAACCTGACTTGACTAACTACAAATGCAAGAATTACCATGTCTGAAATCGAAATTCTTGCAAATTGTGGACCAATAACTATACAACCGTCAACAGCCTTTAATAAATATCAATCTAAAAACTACTATTCCATACCCATTTTAAGTTAAGTATTCAAATACTGTTTGAAGTACAGAATTTAGATCAGGACATATTGTTAGAGGTGAGATGACTTGAATTTTCTGGAACCACCTCCCATGTGCTTGCCATGCAAGCTTAGTTTTCTTTCCTTGCAGCCAAACTTATGTTACAAGCCAATAAAAAGTTGGCGTAAGTTTTGCATTAGAATTCTATCGCAGCCTTGCACTGAAAGCTTTATACTTAATAAGGAAGGAATTATAGGGCTTAAATTACACACATATATAATTATAAAGGTGTTCTGTAGTGTTTGAAATGATATTTTATCAGAGAAAAGCGAGCTTAACTTTGAATTGCCTGCAAAAGATACAAGTCCAGATGCAAAAACGTGTCAAAAACCAAAGCAAGAGCAAATAGTGAACTCATACTTCTGCCTTGTAACCCATGTAGAGTATTAATATTTGCAACTGCAATGCTGTTCAGAATTCAACACCACAATGTTTTGTAATTTGAAGTAGTCACTTAGATTGGTAAGTTGCTCTTTTGTTAGTGCCCTAGAAATTACCCTTTATCTATAATCACTGCAAATCAATAATGAGCAATGACCCATTTATTTATACTACCGTTTGAGGGAAGTATAACGGTTACAGGATTCTGAGCCAAACAACATTTACGCATTTGTCCAACAACCAAAGTGTTAGATTATCAAATCAAAGCAACAGTCACAATCTTATGAAGGGGTGGGAAGCCATGAGTGAAGACACTTCACATTGCTGCTACAACTCAGAATAATAAAATATGCACACATTGGAAAATTATCGGATAACGTATGAGGAATAAGAATATACTGATAAACTCCTATTACCTCCATGCTTCCAAATGCAAACAAGTCGGTCAACTATGTTATTACTTACAATAATTGAGCATGTCATATTATATTACAAATTAACACCAATCCAGATGAAAATCTGCATAGCAATTTCTTGTTTTGCTTTTGTTTCGTTTCTCCTCATTTTTTCCCCCTTCCCTATAAATAACTTGAAACAGAATCTTTCCCCCGATCTAGAAGATTATCATTGCATTTATGATCCATCCATGAAAAGAGCACCATGTCCACTGGATTTCATGAACTTTTTCAGCAAAAGAACCACAATTGCAATGGTGAGTCCAACAGCCGCCCATGTAAATAAACGATCGTCAGCTGGTTTTTGAATCCTTGTCTCTGGCCTACGCAAGAGTTGATCACTTGAACCTCTAGTAGGAGTTTCTCTTGATGGCCTCACTCTTGTAGTACCGGGATTCACATTGACAGGAGCCTCAGGCAGTTCTTCAATAATCCCACCATCCACTGCCATATTTTCACCAACTGCGGGGTTTGGATGCGCAGCTATGGATCCTTCTTCTTGCAGACTTGCCTGGGCTTCATCCTCCGTATTGGAAGGATGTTCTTTAGCCTGAGAGGAGCTCAGCTGAGGAATAGGCGGTGCCTTACCGAGCATATACTGATGAATCTGCAACGTTAATGAGCTATCAACACAAACTTACAGATATACAACTAGGAAGGAATGGGATACATGAAAAGAACAAAACCTCATCAATGAGTTTTTGACGCTCAGGAGTCCCAACTGTAGGAGCTGCTTCACGAGATTTGATTGCCAGAGCGCGCCTCTCTTCCTTCTTGTAGTCCAATGAGCCCAATGCACCATTTGGATTGGTAGGCATGAATGCAATGAGAGCTACCAGAGCTGTTCGTACTGCCAACACGTACAAGTGAAACTATGCAACATCAGCCATGAAACGACATATTTTGCTTTAGGCAGTATCATTACTTACATTTGCAAAAAACAGAAAAGCAATCTAAATGATTATAAATAATGTAAAACGTTACTATTTGGCATCAGAATTCCTAGTAACAGTCATTTCAATACACCACAACCCAGTTTCCCCGGTCAAGATACCATGCATACATCATGAATCTCAAGTTTTAATGGTCCATACCCACAGTAACACAGTATGAACAAATGAAGAGGCCTATGGTACTTCGACTGTAGTTTGTGAACACTGCATCTGATTTCAACTCAAACCAAATAACGATTAACCTTGGGCAAAGGTAATAGGATAGTAGCAAAGTCAAACACAATTAATCAAATTTGCAATGTTAACAAAAGGAGAATACGCATATTACTGACAGCTTTTGCTAAAAGCACAAAGTGTTCAATTCAAGTACATGTGTTATGGTCCCTAGCTTGAGATCTAGTTATGGGTCTTTGGAATAAAAGGGCAGAGTCTTGATGGGGTGTTTGGGACTGTAACCATATGTAAGCACAATATTACATTAGAAAAAATGAAAAGAAAAAAAAAAAAAAATTCCCAACTGTTAGTCTGCCTTTGCCAATTTATATTCTCCACAACACTTCAAAGCCAACCTCACAACAAGCTATACAATATGGCAGTGGGAGCAGCTATTGATATATAGATGTCTAAAACCACTTCCTCATTCTATGTATTAGCAATTCTACTAAAGAGAATAACTTACCACTCCATGATGGCTGCCAGTGCTCAGGATGATGATTAGAGATGCTCAAACATATTTTTGTCTGGGTTTCAAAGCGGCCATTTGGCTGGAAAAAAGGTGAAAAACCCTTGTTAGCACATTGCATAATTAAAGAATAGACAGAACTCTTAATGAAAGTAAGATCTTACAGTCAGTAACATAAATGAAGGAGGCTTGAATGGATATTCTGCAGGCAACTGAATCCTTCCATGATAAATCCCACCTTCAAATTCAGTATCACTAGGTCCCCTGATGGCAAATTGCCATTCAAATATGTTCTCCTGAAAGAAACATTTCAAAAAAGTTAACCAGTGGAATTACCATCTTCGAACTCTAAATCAACGCAGTACAAATTCATAATTTCATAATTCAACGATCCAAATTCAATAGCGCCAACAGAATTAATAATTTTTTGTTCATTTCAACAAATGTCACACATCAAAATCCTCAAGAAAAAATTTCGATCTAAGCCCATTTCAAGCGCATATTGAGAAATCCACAAAAGGAAAGTTGAATTCCAAAATATAGGTCAAATAAAAAATTGAATTAGTATTACGTAATATAAAAAGAGATAGAGGGAAATCAAGCTTAAGCGAACCTCAAGAGGCAGGCTCATGAAATCATCAGATGGATTAGATTGCATCTCCTTCACCTCCTGCAAGATCCTCTTCACCGCCGGGTTCTTCAAATTGTACTTGTCCTCCGCCATTTGATCGCTGATCTGATCGACGATTCAATAACACCAACGTCCGATTAGCTGACCGACTGCTTATTTAAAACTGTATTTATTGACACTATAGATAGATAAGATACGGATACGACGATTTTAGAATGAAGAATATTGAAATTAGATGGGTTTTTATTTAATTTAACAGGAGAAGATATTGTTAGTCGACATGAGCTGGAGACGACGACTTTAGCCGTGGACTTGACACGTCATTCGATGCTTCATTGGCTACGTGGCTAATCATTATTGGATAAGATCGACATTATTTCTCCTTTTTTTTAGTGCGTTTTTTAGTCGGTAAAGCTGCTTAGCAGTTAACACAATCATCTACATGGGATGGGCTTAAAGATTGGGCTTGAAGGGCTCAACTTCCATTCGATTGTACATACTACGAGTCGTTTTAAACACAATGTTTATTTTATTCTTTATTATTTTCATCCACTTCTACATGATATAATCAGCAAAAACCGGCCAAAACTCAATTCAAATCCTGCATATGACTTGGTCAATTCCGGATTCAATAAAACTTAAGAGCAATTTTTAAAGACATAGCAATTGCCAAGGAAAAATAGACACAATGCTGTGAGTTGTAAATCTCAAATCTTGCAGAGCAGTTGGGACAGTGCCTATAAGCCTGTCGGGCTTATGTTGCTTTCCATTTACTATTTCTGCTAAAGTTCAATCAGAATTGTCTATCACATTATCCTTGTTGTTTATTTAATTGTCACCTGTGTTTCTAGTTCTTGTACTGTTATTCGTTAATCTTTTCGAGCAATTTTTTTTGTTGAAAATTTCCTAAATATGATGTCAGCTTGATTTTGGCCTTTGAAAGCATTGTTTATCGGTTCCATCACCAGAAAAATCTTCTGCATCATTTACATCTGTAATTTCTGAACTTACAAAACTACTGATATATACCCACTAAAATAAAACTGCAAGCTAGTTTCTGATCTGCAATGGCAGACGCCATGCTTTCTTTTGATTACGATTTTGGTACAGCTCGAGATGGTTTGACCTCTTCAAGTAAAAGTTCTGGAGGCATTGATTATGGGCTCTATCAGATGGATTCATCATTGGACGAAGGGTTCCTTTTCTCCAAGTATCAACAGCAAGAACAGGTGCTACAGCCGTCTTTCGGTTATAAAGATTTTGACGATCAAAGACTTGATGTCCTTTCTCCACTTCTCCAAACATATTTGGAGGAAATAGCAAATCCTGATGAAATCCCACGTGGAATTAAAGATGATTCAGAACCCAAGAAGACAAGTCAACATTATTTTTCCCTGGCGTCACTGGAGCTGCTAAAGAAATATGGTAATAATGGACGATTAAATGGTGGTAGAATTATTGATCCAAGCTCTGATGCACTATATACAAAGCATGCAAGGAGTGAATTGTCAACAGAAGAAATCATCAGAATAGCTGGAGCAAGGTTCATACAGTCCTGTTGCCAAACGACTGATGTTGCCTCCATGCTCAACAATCCTTTCAGTTTATCTTTCTCTGACCTTTCAAGTGAGGTAGCCAAAAATGTGGAGCTTGTTGAATTCCTTCTAGCTTCTGCTGAGAAAGTTGGCAATCAACAATACGAACGTGCAACCAGATTGCTCAATTACTGTGACATCTCGTCTTCCAATACCGGAAATCCAGTTCAACGAGTGGTTTACTATTTTTCCGAAGCTCTACGAGAGAGGATTGATGTGGGAGCAGGAAGAATTTCATCAAAAGGCTTCAAGAAAAGTCAGTCTTTTAATCTTAATCAGCAAATGACAATTCTGAGCTCTGCATCCTTCGCATGCCATCAGAGAATTCCTTTCTTTCAAGTTGCAAGCTTCACTGCAATCCAAGCAATTGTGGAAAATATGGCTGGGGAAAAAAGGATTCACGTAATTGATCTTGAAATTAGAAAAGGCGTCCAATGGTCAGTCCTAATGCAAGCTTTATCGTCTCGCCATGATTGCCCTATTGAGCTTCTAAAGATAAGCGCAATTGGAACGACTTCAAAACAATTAATTGATGATACAGGTAAAACGTTAGCCAGTTTTGCAGAGTCCATGAACATACCTTTCTCTTTCAAGGCGGTCATGATATCAGACATGTTGGATCTCAAAGAAGACTTGCTTGAACTAGATACAGAAGAAGCAATAGCTATCTACTCTGAGTATTCGCTAAATAACTTTATTTTTGCACCAAATCGTCTTGATTCTGTAATGAGAGTGCTTAGAAACATCAGTCCACAGATAATGGTGGTTATGGAAGTTGAGGCAAATAACAACTCACCTTCTTTTGTGAACCGTTTCATTGAAGCCCTCTTTTTCTATAGTGCATATTTCGATTGCTTTGATGCTTGTATGGATCGGGATGATCCGAACAGGATGATTACAGAAATGATATTCTTTCATCAGGGAATAAGAAATATTGTGGCTAATGAGGGAGAAGAAAGAAGGGTACGACATGTGAAAATTGATACTTGGAGGTCATTTTTTGCTCGTTTTGGAATCATAGAGGCACAAATCAGCACTTCATCCATGTACCAAGCAACCCTTATGCTTAAGAAATTTGATTGTGGGAGTTCTTGTACGCTTGATATGAATAATAAAAGTCTACTCATTGGATGGAAGGGTACACCAATTCATTCACTTTCTGTTTGGAACTTCAATTGAAAAGACAGAAAAGGAGCTACTGAATTCTATATGTAGTTCTTAAGACATCCATTAATTGATCAACTTATTTCTCTTTGCTTATTTTGATAGTAGACACCTGTTGAAGGCGTATGTGGTGATGATCAGAAATGTCTGTGAGTGTTGTCTGAACTCTGAAGACTGAATTTAAAACACAGTTCCATTATGTTTCTTGTATTAAATAAAACTGAAAGCACTCAAACAGATAATTTTCCAGAGCACATAGATAATTTCATTTAAGAATTTTTTTTTTTCCCAATAGATTATTTTCATTTAAGAATAGCCATAAGGCATCTGCACTGAAGTTTTTCTCCAACCTCATTTGTCCTCCTAAAAGCTTATGAAGTTTAATTGGGGAAAAGAGCCAATTGAGGATTCTATGATGTTTTCTTTTATTTATTTATTCATTTTTATAGTTCTTGAGCACAGTTAGGCATTCTGTCTAAAGTTCCAAAGTTTGATGTTAGAATTATTTCGGCTTCAAATGGATTGTTTGGATTCTAATTCCGACTTACAGTTTTGAAAAAGTCATGGTCTAAATGGTACCTTTGGTTACATCAAACTGACGGTATCTCTATCATTATGAGTGTCCATAGGAAACTGAGATGAAGATAGATTTGTCTTGTTTTCTAGTCCCATCATATACAGAATTCCTCATCTATAAAGAACATTAGGAATGTGAGTACCATCTATTCTAGAACAAATAAACCAAAGGCCGCGAGTTATTTTTCATCTGGGACGGAGACTTTTAAGGAGTTGGATAGAATCCAAGATAGGATGAGTTCAACAAATCAAAGCTCTGAGAGTCTGGAAGTAGAAAATGGAAGTGGACTAGACAAATGTCATGGAGTTGAAGATTGGGGAGAGTCGACAGCCACTAATTCCGTTCATTCTGATAATAGATTCAATCAGGATTCTCTAGATGCTGTTCAACCCAAGAAGGAAAAGCAAGTTCAATTCTCTCCAACCTCATTTAGGCTCCTAAAAGCTTATCGCAAGGGGCTCAAAAGAACTAGCAGTCAGAAAATAATTGACCCTGCCATTGGTAAACCAACTGCAAAGGAGACAAGTGAAGGATTATCAATCGAAGAAATCATAAGGATTGCTGGAAAAAGATTTGTTAGGACCTTAACCAAGCCAGTTAATTTTGCCTCCATGCATAATCACCATATTGATGTTTGTTACTCTGGCCTTTCCACTGAGGACGCCGAAAGAGTTCACCTGGTTGGACTCCTCCTAAAATCTGCTGACAAAGTAGGGAATCAACAATATGACTGCGCAAACATATTGCTAGATGAATGCGATGGCTTGTCTTCATGCACTGGAAATGCAGTTGAAAGAATAGTTTATTATTTTTCTGAAGCTCTTCGAGAGAGGATTAATCGACAAACCGGAAGAATCCCATCACAGGATTTGGAAAAACTGAAGTCATTCAATATCGATGAGCAAATCATGGCTCCAACTGCCTCTCTTTTGGCCTGTTACCGAGGAGTTCCCTTCCATCAAGTTGCACATTTTGCTGGAATCCAAGCCATTGTAGAAAATGTGGCAGAGGCAAAGAAGATTCATATGATTGATCTAGGAATAAGGTTTGGAGATCATTGGACTTGCTTGATGCAAGCTTTGGCATCTCGATCCGAATGCCCTCTTGAGCAGTTCAAGATAACTGCTATAGGAACTACTAAGAGACAGTTAATTGAAGACACAGGTAAGAGGCTAGAGGAATTTTCCGAGACCATTTGCTTACCTTTTTGTTTTAAGATAGTTATGGTATCAGACATCCTGGATCTCAAAGAAGATCTCTTTGAGCTAGATGATGATGAAACAGTAGCCATGTACAGTGGATATTTTATAAGGACGCTGATTCCATTACCAGATAGACTGGATTCTATGATGAAAGTGATTAGAAACCTCAATCCATGTATAATGGTGGTCATTGAACCCGAGGTTTATACCAGCTCGCCTTCTTTTGTTAATTGTTTCATTGAAGCTCTTTTCTATTTTAGTGCATATTTCGATTGTCTAGAGGCCTGTATGGGTGATGATCCAAATAGGATAATTATAGAGTCATCTCACTTTGGAGATGCAATCAGGAATAATGTAGCCACTGAGCTAGGAGAAAGAAAGTCTCAATGTTCAAATCTTAATGTTTGGGGAAGATTGTTAGCCCGTTTTGGAATGGAGGAGACTGAACTTAGTTCATCATCTTTATGCCAAGGAAATCTGGTGGCCAAGACATTTGCTGGTGGAAATTCTTGTGTGCTTGATATGGATGGGAAAAGCCTACTTATTGGGTGGAAGGGTAGACCAATGATTTCTCTCTCTTCATGGAAGTTCATTTCAAGAAAGTAATAAGGATTTGGAAGCACTTGATGTTATTAATCTAGTACAAAAATGCATAAACATGCAAATCTGTTGGTCTCTTTTTGGTTTTCATACAAATTAATGTTTTGTTTATTGTATTAAAGCTTTTTAAAAGAGAGGCGGTGAACTTCCTCTGTGATGTTCTTTACAATTCCTAGTTACTTTTCTCAGGAATACGTATTTTTTGCATTTGTTTTTGAATGGTATCTTCAGAATGTGTTATTGTTATTAGAGGAAATGACAAATTATAGCATCCAGATTGCCAAATTACTGCGGATCATGAAACAGGCTTCCTTGATTTCATCAAATTATAATATGATCATAGGTTACTGAGAAAATTACTGTCTTGTTGTCCAATCTTTTCTAGAACACTCAACTATAAAACTAGTGTCTATCTACAATTGAGAAAAAACAAACTGTGAGCTAATTTATTCCCTGGTTTGCAATGAAGTCTTTCGAAAACTTCGATTTTCATGAAGTTCAAGATAAGTTGAGCTCTACAGATATAAATTCTGAAAATGGGGAAGGGCATGGAGGGCAACTTTATGCTACTGAAGACTGGGGAGAATCAGCAGGCATTGATTCTAACGGTTTTGAGCATGGATTCTGTAAGGATAACTCATCAAAGGAAAATCTAATGTTCTTACCACGTGAGCAAGAATCATTCCGAGACTATGGTCTTTTTGACTATGGCATTCTTGACTGTCTAAGGTATGATGTTCTGTCTCCACAAATTCAAACATCATTAGAGGAAATTGCAAAGCTTGGTGTTGATCAACCAAGGAAATCAAAGCAAGATCAATTTTCTGCAACCTCATTTGATCTCCTAACAAGTTATGTGCTAAAACGAATGAGCAGAGCAAGGATCATCAAGCCAACAAATGATGATACACTGAGCTCAGAGGTGATAAGCCAAGGAGTTTCAACTGAAGAAATCATGAGAATTGCTGGAGAAAGGTTTATCAAGTCCATTACTAAAACTAGTGATATTTTCTCAATGCTTGACAATCCTTTTGATCTTTCTTTCTCAGGCCACCCTGAAGAGGTGGCAAAAAAACTGGAGCTAGATGAACTTCTTCTAGCTTCTGCTGAGAAAGTGAGCAATCAACTATATGACCGTGCAAAATTATTGCTAAACCAATGTGATTTCTTGGCGTCCAGTACTAGAAATCCAGTTGAAAGAGTAGTTCGTTATTTTTCGAAGGCTCTTCGAGAGAGAATTGATCGAGAAACAGGAAAACTGAAATCTCAGGCTTTAACAAAACCACAGCAGACATAAAATATTGATGATGCAATTATGGGTGTAACATCCAACAACCTGGCATGCTACCAAGAAGTTCCCTTCTCACAGGTTGCACGCTTTGCTGTAATTCAAGCCGTCGTGGAAAATGTAAACGAGGCAAAGAAAATTCATGTATTGATCTTGGAATCAGGATGGGAGTTCAATGGACAGGATTGACGCAAGCTTTGGTGTCAGAATCTGATTGCCCTCTTCAGCTGTTAAAGATAACAGCTGTTGGGACTAGTTTGAAACAGCTAATTGAGGATACTGGTAAGAGGTTAACAAATTTTGCTCAGTCTATTAACTTACCCTTTGCTTTTAACATAGTTATGGTGTCAGACATGTTGGATATCAAAGACAACCTATTTGAGTTGGATTCTGATGAAACACTAGTTGTTTACTGTGAATATTTACCTAGGAGGCTAATTCCATTGCCAGATAGGTTGGATTCCATGATGAAAGTGATAAGAATACTGAATCCAATTATAATGGTGGTTACTGAACCTGAATACAATTCTACTTCACCATTTTTCGTGAACCGTTTTGTTGAAGCACTTTTCTACTTCAGTGCATATTTTGATTGCCTTGAATCTTGCATGGGAGATGATCCTAACAGAATGATCATAGAATCCTTGCATTTTGGTGAAGGAATCAGAAACATTGTAGCTACTGAAGGAGAGAAAAGGAAAATCCAAAATGCGAAGCTCGATGTTTGGAGAATATTCTTTGACCGTTTTGGAATGTTGGAGACTGAACTCAGTACATCATCTTTGTGCAAAGCAAAACTCATTGCTAAGAAATTTGCTTGTGGAAACGCTTGTACACTTGACATGGATGGGAAAAGCCCGCTTATTGGATGGAAGGGTACTCCTTTGCATTCTCTATCTGCTTGGAAATTCATTTAACTATAATAATTAGTAGTAAATATTTGAATTTACACTTCTCGCACCTGGTGCAATTTTCTCATTGTTGCTCTGTTTCGACATCAAGCATAATTAATATATATATATGATCACGACTCTCGCGTAAAAGTATTTCGCATCAAACGCCAGTGTCCTTGGTTAAATTGAAAAGCTTACACTGAGCCCAATTATGTTCACATTCAAGAATTAAGGTTACAAAATATACCATCAATGGTTTCTACACCAACCTAGGAGTAGAATGTATCATATCAGCAGGTAAGTAGAGGTTGCATCTTCCCATGTATTGCCTTATAACAAAAGAGACTGCAGAGTGGAAGGTTTGACTTTGAATCGCGATATTTGTAAGCATTTGTACAATTTGGACCCGCACATTTTTCACGAGGTGGAGGGTAACTGGAAATCAAAAGAGCGCTTTTTGATTAGATTAGCAGTTATATGCTACGAAAGGTCATTAAATGCACAGTCGAAAAGAAATTGATCTTATACCTGCATGGAACTGAATTGAATATATTTGGCAGACCTATATCATCAGAAAAAATAACAACAGTTCCAGTAGGACCAATGACCCATCTAACAGTATTTGGGCCCAGTGTATTTGAATTGGCAGCCCTTCCCTGCATCAAGTGATATTTATCTTCATAGAACACAAGCTAAAAAAGGGTAGCACAGAGGGAGAGAGAGAGAGAGAGAGAGTTCCAGCAATTTTCAAACACCTGAGCTAATTCTTCCTGTTGTTTCTTCATCTTTTCTTCCTTTTTCTTTCTTCCAGAATCTTGACCAAGTATCTTTCTGATTGCCTCAGCCTAAGCGATACAATGTTAGACAGTTTCTCTAATATTACCAGGCAGCTGTAGAAATAATTTAATATGATGAAGAGCATACCTCAGCCTCCCTGGCTGCCTTCTCTGATTGGATTCTACGCCTCTGTGCAGCCTCGGCTTTCTTCAGCTGCTGCTCTACTTCGGAAAGTTTCACCTTTTGTTCTGTCATCACAAACCAATAGCAGAAATTGACATACATATCAGCAAATAAAGGCCCGATCACGCATATCTAAGCAGTAAAACAATTCATACTTTGATGCCCAGTTGAAGCTTTTAACATGACTTGTCTGAAAAAAGAGAGGAGAAACACTCACTTTTAGGAGGCGCTGGAGGTAAACCATTTGGGAACTCAATCAAATTGGCCCCTTTTTTATTCCTTCCTTCAACAAATCCTAGTCTCTTGCTTTTGTAATCAGGCTCATCATCTGATATGGGTTCTTCATCTTCCATGTAATCTCTATCATAATCAGATTTTTCTGATCTCAACTTCAGTATATCATCTTTACCTGAGTTCGATAATCTACAATTTTTCATATCAGCATATATTTCATGCTCCATTTGTCTACCATCCGAAGAAAATTTAGAAGCATTAAGTCTGCCAAGATAACGGATTTCCTCATCTCCATCATCATCATCTTCATTAATTCCCATATCCATTACACGCCTCTTAGGAACCCGCTTACTCTTACGAACTGGTTCGTGTTTATATTCTTCATTTGCATAGACACTTTCACCAATCATCCCTCTTAAATGATGATCCTTCCCAGAAGTAGAATCCTAGAAATGCAATCAGCACCAGAAACATCTAAATATCAAACATCATCTACACCAGAAGAGGGTTTACTTTACTCAAATAGTGAAAAGGAAAAAGAGAAGGCCCCTGAGAACAGGTAAAAAGAATTGCTTTTCAACAAGAGAGAGAAAAAAAAAAAGGAAGAAACAACACCAAGAATAATAAAATCTACCAGAACACTTTAGCAAGCTAATATAGTAGACATTAGACTAGTATGCCCCCAGTAAAACTCTTGCCACCATACATAAAATAGATAGAGATGTGAACTTAAAGAAAAGGAGTCAATAAGGTTGATTAATAAGAAATTTATTCTTGAAGCATTTGTAAGAGAGCCAGTAACAAAGGCAAAATTAACATTATTTTACCTGAAGAAACAACTTCTTTTTTGGCTGATGGATGTCAAAACATGGAGAGGATCCTGACACATACTTAGTGTGTATTGTATGAGTAACACCACCAAGCTTGAGTTTAAGTTTCTTTGGCCTGTTCTCACCTTTAAATCCATCAGATGGCCTGTTCTCACCTTTAAATCCATCAGAACCAACTTTCATTTCCCTAAAATAACCATCTTCCTCATTGCAACCGCTGCCCGAAGATCGTGTGGACATTGGCAAAAGAGTATACATCTGTGAAAATTTCTGTGGATCAGAACAAGGCTGACGAGATACACTACTCCTCTTCCTCCTCGCACCACCAAAGCCTTCCATTTATGCAAACCTTTAAAAACTCTTGTACTGACTTAATGCATCTCAATATCAGAAGCATGAGCAAGAAAACCAACAAAATGGGAGCATCTCAGCAGACCTGAGAATTTGATACACAGAAAGAGTGCAACTGTAAATTAATGACCAGCGACAAACATATGTAATGCCATTGGACATCACAAGCATATGCAAGAAGTAAACCAATAAACAAACTCCAGTTTTTACTTGAACAATTTAACCAGTAATAGCAATATAGGTCTGTCTTGATGTTATGACATACAGTAAAATAACAACAAAAATGCAAAGAGAAGGCATTCTGATGTAAGAGCTGCTCCGTCTGGTTGGTATGAAAAGAACAGACTTTTTTTGATGTTGTAATTTACATTCCAATAGTTTCATGAACTAAATAAATAACCACAGGAGACAGAGACAGACTTTGATATGAATTCCGAATTTTCTATTCTGCTGAGTAATATGATAAAAGGCCATTAGAACCAAAATAATATATAAAGTAAACTTATTTTGTACGAGACAGACAAAAATCAGAATAAAGCAACAGAAGCACAAGGAAATAAAAATATGCCAAAGAATAAATCCATAATCCAAACAGCTTAAAGCATGCAAAAGAACAGTCTGTGGCAAATATTTGAAAGGAGATTACCAAATAACTGCAAATGATTCAAGAACTTGAAAAAGAGACTACTTTGTTGGCTTGACCTTACTGTTTCCATTTAGTACGGAAAAAAAAAAAAAAACCATTAAACAAAGAGTAAATTTTTTCCCTCGTTTTTCTTCCGGTGTCCGAAAAAATAAACGTGGAGAAAAGAAAGAATAAAACCAATTCCTCCACTTCTCACCCATATATAATTTTTTTTTTTTTTTTTTTTTTTCTGATATGTAAGCTTCATTAAACCGAAAAAACTCATCATCTGGTGCAGAATGGGCATAGTAATGGGCCAAAGACGCTGATAAGCCTAGAGCTTTTTAATCAGTACAGGTCCATAACCAAAAGGGTCCAACGAGATTGAAGAAAACATCAACAGCGACATGTCGCCAAACTGCTTAAAGCAAAAGCCAATTTTAAGCACTCGTAAAAGGCGACATCTCGTTTGTTTGCCGCCGAAAAACCAAAAAAAAAAAGAAAAAGAAAATGAAAAGTTGAACCAAAACGGCATGAGCGTCAGTATCAATATTTGATGCGGTAAAAGGGAACGGTTCCAGAGGGGAAGAACAACTCTGCTAGAAAAAGACCCGTTGTAGGAAGATGTTGACCAACGACACAACATTGTTTGATCATTCATTGCAATAACAACAAATTTGCATTCCTTTGTTTAATCAATTAGTTTTTCATTATCCATAGTGGGAGTGAAAACTAATGGATGGATGTAAACTCCATTTGTTTAATTCAAAACAATTATTTATTTATTTTTTAAAGTGCAGGAGAATTGAGAATTGAGTTTTAGTTACAAGAATGAATGAAACTCGGGGCATCAAATCAACTATAAATAATATTTTAATTCAAACGAAGTATTTTTGATTATATAAAAAATGGTAATATTTTTTTTATTAGTTTAGTGTATAAAATCATCCATTCGCCAGGAGCGTAGGCAAGGAAATAGCAAGAAAAACACTTTCAGAAATTGCAAGAAAAATATTATTTCTCATAAACCCTTAACTAGAGGGAGAAGAGAACAATCTCATTGCACAACAGAGACAAATTACATTGCAGTAGCTCAACATGCACAACTCCAAAACATAAATATTTCCTAAGAAACTTGTACAATCCAACATAGAGAGTTGAAATCTACAGAATTATTTGGTGAAATACAATCCTAAATGTAACCCAACCAAAGCCACCATTTCATTTATTCTTTGCTGACTAAAGGACCTAGTTTTCATGATCACCCTGTTTCACAACTGTAACAGGGCAGCTTCCGTTGTTTACCACATAGTTGCTTACACTGCCCAATATGGCCCTGCAAATTTCAATAAAAACAAGAATTAAGAAAAACCAATTCCCTAACCAAAGAAGAAATTTTGCTCGAAGAGGCTCTAAAATCTAAAATCATTTGCCCAAGTTAATGACAACATTGATGAGATTCTGATTTTTACCTCTTGATCTTGCCAAGCCCTCTGTTGCCTATAATAAGGCAGCTCAAAGGGATCTTGTCAATAGCTTCACATAATTGCTCGCGAGGATCACCCCAAAAGATCTTCATAAGTGCTACAATCTGCTTCCAGCAGGTAAAAAAGTTTAGTTTGTTTGGATTCGGACACAAAATAGAAAAACTTTTTCAACTTATGAATCTGATTTCGAAGAGATGAATAAACACAAAACCTGTTTCTGGTTGGCAGCAGTGTTTATAATATCCAGGGTTTCTGGATCAGGCTTCACTCCATACTTCTTCATCGTTACCGGATCAGAAAACTCCTTCAGAGGAATTAAAGCTGCACATAGATATGATAACAAATAAATATACCAGTTTTATAAAGAATGGTTCAGGGGAAAAGAAGAGAAAATATTTTGAAAGCTGAAAAAGAAATAGTTGAAGATTATTACGGGAACCAGTGGCCTGCCAGAGCTGCGTCTCTCCATCCTCATAGTTCCCTTCGGGACGTACCGTGACGAGGATAAGGTGATCCCCATCACGGACGACGTTATCCACCGCCCATTTCAAAGCTTTCCTGCTGCACGGCGAGAAATCAATCGCCACGCCCACTCTCCGATCTACTTCCATTTCTTTGTTTTTCTCTCTCTTTCTTGATGTGGCTCTGTTTATGGTCTTTGGGAGCACCAGTTGACCGCAACTTCAGATGTCGGTATCTTTACCCTCGTACGGTTACGAGATATCTGTGGTGGGATGAGACTGTGTGATTCAGATGTATAATTTTGACTCTATCTAACCGTTGGATGGCATCTTATAGGAGGTGTGATAGTATCGGAATGTAGTGCTTGCGTTAGAAACTTTGCATATGAGAAGTGAGAAGGACAGGATTATTACTTAATATTTTCCTTTGAATAATGATAACCACGACATGAAACTTTATAATGGAATCCAGCGTCTCCGCTGTTTACTTTGCCCGATGTGGGCCTCTGCCACGTCAATTTGTTTTATTTTTTATTTTAAATAAAAGGAGAAATGACAGAAGGCTCGTCCATGGTTTTTAATCATATTGGGTTTCTCAAATCTTCTAAAAATAAAGTTTATACCCCAAATTGTAAGTAAAAAAATGAAGAAATTTAAAAAAAAAATAAAAGAAAATAAATTAGATTTTTAAACAATAATTTGAATTAAATAACCAATCTAAAATTTCAAATTTTAACTATTATATAGAAGCAAATTTGTCCACTATTACGTAATTGTCAATTGATGAGTGACAACCAAATAGAGCATCTCATGATGACGAAAAAAATGATTTTGATATATATTTGAATATTCAACTTTGCATAATTTTCCATTTGCAATGGCTGCATTATTGGTCGATGGTTCAATTGGATATAAAAAAAGAAATGGCAGTTAAATAGTAGTTGGATGATTAAGAAAAATACCACTATAATTATTAGCCCCGCAGGTTGACTAGAAAACAAACGCATTAATGTTTTATTTTTAAAAAATTGACTTATTTAAATGCATAGATTAAATTAATAAATATATATATATTTTTGAAACAGAGTACGTAGCTACATACCAAGAAAAAATGATAAAGAATTAATATTTTTTTCTAAAAAAATTATTTTTATTAATTTGGTATATACATATTACTATAGACTTTATCTAACAAGTTTAATGCTTATTTTTGTATTTCTAAATAATGAGAAATAATTACTAATAAATAAAGTTTGTATATATGGCCTATGGATAAGACACATTTAGACCAAACTTATGAAAATATAGATCGTTAAAAAATTATCTCAATCTACCTTTTTCCCTGATTATAATCAGAAACTCCTTTATTTAAAAAAAAAAAATTCATTGATTTGATTTATGGTAAATTGAAACTAGACAAATTATTCTCCTTACTAATTTAGCTTGCTTTGGTTAATATTTGGATGTTTATGGCAAACAGTAAATAATTATTTTTCTTTGTATACCAATCAAACAGTTTGAAGCAATATATACTTGTAAGCATGGTAGAAGATACCTTATTAATAACAATTAGGAGCGACAACTTGATTAAATGATAGCCAGTACAAGTGGAAAACAATAAATCCATTCATATCAAAACAGAGATAAGCAAAACAAGATTTTAGGTTGTTTTGAAAATTTTCCTAAAAACGGTGGACAAAAGAAAGAACAGAAAACAAAGTTCCAACAAGTGTAAGAAGAAGAACCAACATTGCAACAAGCAGAATCGAACGTAACTGAGGATTCTTTCCATGTTTTTTTCCGTACTTCAATTTCTTATGCCAACCGATGCCTTCTTTATACTCATTCAATTGTTCACAAAGACCGTCATAATAGTATTCTTTCAGCTTCACTCCACTGCAAAGCACAGCAAACAGTTTATCAACCTCTTTTTCAGAAACATCGTAGCTTGTTAGAATCTCCCTCCGCTTAAGAAGTTTCACATCCTTGTCCACTCTCAGTAGGGTTTTCATGAAAACTGCATAAGAAGTTATATGCTGCATACTGTCAGTAGAACATGCCTCGAGCGCGATTAAATTCCTGAAAAGACTTTCTGTATATTGATGGACTACAATTGGTGGGATTCGAAGAACTCCTTTCGAAAACTTTATGTCCAATAAATTGTCTGTTCTTGCAATCTTGACCCTAACTCCTGAAGCTTTAAGCTCGGTGAGAGATGGTAGATCCTCATCATTCTCGAACTTGGATGGCTTTGATGTCACTTCTCTTGGATATGTTGGAAGTAAACAATGGCAGATAATGTCAAGCAGATGATGTGCTTCTTGGTTGAATTTTTCGCGATTAATCTTGGGATCACCTGGAATCATGTTTCTGAAGAAGCGGAAAGCTAACTCAGCGAAAGAAGAAGTACATTCTTTCGGCTTTGGCACAACCTGAAATAGTCTTTGAAGAACGAACAAAGGAATTTGATTTTCTAGCAATATTAGGTCACACCTTAAATCAAAGAGCATTCCAGGAGTACTAAAAATGGGATCATTTCGGCGTCTTAAGCTCTTAATGGAATATTTAAGAAAGAGTTCGATAATGAAACACCCATCAACGAACATCATTTGTAGGAATTGATCTGATGAGCAATCACCGCCAATGCCTCCGTGGTAGCATGCACGCGCTCTATGTTCAACCTCTCTAAGTGCAGTGACACAGTCATCTATGCTTGCTTCTAGGTTTGGTTTTCGATTTAGAAGTGTATGTACGTAGTGCCATTTCTGATCTTCCATAGCTTTTAAAACTTCATTAGAATTATGGTGATAAGGACCAATTGAGACTTTGTCAGGAATGTATGCCCTGGGATTTGGTTCAGAAAGATGTTTGTCCACTCTGCAGATACAATGCAAGTAAGAAATGTTTTCCATTTTTTCTCTGATAGAAGCCACCAAATCCTCATCAGGTTCTCTAACATCAATTGAAATTTGGTCTCTGCTTCGAGTCTGCCCTGTCATCTCCATAGCCAAATGAGTTCAGAACACCCTGCAAAAGCACTTCTGTATAAATATACATGGAGATTTCAAGAAAGGAAAAATACAAGATAAAAGAAAATGAAAGACATTAAGATTGCATATATATATATATACATATATATATAAGAGCATACCAAGTTCAAAACACTTGCATTGGTTATTAATTTATGGCCTGGTTCGAGAAAGCAGAAGCAGAGGGATTAGAACATATATAGTGACAAGATCTTAAAGGATCCAAGATATCTTGCTTGTTGAGCTTGGTCAGAGAAACTGAAAAACAAATGCAATCAAAGGCAAGGAAACTGAGAATCTTTTGGAGAATATATGAGACAGGAAAGGAAGAGTCATGGAAACTCCGACGAAAAGCATAGCGTTTTCAAAGTTAAAGCTGAACTGATTACTTTAAAGTAAATTCAAGAATTTAGTGACAATAAAGCATAGCTTTTTATGATTCATTTACAGTAATTAAACAATTAAATTCCATTTTATTTTTCATTAAAATTATATTATGAATCCCGTTATTCATTCAGTACGACAGTTTGGACAGTATACCCAGATGAATTTTACCCGTCTAAGCATGAATAAAGCACCACGTGATGCAACTAAAAAAAAAAAAAGAAAATAGAAAAATTAATAAATTAAACTCGATCCTGATTAGGCCACATCAATATCGTGTTCTTTATGTTTTGGCCAATCAAATATTAGTATAAAAAACTACTTGTCGTTTAACAATTTAATTACACTGGGTGATATTTCATTCTCTCTATTTATCCCATTTTCACACTCTTTCCATGCCCCTCGAAAAGTGGTTGTGTTCTGTTTTCAAAAGAATAGGACGTTTTGTATTTAATTAAATATTTTATTCCAACTTTATGTGTCGTTTCAATTTCTATAATCCGTGGTGTTGTCCACTCTATTCTCATTTTTGTATTTTACAGCATTATGTATTTACTTTCACTTCATATATATTTTGAAATAATAATGAACTTTAGTTAGTAATATTATATTTTTCATAAAAATTACGAAACTATAAATTTAATTAATTAATTTACAAGGATAAATAATTTTATCAATTTTGATATTAACGATATATCTTTTTGTGGAAATATATACGACTGAAAATCTACAGTCGCATCACATTCATGGGATGCCAGTGTAGAGTGAGTGACTGTGTAGACCGATAGTAAACGAGAAGGGGACCAACTAAAAAAAGAAGTAAAGCGAGCCAAGCAAAGCTTTAGAACAGGAGATTGTTTTTTACCGCTCTTGTTGTTTTCATTTATTTTAATTCCCGAATCCTGCAATCTCAACAGAAAAAGCGAAAAACGAAAAAAGGAAAACTTAGATTCAAGCATTTGATCGCTCATGTGCTAGACTGTATCAAAACCCTAAGTTTTTCACTCCTCTGAGCATAATCAGACTTCAAAGCATCTCTAAATGGCGTTCTGGTGGCCGATAATCGTCCTCGCTTTCGCCTATGCGATCTGTCGGTTCTTATTGATGCTTATCCCTCCCAATGTGCCTTCAATTGACGTCGATGCCTCCGATGGTATACGTACATGAACTCCTTTACTATATAAGCCACTGTTTGTGTATTTATGTTCAGTAGTTGATAGTTAAGTGAGGATTTGTTTTTTGGCAGTGTCGAATGGAAATCAAACGCAAGAGAACAGCTTCATTTACGTGAGTTTTCTTTTAAACTGCTGGCTCTATTTATTTATTTATTTTTTCTAGATACTTAGTTTCTTGTGAGCTTGTATTAGATTTGCACGGTGTATTAATTAACTTTAGATATTTTTTGTTAAGTTATTTGTGATGTGAATTAACTGTGATTAGACTTTTGAAACAATAATGTTAGGAACAAGCAAACTATTCTGGAAAATGATTTTATGAGTTCCTCTTTGTCTGACAATGTGCTTTAATTTGCTTTAAATGGACTTTGAAATTTGTTGTTCTTTTGGAATCTTAGTTTCTGGTGTGCAAATTGATCTAACTTGGTTGTGGTGCTTCCTATACGCTATTGCTGCACAGGTACCTCCTAGAGGAAGAGCGCAGCAACAGGACAAGAAAGTCCAATGCTATGAGCCTGCAACCATGAAATACTTGGGATATTTCCCTGCCTTGTCGCCTGCTGAGGTTAGAGATTATATGCACATGTGCTTGCATATAAATGTGTGAATACAAATATATAATAATGCTGCGAATTCTGGTAAAACCACTTTTATATGCACTTGGCAGGTCAAGGACCGAGTGGCGCAGGCAAGGACAGCTCAGAAAACATGGGCAAAAAGCAGCTTCAAGCAAAGACGCCAGTTTTTGAGGATACTTTTGAAGTATATTCTTGAACACCAAGAGCTTATATGCGAGTAAGGATAGAAGAGGAAGCCTCTAAAACCATTCTCATTTATCATTATTAGCGCTTTGGCTATTTTTGCTCAACAAAATTTTGATTTTTTTTATTACGGTTTAGTTGTCCAGCTGTGTGCTCATACATTTAAAAAGTAAGAACAAAAATCATAAATAATATATTGACAAATGCAATATCAATAGATGCTTCATTCAGAGTCCTGGGGCATTGTTGCTGAAAATGACTTTACTCTTTAATCCACACCCGCCCCTCACCTCCTCTTAGTTGAGGTGGTTGGATTGCAAGCAGAAGGTCTTCCATGTACATGAATTATATGATTCATATCTCATTTCATGCTATAATATTGGTGAAGATTATTGTGTCTTGATTCATGTGTCATTTTGATCAGAGTGTCTTCGCGTGATACTGGGAAAACAATGGTAGATGCCTCTTTAGGAGAAATAATGACAACATGTGAGAAGATCACTTGGCTTCTCTCGGAGGGTGAGAGGTGGCTAAAGCCTGAGTACAGGTACCTATTCTGATCCCTTCTCATGCTTTAAAAAAAAAAAAAAAAAATTAGGCCATTTATCACTTCCCTAAAATGTAAAATTTGAGACTAACTTCTTTTGCCTGTATCATTTTAATGTTTGCAGAACTTGTGGTAGATCAATGCTTCACAAGAAATCCAGGGTGGAGTTTCACCCCCTTGGTGTTATTGGTGCCATTGTGTCATGGAACTATCCTTTTCATAATATTTTCAATCCAATGCTAGCAGCTGTCTTTTCGGGGAACAGCATTGTGATTAAGGTACTTAATGTCTGGGTACTTGCGTTTGGTATAAACTGATGAAGTTGCATCTGTTGCTATTTTATAACATTATTTATTGCATTTCAAAGTCTAATAGGTCAATGTATTAAATTTTTTATCCATGTTACCCATTGTTAAATTTGTCTGCGCGTGGCTTTGTTATGATTTCATTATCCTTTTTTTGAGCTGGAAAAAGGTACAGAAACTGATAGGTAATATGCTTGCAAAATGCAGGTTTCAGAACACGCAAGTTGGTCAGGATGTTTCTACTTCAGAATAATTCAAGCTGCACTTGCTGCTGTAGGCGCTCCTGAAAATCTGGTTGACATAATAACGGGGTATCTATTTCTGATGTTTGCTCTAAAAATAGTTGTAGTTTATTGTCTGCCTAAAATTTATGTTTTCTTGATAGGTTTGCTGAAACAGGAGAAGCGCTTGTTGCTTCCGCTGATAAGATCATATTCGTTGGATCACCTGGCGTGGGCAAGATGGTACGACTTTACTGGCTGAACATTACTTTCTGGTCACTTTGCATTTATCACTTCAGTATCGTTTGATCCTTATTTCATTTCAATAACCTACATATTTTGAGAAAAATGAGTCATTAGCAGATGTGATTTTTCTTTTCTCTTCCGTCTTTAGAAGTTTTTAACTTAAGTTGTTATTAACATGTCATGCCTTCAACTCTTATAATGAGTATATGGAAGTAGACATTTTGAATGTGACAGAACATATTCCTCGTTCATCCAATATGTATTTTGTTTCTCATAAAAAAAGAACTTTGGCATGTGCTTATAATATTGACTTCTTGCTTTGTCCATATCCTGCATGCTTATGAGCTGGAATATTGTGTTCATTGCAGATAATGAAGAGTGCTTCCAATACACTAATACCAGTTACACTTGAGCTTGGTGGAAAAGATGCATTTATCGTTTGTGAAGATGTAGATGTGCCTCATGTATGAATCCCTCCTGCTTGTTTTGAAGTGTAGATCATTAGAGTGCTTCTTTGGATCCTAGTAAATGTTCTCCCAAATGCAGGTTGCACAAATTGCTGTTAGAGGCGCCCTTCAATCAAGCGGACAGAATTGTGCTGGAGCTGAGAGATTTTATGTTCACAAGGACATATATTCGTCATTTGTTAGTGAAGTTACTAAAATCATAAAATCTGTTTCAGCTGTAAGTACTTTTAATTCCACATATATTATGTTTCAGAACCTTTTCTGCATTAAGAGACATAATTATATCCCTGCTTCTCTTGATTTTCTCATTAGATTCGAAGAGAGGTCCTTGAGATAGGGAGAACAATTATCCTCATTGTCCGTTTGTTCTTTCTGTGCTCAAATGCAACATTTCTCAGGGATATCTGTGATACTTAAAATTCTTCAAAAATTTTTCCAATTTGAGTGTCCTGCATGCAGAACAGGCGTGCTTTCCTGCATGATCCCTTATCATTGGACTGCTACGACACTTCTTCTTCCCTTTTGTTAACTTTTGCAGGGTCCACCGCTTGCTGGAAGGTATGACATGGGAGCAATATGCTTGCTAGAGCATTCAGAGAAGCTTCAAAACCTAGTAAATGATGCAACGGATAAAGGAGCAGAAATTGTTGCTCGAGGGAGTTTTGGCCATTTAGGTGAAGGTGCAGTTGATCAGTATTTTCCCCCCACGATTCTTGTAAATGTGGATCACTCAATGAAACTGATGCAAGAAGAGGTAATAGGACTTCCCCTCTCTTATAATTGCATAGCTTGGTTTAGGATCACCATTTTGTGCGACATTTATGGTGGATCTATCAGTTATGTCATGAAAATATATTTATGAGTATGACTTGATATGATTTGGAAAAATTATGCCTGTTTCAAAATGAAAATCACTTATATTTTCCATTTATTGCATTTAGAATTGCTAGCTGCTAATCTATATAAAACTTGTCACATGCAGGCTTTTGGACCCATCATGCCAATAATGAAATTTAGCACAGATGAAGAGGCTGTCAAGCTTGCAAATGACTCTAGATATGGGCTTGGCTGTGCTGTTTTTTCTGGTAGCCAGCGCCGTGCCAAAGAGATTGCTTCTCAGATACACTGTGGAGTTGCAGCAATAAATGACTTTGCATCAACTTACATGTGTCAGGTGGTACTACGTCAAATTAAATTATCATACTTGATGATTATGAAAAGAATCAATCTTGAGAATAGATGAAAAATTGGTCACTTAGGCCTATAATCAGCACTGTCATTGGATAGATGATATCTCAACTGATACAAAATTTTTTTCAGTCGCTGCCATTTGGTGGGGTAAAAGACAGTGGATTTGGACGATTTGCTGGAGTAGAAGGATTGCGAGCATGCTGCCTTGTAAAATCAGTTGTTGAGGATAGGTGGTGGCCTTACATCAAAACCAAGATACCAAAGCCTATTCAGGTTAGCTTTGAAAATCTCAGACAAAAGAGATCATGAGATGTCGTGGTTATTGACTTTTTTCCTCTGCCAATTGTAGTATCCTGTTTTGGAGAACGGCTTTGAGTTTCAGGAATCACTCATAGAAGCCCTATATGGCTTGAACATATGGGACCGGTTGCGAGCATTGGTCAATGTTCTAAAGCTTCTTTCAGAGCAAAACCCTAGCAGCGGTAAGAGAAATGACTAAGGATGGAAACTAGTTTGTGTTTACTGATGCTCTAGGCTTTGGCTAACCATTTTTGCTTGTTTTGTTTATCAAGATTTAGTTCCCGTTGTTACTTGTTAATACTTAATACTAACATGCATGTACCAGAGGATGCTCATACTTTAAGTTTCTTTCAATTTTTTTTTTTTTTTTTCCAGATAAGAATCTTAATGAATTTTGATTTAGGCTTTTTACAATTTTTTTTTTTCAATTTTTGATTTTCGCACACGTTTACTTCTTTTTCTAAAGCGTGTGCGAGTAAGTTTGCATGGGCTAGAAATGAAACGGGCCTCTCTCAGGCATAGCATTTAGTCTGGACTGGGCTTGGCAACTCTGGTTCATTATTTTTAGCCTAACCCAAAGTAAAAGCACATGGCCTTGACAGTAGTCCACTGTCCTGCGAAGCCCGAAACTTTTGAATATGACATGACACTGGCTTGGCAATTCGATTCCTCTGAGAAAATGAAATTGAATTTAAAGCTCATTCTATTTCAGCGAACGCGGGAAATATAAGTCAACGGAGCTCGACAATTTTCTAACTTTATAAATTAGCCAACTATCAAAATTGTAATGATATAACAATTTTGGTGCTAACGGAGACCACATCCCCGCCCGACGGCTACATTTACCAGGCAACCATTTCACATTAGCTTGAGCTTTACAAAGAAAGGAGAATTGTAAATACCCAGCATAGATAAGACCGATGATGTCTCCTTTTCAATTCTGAATAGTATCACCTATTCATACCTTAGTGCACGAGTGATCTCCCAAGGAACTGTATCAGGATCCAATATGAGGCTCTGCCTGCCATAATCCAGCCTCTTGCTGTTTACTAATGCAACAATGAAGCTCTCATTCTCTAGAGAAGAAGGGTACATGAACTGTTCATCCTGCAATTTTTATAACGTAAAAATAAATAAATAGATGAGGAAATATCAAGATTCTTTACCCCATAAGAAGTTTAATGATTAGAAAACTCAAACAATTGAGAGGTTGGTGCAGCTATAAAATATCAGTTCTAGCATTTTATAGACATCATTTTTAAGAAGAATGATGTCGCTAAGATCATAGATTACCTCGGGGAGCTCATAGAATTCATCAGGCGATATCTGCAGCAATTCAGTTGCAGTTTGACCAGTACACCATGCAAAAATCTTTGCATGGTCATCCGCAAGAGTGATTTTTAAGTGGAAAGTTCGTGTGACTTCATCACAAATACAATGACAGAAACTGCATTCAACTACACCACTTGGTGTCTTGTTAACAAGATGACCGCAAAGTGAATGTGAATCTCTTGTACTGACATGACATTGATCAACTTGATCAAGCCGAACTCGGCATATCTGTAACCATGTCAAAAGTGAGTGCAAAGATTAGTGGCATCATAATATGATTTTAAAGATAATTTCGCCTATTCAATTTGATCCTGCACTAATAAAGATTATCACTTGCACCAGCAATAACAGATAAGGGTTCCTAAAAGAGACAGCATGTCAACTACAACTTTGTTCAGAGATCAGGGGACCCTATGCGTTAGATATGCATTAATATGGAAAAAGAACCAACATAACAGAGCCAGATCTAAAATTAGAGTGAAAGAAAAATTTTCAAAAGTGAAGGAGAACAAATAAAAAAAAATTGCGTATTTTGTAAGATAAAACCCAAATATCCAAGTGATAAATTGTAGAAACGTACGTATGTGAATAGAAACCACATTGAGGAGAATGTTTATAACGTCGTATTGTTAAAATAACTATTTCTAACTGACCCAGCCACTATATTGAATTTTAACGGAAGGCCAAAACAGAATAGAAACCACATTGAGGAGAATGTTTATAACGTCGTATTGTTAAAATAACTATTTCTAACTGACCCAGCCACTATATTGAATTTTAACGGAAGGCCAAAACAGAATAGAAACCACATTGAGGAGAATGTTTATAACGTCGTATTGTTAAAATAACTATTTCTAACTGACCCAGCCACTATATTGAATTTTAACGGAAGGCCAAAACAGAATAGAAACCACATTGAGGAGAATGTTTATAACGTCGTATTGTTAAAATAACTATTTCTAACTGACCCAGCCACTATATTGAATTTTAACGGAAGGCCAAAACAGAATAGAAACCACATTGAGGAGAATGTTTATAACGTCGTATTGTTAAAATAACTATTTCTAACTGACCCAGCCACTATATTGAATTTTAACGGAAGGCCAAAACAGAATAGAAACCACATTGAGGAGAATGTTTATAACGTCGTATTGTTAAAATAACTATTTCTAACTGACCCAACCATTATATAAAGTCATGAAGATAAGCAACAGAATTGTTGAATCTGCTCACCTGTTATGTTTTGTCTTATAGCACGACAAGCCAGATACAAACACTGTGTGACCGAGCCCTAATCTCCCTAGAGACCTGAGAAGAACATGTGACAGATATTCATGGAGGGAATCAGCAAATCATAATTCCAAAACAATTCTCAATTGTTACCAAGATCCAGCAAAGTGTAGCTTTGCCCAAATGGCTCCTGTTGTGTCCTCAATCTTTAAAGAGAAAATCATTTCTGTGGTATTTCTTTCACGGAGAATTTCTGTAACAATACCATAGAGGCTGATGCTTGTCATCTTGTCACGAAGATCAATTACAAATGACTGCAAAACTTTGAAGAAGTGAGAGAAGCTATCAATAATCAATCACATTTTAAATGAGCCAAAGCTGGCATGTAGAAACTAAAAGCTAATGTGAGGTAGGTATGTTGCTGATGCCTAACAGTAATTGAAAATAATTGAAATGGCATGCTTTAGTTAAGCTTCAAAATAATTGAAAATTGAAATGGCATGAAATGCTTGTATTGTCATATATATAGTGCTATTACTTATGATATTCAAAAGGAACCACATCCAATATCATGATGTACCCTTCAAAGGCTACATTACTAGGACCACAGCATAGTATCATATTCACATACACGTCAAAGGTCAAACTCAACTATTTTTCTTGGTTTTCCCACTACTTTGAAGTGACAAAAGTGTCATGCCCCAAGTTCAAGTATTCTCATTTGAAACTTGTACCTTAGGTTAGAAAGTCAAAAGTAACTAGGCTCAAAGGACATGCCAGTGACTCTTGAGAGATACATCTAATGACAGAAGTGAATTAGGAGTGTTATAGAAACTCACGCGAAAAGGATAATTGCTAAAGTCGATAGACCCCTGAGAATCACAGGGCAATGTCACTTGTGAAACTTTAGGCAACTGAGTAGGATCTAATGCACTCATCAACTTTGATCCTTGGTATCGGTTTTGGGTCAAAGGTACATAAACCTGAGAAAGAGAGTGAGGCAGAAGCTAAACTAACTCCGCCATAAAAAATGATAGAAAATTGGAAATGTGGACTTCAGTCACCTACTTGTTCCTCGTGTTGAATGAAAGGGACCAAATATAGTTGCGTTGCACTTCCATATTCAAGACAAATCTCACTTGTTGTTTCAACAGCACTCTCTTTAGAACTTGCAATATATGGACTATCAAGTGCTAGCATACTTCCAATGCTGCATGGAAATAGCATTATAGGTCTAGGAGTCCATCAGAGAAGATTATACTGACATAGAGAATCAAGTGCAAGAGTTAACCTGAAAAGATTGGCCAGGACAACCTGCTCACCCCACAAAAGAAATTTTAGCTGGATGCCATCGTTGTCAACAAGAGTGATCTGCTTCCTCTGTACATTGCCAGATAGTCCCTCAACTTCCATGGAATCTATAGATTCAATCCTACATAAGGGAATAGAATAGTTGAAATGAACTTGTCAGGAGGAATAACCTACTCTTTCTTGATAGAGCATCTTAGCTTTACAATGTATCATTTTGATCAAAATTGCTTCTACTTGTCCTGTTTGAAAAGATAACGCAAGTTGTAGACCATTTTTATCTCCTCAACATAGATTTGGTTATTCCTTTAACTCATCCAAACAAATGACATTGACTCTTAGTCAGAAGTGCAGTTTGTGAAGTACTGTGAAAGCATAAGCAGGTATAGTCCTATCCCACAACAGCTTGGCATAAGGTCGAACAATAAGAGCCAATAGAAAGAAAAGTTACCTTGCGTATAATGAATAACAAACCCGATTGTTAACTTCCTTAAGAGAAATGGAAGAGAAAGAATCTGAACAAAACTGAGCTGCTATCAGCATGGCATCATCATCCTGATCCTGCAATAAAGAAAATGAAATTGCAACTGTTACAGTGAATCGACGATCCCTGGTCCTATCTGAATGTCAAATAAATGCCAATAAGCCAAAAAACAGGACTCTCATATGGAATGTTGATTTTTCAATAAATGGAAGGGAAAGTCTGACAGTTACATCATCTAATACTATTACAAGATATTCTGTTGGTAGAAGTCGAGGACAACCAGATCCTTCTCTGGCTGTTCGAAGATAGCAGCCTGTGACGAAAACTTCCCTACCCTTCTTCAAGATTCCATTGCGAGGATCAACCAAGTCATAGTATCTATCACAGAAGAAGTGGCAAAAGCATAATTTGCATCATGAAACTGCAGATTACAATGATAATAACCACCTCATAAAAATACATGACGCCAATGCATGACCTCACAACTAGGCTGCATAACTACAGAGACAAGTTCAAGAATGATATAACTGCAAGGAACAAGATAGCACCATATCAAGGCACAAAAAGAAAAAGGAGGAAAATAAAAGATAATTCATTACAGATACACCAACCATGATGTACTATCTGGTAAATGCATAGCATTTCATCGAGTGGACAAATGACATATGCCATTGAAACAGATCAAGAGACATGAAGAATCAACATCCAATACAGGAGATAATAATTACCTTCGGTGCAAATAAAGGTCAATGGTATTTGAGCTCCAAAAATCCCCCAAGGTAAGCATGTAGATGTTTGTACCTGAAGAAATTATACGATAACAATAAACACAATAATATCTCGCAAATCCCATTACATCGTTGCTACTATCATCATCAATAATCAAATATAAGAAGCTTCAATTTTAGAGTGATACCAGGAAGAACAAAAGCATCAACCACAACAGCTTCTAAAATGCTATTGAAAGACAGGAAGTTCTTCTCATATATGGAGTCAATGGTGATGGTGTTTGGCAACTTAGTTCTCCTATGTTTCTCCTTCAACTGATTAATAATTTCTGGTTTTCTCTTTGATGCCCCAGTCCTGTGTTGCTCACGCCAAGCCTCCACATAAAATCAACGACAGGACGGAATAATAAACTTGTCAAAGGCAAAAATTGAAGGCTAAAAGAGACTTAAGGGCCTAAGGCTATGGTGAGACACGTCCGCAGATTTTATTGCAATATTGTATAAAATCGAAAGTAAAGTGAAGGGAGGAGAATTTCATAAACATCAAATCTAATTCCTTAAGGAAATATAATCAGAATTTGAACATTTTCATTTCAGAATCAAAAGAAATTCAAGTAATAAAGGTTGAAGAATCTGATTACTTTCATTTTCTTGGCAACCAACGGAGGAGGACCAAAGCAAGAAGTAAATGATTACCTGAGAGAGATCTGAGAACAGAATAGCAGCGGTCACTCCACTTGAATAAGCGATACAAGTCTTGAGGATCCGAGACGCGATCCAGCTCCAACCGGGTCCACTAGTCTCTCTAACGAGTCCATTCGTATCACAACCTACATCTCCTTCTTCTTCGTCCGGTGACAAAATCGACCTAGCGTAATCGATGAATGCCAGAAACGGATCATCTTCTACTTGACGGCGTTGTCGTTCGTCTATATCCATGAAACCGTTTCCAGTGGAGCTATTAGTATTGAGTTAATGCTATTTTGCTGAGTCGCGTAATGCGATGTCCAAGACCTTTACTGTATGTGGTTACTAATTGGGAGGGAAAAAGCTGCTTTTTGGCGCGGATTTTTAATTGGATTCGTAATTCCAATTTTGACGGCCCAGATAATCACTAGCAATTGGTTTGGGCCTATCTAGAGTCTCTATAGCTAAAAATAAGCAATTAGTTTCATTTTTTTTTTTCTTAAAAAAGTAATTTTTTTAAATACGTGTTCATGATTGGCTTATTTCTTATTAAACTATTCATACACGAATTTTTTCTTTATTTCTTATTAGCTTGGTATACAAATAGTTCTTTATTTTTTATTAGCTTGATACTTACATCAAACAATTTTTAAAATTTCAAATGATTCACACCTACAACCAAACCATCAAAACGAAAGCTAGCGAGGAAAATGGAGTTCTATGAACTACTAAAAGAAAAAAAAAATATATATAATAAATTTTTCATACAAAAAAATATCATCCAAACTGCAAATCAAATTCTCACAAAACTCGATCAAAACATCACTTTATGGAATAAAAAATTAACTAGTGGTAAAAAATAACAAAAGCATCACTATGTAATTAACAGAATGTTGTATTTTTCTTTTTCGCCAAAGAAACAGTAAGCCCAAAATCAAGAAACTCCAGTACCCCACCCCGAAAAAGGCCTGCGCGGAGAAGTGGAAAGGCAAGTGTCAAGAATGATGAACCATAGCAGCCCTATGGAGAAATATCTACCATGAGGCATCTCAAAGGGCCACCAGAGCCAGTATGAAAACAACTTTACACCGTTTGAGTCATTGTAAACCACTCAAATTTCACGTCTCAGTGTCACGCTGATGATCCCAATAGGAGATTTGGGGCGGTAATGTTCATCTGTGTCCACCTCCTCAATTTCCTGTAGAACATTGCAGATAAAAGCTTTCTTCAGAAATTATATATCAAGCAACAAAACAAAAGTTTCAATTGCTAAACAGCATGTATTCTTATATACCTGCACCACATCCTCCCCCTTGATGACCCGTCCAAAAACCAAAAGCTTATCATTTAAATCTGGAATTGGTGCAGTGGTTATAAATATCTCAAACACTTGGCTGTCTTTAGTTTTAAAAGTTCCAAGCATAAATGCCTCGTGCTTTGGACTGGTTGTTCACAATTAGGAATTATCACTGCAAGAAATCAAGAGACAGAGGCCACTAAATAACATAAAATAGTTCAAAAACAAAACCTTGTAACAAGCCGACCACGAAGCTTCACTTTTGTAGTCCAATCTTCGGCAGCTCCAAGGCTTTGGGAATGTCCTCCTTGAATTACATAATGTTTGATCACATGATGAAAAGGCATCCCCTTGAAGTAGCCCTTTTGGCTGCAAATTCAGTCAGAATATATGAGATAAGCAGCAAAATATAAATCAATAATGGAGAATCATTAACGCCTAATACAGAATGATAAATCTAGCGACAGCAATAGAGCAACTAAATATTTTGGATTTATATTCTTGGCCAAAACTGTAACAAAGAATACCATCATCTAAATTTCCTACAAAGCGCTAAGTTTCTTGGTAGATGATTTCAACTTTAAAAAAAATTGCCAAAATCATTAACTCATTTTTGTTCTTGCTTTAAGGATTTCAGTTTTAGAAACCACTATTGCAATCAAGAAGCAAAACAATGACACGTGTTGGTACTTACCTCAAGTCAAGAAATTTGTCCACAATCTCTGGAGAACCATCCTTGTATAATTCCACTGTTATATAACCCTTTGACGTATTCAGAATCTACGTGGGAATAAAACACCAAGACTAAACAGATGCTAAGAAATCAAATAACGACATAGAAGAGCATACATAGGATTTTGTCCCTATGATATAACAAGACACAAAATCCATGAAAGTAAAAGACACTAATTAGAAAAGTTACAAGAAAAAATCATAAATCAATTACATGTTACAGGGCTTGTGTCACAGAAAGGTATAATCATGTCAAAATTCTAGCTTAACTTGTTAAAAGTAGAATTGTTCCTAGGCAGAGATGTGCATCCAGAAACATTTTCATTAATAACCTGAAGCAGTTTATCTTTGATTGTGTTATCCAAACTTTATATGATCAACTAAGAGGAGTATTTCCAGCATTGCTTATTAAGATACAGATACCTGCATGGTTTATAATTTTAATAAACTGTATATATAAATATTTGAACTAGCTTCTCAACCAATTAAACTTCCATCACCACGTCAGCCAGAATTTCCTACAAGCAACATTCAGAACATATTAGCCGGAGCAGCTTAATGCAGCAACTTACAGCATAACCAGGGAGATCATACTTCTTTGAATCTGTGAAGGAATCTGAGTTGTCCTGGTCCACATAAAATGAAACTAACTTACATCAGTATATGTTTAGTTGACTGAAAAAGCATAATTTTGAAATTGATGACATGGAATTATTGAAATACCAAGGAAAAATATGAAAGGAAATGTCTTCAATTTTCTTTTCATTTTTTTCTCTCTCTTTTCTAAAAGTTCATCAAACATACCTCAAAATTTGACAGCCCAGATTGATCTCTTGACCTACAAGAATTAAATTAAATAAGTATCTTTTTTTGTTTCTAAAGAAATATAAGTAGATTCTAATTTGAGAAAATGAAGAAAAAAATGCATCCCCAATAATGCAAGAGCCATTGATGAAACAAGGTACAGCAAACCTCTGAGACCAATGCCTGTATGTAGCCAACAAAGACAATACAATCAACACAACAACTAGGTTGCATAGAATTATTGTAGTGGCACTGATGCGAGTTGGCCCCTTCTTCTTTTTGCTTTGGACTAGCAAAGCCTGAGGTTTTATCCTTGCCATGAAGTACAGCCTTGACTACTTTTTTTCTTGAAGATGCACTTTATGCAGACAGAATCTGCAAATTACAAAAACACACTCAATAATAGGCCAGGAAATGATGCAAGAAATGAAAATTTCAAATGAAAATTAGTGCACTTTAATTTTAGTCAACGGTTTAAATCCTCAAAGTTCATTGTAAAAGTCACCTAATATCAACAAATATTTTTAAGTAACCATAGTTGTACACTCGTACCTGCAAAAGGCTTACAAAGACAAGTGAAAACAAAACATGCGAAGGACACTCCATCAAACACGTCAACCTCCATATGCAGCTTTGAAAACTCACTTCAGTATAAACAAACAATAGTTTGGCAACTGTACTATATAATTTGCTAGACTAATATTTTCTCCCCCCTAAGCAAAAAGAACCATTGAGATCTCATAATCTCAAATAGAATGGAATATAGTAAACTGTATTATTCTATTACTCTGCGAGTTCATTCCAATATCCAAACTTTTTATGATATTGCCATTTGTAAGAATTCAAATTCTCCCAATTTAAAAGCTGAGAATACTTCCAAACTGCACCACCAAAATCTTAAGACACACTCACTGAGATAAATTTCACATATTCAAGGCTTCACAAACCAACGTGATTAAATAATGTTCTTAAGAAAACAATTCCAAATGGCTATTTCAGTATTTTGCAACGATACAAAATAACAAATCGAGTTCTAAAACAAATACAACCCCAATCATATTCACAAATATGAATTTTCAGTTCAAAGAAAGTGAATTCAACCACTCAAACTTCAATCCAGATCCAGTATCTCACGTACTCTAAAGTCTAAACTTAACAGCTTACCGCGAATTAGAGTTCTATAAGCTAATAACAAAAGAAGCGAAAGCAAATAGAGATCTGTGAGCAAACTGAAACTTCTACTGGGTCAAAAACCCTAAAATTTCGTCGAGTAGCAGAGAACGAAATAATAATCATACAAAAAATTGTAACATGGAACTTTGAACAGATAAAAAATGGCAATAATTCTGAGAACCGTACCTGAAATTGGTCGGAGTTTTGCTTTCGCGCCTCAACCGGTGAAATTAATTTAACGGCAACAGTGAGAGTGAGTTGAAATTGTTTAATCACAGATTAGGTGATGATCGTCTTCAACTCTTTTGCTTTGTTCTTGAACGGGACTCCGAAATGGTGGGCACCACAGCAGAAAGTTCGATTCAGAACCAGATGAGTGAGATTGATAAACGGCTATGATCAAGTCATCCTGGAAGACTTGTCGTCAAATCTAGCGATGACTATTACGCGGACTGGCGTAACTGTGCAATTGCAGCCGTCCATTGTAGATTACGCGTATGACATATTTTTAAGACTTTGCCACATGTTGTTTATTACTCCTACTTTATTTGGTTAGATATAATCCCAAAACTAAATGGATTTTTGTAAGATATTTTTATGGAAAGCTTTCCGAAAATTAAATTCCAATGGCCAAACAAGTACATATTAATTTTAAGTAATATATATTGATAAAAAAACATTGAATAATATTTATTGACCAACAAAATTTTTGAATAATATTTTATAATTTAATGAAATAAATTTAAACTCAAGTTAATGCAATAAAAAGCCTGATAATGAATTTATATTTGAATTCCTTCAAAAAATAAAATTTTTAAATCAAAGAGTTTTTATTATATATATGTGCAAGTCACATAATAATAATAATTATTATTATTATTATTATTGTTGTTGTTGTTAGTAAACTTGTAATTAATAAATTATTTTACAAGTATATTAATGATTCTGTATAGTAATGTTGTCTAAATATTTTAATATAACTAATTAGACACAGACTTGGATATTCACAATTTTAATAATAAATACACTTCTTTTAAAATAAGGTTTCAAATTTAGATCTTCCTAACATTTTTTTATTAACAAAATAATGATACACTTCTATATGAAATTGCCTGGTCTGAGAGAGAAATAAGAAAAAAAAAATACTAAAGCATTAAATCATTGTCTGCATTTAGTATTATTTAGTATTATTAGCATTAAATCACATGTATTTTCAGTTCTTCAAATATAGTTTTAACATTTTATTATTATAATATGTAAATAAAAAAGGATTTCACATTTTGAACGAAAAACTTAACAGTAAGACAAAAGTATAAATTAGCAAAATTATAGTTATTTTTTAAATGTAAAGGGAGTTAAGTATTAATTTCAACACAATTTAGGAACTCAGCTATATTTTACTTTTCAAAATATTAAAGTTATTGACTCATGGTGCATGTAAAAAAAGATAAAAATAGAAAAAAAAAATCTGAAATGTGAATTAATTTGTAATTATTCAAATTTTAGTTTGAGAATAATATTTAATAAATTTAGACATGAACTAATTGTTTTGCAATTTTAAAGTTTTATTAAAATTGTAAATATAAAATAATTTATTAAATAAATAATTTTTTCCAAATTTTATAAAACACAAAACATAACTGTTTTATGTCTTATTTATTTCACTAGTGAATCAAACAATTATCAGCAACGCAACTAAACAGAAGCTTTTATACATGGCTGTACGCAGAGTGGCAATTTCGTCATTGAACGCGCAGTTACAGCAAGTCGGCCAAATTGCAAATAGTGGACTGTGAAAATTTGTTACAGAGAGAGAAGCAGAATGGGGAGAGGACGTACCAAGAAGACTGTTACGCTCGAAGATTACGAGCATTTCCTTGAGAATCCTTACGACGAAGCATTCAGCCTGGATCAGCTTAATGAGGTTTCTAATATTCTTCTTCTATTATTTTGCTATCCCTTCCTTTGATTATCTGTTTGGTTGTCGAGAAAAAAAGAATACGGAAGAAACGAAAATGCTAGCTGCATTCAAACACTGCACCATTTTCACTAATTTCATCACCTTTAGACTACATCAATTTTCGCTGCCATTTTCTCAGCAACCAAACGGAAAACTATCTTTAATTTCATCTTTTCAATTACTTTTTTTTCATATTATTAATTACTGTTTTTATTATTTCGGCGCGAAGGTGATTTTAATTCATGGATTCAGTAAAATACACAAGCGACCAAAGGCATGTATTTTTTTTTTCTCATGACATTTTCCAATTAATAATCTCCTTTGGATTAAATCACCTTTCATTATTCCCCTGTAACGATTCTGTTTGATCTCAGCGCGAGCTATATGATGCATTGAGCACCATAGATCTTATAAAGCCACAGCGCTCCACACTCAAAGACGAGTTCTCACTGTACGATTCCTCGGTCTCGCTCGATCAAGTGAAGAAAGACTTGGAAGCGCTCAACTGGCAGGAGTGTGCTGTTCGATCAATAGAAACTATCGGCCAGTCGCAGTCAGACGGTGGCGGTGATGCGGTTTCAAAAGATTTGCCAGTGTCATCGTTCACAATCACCCGCAAACGACAGAGATCGAAGCGGAAGAGGTCCAAGAAGATGAGAAGCATTATGGATGATGGTGACGCTGCTCGCTCTAACATTGCCATTGCTGCTGACGTGGATGGCGCTTATGATGTGGGGGCAGGTGCAGGAATAGCGCAGTATGATTCCTCTATATTTGTGGATACGTACAGCTGGGAGTTCTGATCAATTTTCTTACTTCTTTGATGGTATTTCGTATGGTTAGGTTTTTTATTGGCTATGGAGGTTTTTGGTGTATGAACTGCAATTTTTGTTGCCATCAACACTGATTGTACTATGCATCCTGCATTATTAGAGCATCGTATCAGTCCCGCCCCACCGGAGACTGGAGTGTAGACTTTCTGCCCTGAATTGCTTTTTAATATAATCTGTGTCCCTGCAAGAATGCAAGATTTTGGCCCAAACAAATCACCTGTTTGACTAGGGTTTTCTGTTCATCTCGAAAATTATTGGTTACACTGTAGCCTTCTAATTAGAACGTGAATCGTCGACCAGACAACTACCCATTATGGTTAATTGGCTGTAGACCTTACTCCCATGTGCGAAAAAGAAAGTTACAACCCTTAATATTTGTAACTTAAGGAAGCTTCCTTAATTTTATGTAAAATACTTTAAACAATTTATATTTTATAATAAAGAGAATAATCTAATTGAAGTTTAAATTTTTTAGTGTTAAAAAAAAGTTATTATTATGACTGATCACAAAAACGTGGTATTTTTCTTTTTTTTATTAAAATTAGATATATGAATTTTTATTTATCAACTCTGAATATCTAAATTTTATTTTTATTATAGTTAAATCATTATATTGAATTTATTTTTTACTATTAGTAATTTGGATTTTAATTATTTATTACCCTAAATAAAAGTTGAAATAAAAATTTAGATGAGTTGAACACTTAAAAGTGTGTTTTTTTTTTTCCCAATGTCGTTCTATTTAGGAATTTAGTTCAAAAAATTTGTAACTAGACTTGATGGACTAGCTGCTGTGAGTTTGACCAACTTCCCCACCGATGGGGTCCCATGTTTTGGCATATGCAGCTATGCGCAACGAAAAAGAAAGAAAGCAGACATGCGGTCATATGCAATTTTTTTTTTCTCTCTCTGTCTCTTTTTCTGATTCGGATATGAAATGTCGTTACAGAATGTTCAGGTCTCAGGCTGCGGTAACAGGTGTTCATCACATTATCCTTCACTCATCACCATCTTGAAAAATCTTTTAAGGAGTGTTCCGAATAAATTTAAATGGAATTTTTTATTTTACTTTTAAATAAATTTTAAGCTGAATATAAGTGGCAGGACTTCTGGGTTAAAATACACCCTAAAATTCTAAAAATCTTGAGCTCTAAACCCTAAATCTCATACTCTAATTAAATTCTCTGAGGTCTAAAACCTAATTTTATTATTTTTTTTCTAACTAAAAATATTGGTCCTTTCAGCAATGGGTGTAGTCTAGTCAATATATATTGGCAATGTAAAAATTGAAAAATAAAAATGACAACCATGAATGAGACTTTTGCATAACAAACCAAAGCTCTGCTGTTAGATTCTAAAGTGACTGAATAATGTGGGATTCCTGCAGCTACAAGAGTTAGAAGACAAAAGCAATTATGAAATTGAAGACCACTTTCCAGTAGCTGAGATATGATCAGAAACTAGCTAGAAAATCAGCACAACTAAGTAATACATACCAGAATGATTGATATATGCAAATGCCTTTTTCACATGGTTCTACAACTTAAAAGACTTGTTCCTAACCTCTCAAAAATTAGTGGGTAGCAGAGAATAAAGCAGCAAAAACAACAAATTGGAAACTAACAAATGAATAACCCAATCCATATCAGTATCACTTCTGTCACTAAAACTTAGCCGACATCTATATTGGATGCATATATATGTAGAGTTTTGCTAAACGGCACAGTTTGTACCTGGCACAGCATGTGTATATTTATAATTACATCTCTGGCATGATATGGATATCAGCAATATCAAAACTGTTAAGAAGATTTTTAACTGTATTAAAGTTGGTTTAACTCATTTGCACTGTGGCTGTGTCTCGCACGAGTAGTAGTGCCAAAAATGTTTTCTGATAAACGTACATCAATAACTGATTGGAATCGGAACTTTTGCGTGGTTTCACACTTAAGTAAGTTGATTACTACAAACAACCCATGTCAAAACAAAGAGAATCATTTGAATTTAAGACTTTATCCAAAAACTAACCATCAGCTAATCTCAACCAGTGGTTTGCTTGCTTAAACACTTGAACAAAGTTTTCTCTTTTATACTTCGTTTGTGCTCGTGCTTAAACGTAAGAGCAATATTAATTATATCTTCTTTTTATTTAAATTGTTTTGTACTGTTGCTCTTGCAAAATGTACGATCTCATTTAAACCGACATGGAAAGATAAATAGAACAATGATTACAAAGATTCGGCGAATCATTTCGTAACATTTTCTTGGTGAAGCCCACCTAGACCATATATGGCTTACTACTTATCCTCAAGAGTGGCTAATACACTAAATAGAAAGGGATATCTATATATATATATATATATAGAGAGAGAGAGAGAGAGAGAGAGAGAGTAATAAAGATCACCGTTGGGTGCATCAAGTTATTGATTATGTAATAGAAACAAACAAAAGTCTGCTGACTACTGATTTACAGAAGAAAGAAGTTAAAATAAAATAAGATATATATAAAAATAAGATAATATATAATATATATATATATATTATATATATATATATATAGTAGTATAAATGAGCTAGCTAGCCTATTCAAGAAAGATTTCAGAAATAGAACAGATAAAAAGAAGGCTGTTTGTGTTTCCCATTTCAGATCTAGAAAGACTTTGTTGCTCCTTTTAGGCAAATTAGAAAAAGAGAAATGGTTGACAAGTTGGAGAACAAGGTAGTTATAAGGGAATACAGTGAAGACAGAGATATTAAAGTGGTGGGGAAGCTTGAGAAGAATTGTGAGATAGGATCAAATAAGGAGGTCTCCATTTTCACCAACATGATGGGTGACCCCTTATGTAGGATTAGGTTCTATCCTGTTCATGTTATGCTGGTGGGTGAGGGATTTTTTTTTTTTGGTATTGTTAGGATATCGACTCTGATACTAGTTTTTGGGCATCAGCTCTGATACCAGTTATTGGGCCCTTTTAACCAATTAAGAGAAAATAATTACGGCAGGCGGAAAAAATAGAAATGGGACACACAGAAATTTACGTGGTTCACCACTTAACTGTTTAGGCTCGGTCCACGGACAAAACTCCGGAATCATCTTCCACTATTAAAAATTAGTAGGTTACACAAAGAGAGTAATACAAAAATATGGCACACAAAGTGTTTCCCAAAAACACTCCAAAAATTAAATCCTCACTATTTTTCTCTTCCCTCGGTTTTAGGAACCCTTCCCTAAAACGCTAACACTCTTCTTGCTACATGGTTCTCTTTCTGCGTGTGTGTTTGTGCGTTCTGGCCTCTGCCTCTATTTAAGGCAGGTTAACGCGTAGGAATTCGTGTACAACTCTTCAAGGTTGCACCGCCCATGATGCTATCACTGTTGAACTGGCTTGCTCCTTATTTTTTTTCTTTACTTTCACACATGTGGGTCCCATTTAAGTGGGCACAACCACAACAATTCTCCCCCTGCACACTTAAGTGGAACATTAGCCATATTCTCCATCATCCCTGAGCTATCCGACAAGTATTCAAACCTTTTTCCTTTGAAAGAATCTTCGTCAACATGACATCCATTACCCTGTATGATCTTCTCAAGCTGTAACAGCTTTCATCTTCCAACACATCCCTGATCTAGTATAGAATGGAAGGAGAAATTCTTTCCAAGGTGAATGAGCTTTGACTGTCATGACACGGCTCCCCCTGCAGCTTAAATCTATAGATCTGCCCACCATCTTGTACCGCCGCTACAACTTTGCGGGACACGCCGCCCGATCTCCTTTTGTCGGGAAGACTTTTGACACAAGGCACCACCTGCAGATCTTTTTTCGATCTTAGTCCTGTTGTTACACAGCAACTCTTTGCACGTTTCAGTAATCTTAACTGCCACGACACGGCTTCCCCTGCAAATGTGATTGTATATCCTGAAAATCCATTTCACTGCAGTCCAATGTTCCTTTCCAGGATTTGAAAGAAACTTACTCACTACTCCAACTGAGTGAGCAATATCTGGCCGTGTACAAACCATGGCATACATCAAGCTTCCAACTGCTGTCATAGCAAAAGACTTACTTAGCTGTTTCTTTCAAGCTAGAATTCTGACCAAACAGTCCACCATATCAACCACATAGAGCAAAAAACAATTGTAGTCCATCATCAGAAAGAATAAAAACACAAGTGATCTGAAGTAGTCTTTCTGTAGCATGCTCCCCCAAATAGACTCAAATTCTGTACCACTGTCTCAGTGCCTCCTTCAGCCGTACAGCTCTTCTTCAGTTTGCAAACACAATCCTCGTTTTCTACGAAATCCTCTGGCCAGCTCCATCGTATATTTTCTTCTTCCAAATCTCCATTTAGGGAAGGTAGTCTTTCCATCCATTGCTCGATTTCCATCAATAACTGGTGGCCATTCCGAGCACTGTCCGAATTGGATGTCATTTTCAAACCAGTCTAGCTTTGAATGTGTTGGGAGCTGTGTTTCTTCCTGCTTGGGATACTGAACACCCCACTGTTCTTCAAAGCTTCTTTGCCTTTAGGCAACTTCACAGCTCAAATGTTTCATCCCTCATGCAAGGGACGTTCATGCAAGGACTTCATTTCATCTTGCACGGCTTCAATCCAGTTCCTCTTATGTTCATTTCCATAGCTTCTTCAAAGCTTTCAGGTTCTCCCCTGTCAGTCATCAATACATATTCATTGACTGGATATCTAGTAGATGGTTGTCAGACTGTACTAGATCTTCTTAATGTTTGAGAAACTTCTGGAGCTGGTGGCTGAACATGAACACCACAATCTTCATCTGGTTTATTTTCATTAGGAACTTCTGGATTTTCTAACTCTGGCACTTGTTCTTATGGAACATTTTCTTCATCTCCAATTTGTTTGCGGTCTATTGGAGGGACTCTCTTCTGTTGAATCTTCAATCTGCTTCAATATCTTCAATAGTCTGATCTTCAACAAATACAGCATCACGATTTTTTATAATCGTCTTCTGGATTGGGTCATAAAACCTATAGCCAAATTGGTCTTGGCCATAGCCAATGAATACACACCGTCTAGTCTTGACATCAAGCTTACACCGTTCATCCTTCGGGATATGCACGAAGGCTTTGCAACCAAACACCAGCAAATGATCATAGAAAACATCCTTTCCTGATCATACTCTCTCTGGAGTATCATACTGTAGAGGAAAACAAGGTGAACGATAAATTGCTGTAAGTAAAGCTTCACCCCAAAATCTTTTAGACAAATTTGCATGTGAGAGTAAACATCAGACTCTCTCCATCAAAGTTCTATTCATCCTCTCAGCCAAACCATCAAAACTGTCCAGTTGGCGCGTCTTGGAGGATAAATCGTTT